TTTCAAATAATCTAAATCATTGATCAAGATCAAGTTAAATGGCGTGAGAGATAGCATATTATCAATCTATTGCATTGATTTCAGTCAAGTATTTTGTTCAATATTTCAATTTTTGAATTGTGTATTATTGTTTTTCAGCCTTCTCGCAGCAGCCCCAGGCTGGCACTACCGTAAAATATAATCCGCCCCAGGGTCAGGATACAATGGTAAAGAATGGAGTGACCCAGAACATAACTACCAAACATCAATGCATCACAGCAATGAAGGAGTATGAAGGGAAAAGTTTAGAGGTAATTTGGAATATTTATCGAATTTCACAATAATTCTTAGTAACATAGTGATATAGCATATACAAAGCACATTTATATGTGCAAAAAACTAAGAATCCTTTTTGTAAAGCAATGCAAGTGTGCACAATAGTACAGTCTGACCAAATACTGTTTTAATCTTATGTGCAGTATAGTATTAAAATCTCTGAGATATAAAAATTGCTAGTTTCAAATTTAAATCATATCTTGGCCAAAGGTTTAAAATAGATTAAAAACATGAACTGTTTAACTCAGCTTTGAATACGTGAAAAAAAGTTTATAAATGATCTTTTACACAAATTTTCAGGAGTTAAGAATGGAGGATTATGCTGCAGGAAGGAAAGGGAAACAAGCAGGTGCAACATCTGGCTTCGGAGGTTTTGGTACCCCTGCTGCAGCTGCCACTCAACCAACAGGTTTTGCCTTTGGCCAGGCCAAGCCAACAGGTTTTGGAGCGTCAAGTAAGTGAAAATTATTTTGTTACCAAAAATCATACTTTTTAAAGACTTTCTCAAAAACGATGTTAGATTTAATGGCAACTCAAGTAACTATGTCATTTATGTTTTGTATTATGATAATATCATATTCATAATTCCTCTAGAAATGTTGCATAATCTTTGGAAGTTATGAAATATTTTTTTCTAATAAGAAAATTTAAATTTGTTAATTTTGAATTAACAAGGCTGATTAGAGATCATATGTTGATTTATTTAAATAGAAAAATCCAAGATGCTTCTTGATTGTCTTGTTTATTATGTTTGTCAGTAATCATATGTTATAAGATCTACTGATATAGAGAGAGAGAAAAAAAATTGAAATTCTGAACATGATTATAATAACTAAATGAATGCAAAATGCAGTGATTTTCAAGTATGACATTGGTCAGAGTTTTTGTTAGAAATATAAATGTTAATATGATACCTTCTTCTGGTACATGTATATTGAGGTACAGCATTTTTGCTTTGCACCTTGACTTTAGTCAGATAATTAAAGGGACAAGTTTTCAGCTAATATCTTTATTATTAAAACTAATTTGAAGACTGGTTTCTAAACAACTGATGTTTGTTTCGAGTTCATAAACTTTATTACACATATATATAACTTACAGTCTTAAAGATAAATTTATACTTTACATCAATTATACTTTACAGCTGGGTTTGGAACCAATACATCTACAGGGGGAGGCAGCCTGTTTGGTCAGCCTACAGCCCAGGCATCTACTGGAGGAGGTCTGTTTGGTCAGACAAATAAACCTTTGTTTGGTGCCGCAACCACCACTACCCAAAGTGGGTTTGGATTTGGAACTAACACCAGTACAGGAACTGGTGGACTCTTTGGCCAGGCTCAACAGAATAAGGTAGACATTGTTTCATATTTAATTAAACTTGTGTGGAAATAATAATCTGCTACATGTATCTGTCTATTATACAAATATGTATTAAATCTTAAAAATCATGTTATATCAAGATAAGATTATTTAAATAAAGCTTTTCTCACATTTGGAATGATCTTTCATCAATGTTGAAAAAACATATGGTATTTACTAGGAAAAAGTGACCAGTAGTAATTAGAAAAATGAAATAAAGTTTAATATGTCATTACTATTATAATGAATTTCTAATAATGTGAATATAAAAAACATGTTCAATGTCTATTGTGGAATTAACATTTTCTCTCTTTGTGCAAAAAGTTCTTTCCTTTAGTTTGTTCTTTTTAGATCTTTACTGATATTCAAAATATTGTTGGTTTACTTCTCTTGTATTTCACTCACAAACATGCTATAACTATATTTCAGCCATTGTTTGGTACAACAACAACTACACAACCAAGCTTGTTTGGGACAGGGACTAGCACGTTTGGTCAGCCGGCTGCATCAGGGGCAGGATTTGGGGGATTTGGGACATCTCAAGCAGTAAGTGTAGTGATTTGGCTTAAACACAAGTGAGACCAAGTGCCTGGACAGAAGTTTTCAGATTTCTTCCTAAAATTTCTTAATTTTCAGACTCTGAAAAGTCTGCCTGTTTTTCATACAAAGTTATGAAAAGTTAAACCTTATGAATTTTGGATTTTTAGTAAATGTTGACCATAGCAAGTGTAGAAAAGGGAGAATATCTCCCAAGATACAGACTTTTTCAGACACTTATTTTTTGCTGTTTGAAGTATTGATGTCTATTAAATCGTATATCAGATTTAAATGAATTACAGTGCACTCCTGATACAACGAGATCGATGGGACTTTGCATAATTCTGCGTTATAACCGGGTCTTGTTATAACCAGGACTGAACAAACTGAGAAATCTGAAACCGTCGAGCATCATTTATTTCTACTTTCGCTTTCGCGTACATCCTTTTTGAAGTGTACATAATGGGAGGTAACTCTTTGCATTCAGAAGTTTTTGTTTTATTTAAATGTAAATAAATATATCTAGCGCTCATAGAATTTAAACAAAACATATGAAAACACATACTACGTCCAACCGCGTGTGTTTTTACTAATATGTACATTTTATATTTCGTTTTCAAAGTCACGCAGTGTATTTCTCACAAACACTGAATAACACTGCAAGAAATCAGCCGCTTCGTTTTTGCTAATCCCTCAATATAATTGTTTTGTTTTGACATTTTGTCACCTTACCGGAGCGCTGACAAAACAAGGCTGACACATTTGATTGCTAATTGCTCAATAATTTCTTCGTTAATGTTAATGGACCTTAGTTTTTGGTCACCATTGTTTTTCTCAAGGTGACAAACTGGTGCAGACGAAGTGCGGTTAAAATTCTGAAAAATATGCATGGGACGGCGAATATATGTACGTTGTAACTGATATTGGGCTAAAACTGATCTCGTTATAAATGGTATAAAATGAAAGGAAAAGGGCCGGGACACAGTAAAATGTACGTTATAAGCTGTACCTCGTTAAAACCGATCTTGTTATAAGTGGAGTAGACTGTATTACCTATTCATATTTAGGGCTTCTTTAGCATTTTCTTCTATTGGACTAACTGATGATATGGTCCATTTACAAAATGTTGAAAAATTACGCAGACCATTTAGACGGAGTATGTTTTTATTTTTCAGGGTGGACTTTTTGCAAACAAACCTGCATTTGGAGCACAGGCTACCTCCACTGCTGGATTCGGAGGATTTGCCAACTCAAACTCTGGAGCAAATCTATTTGCCAAACCATTTTCTGCACCCACTCCTGGATTTGGATTTAATACAGCCACTACTTCATCGGGATTTGGTGCAAGTAAGTGCCAATTGGACATAAATCATAACAATGTTGTTTTTAGCTCACCTGAGCATATGCTCAGGGTGAGCTATTAGGATTACTCTTCGTCCATTGTCCGTCGTACGTCGTCCTTTGTCCGTTCACACTTTTAAAACAACATCTCCTCTGAAACCATAAGGCAGATCATAATGAAACTTCACAGGGATGTTCCTTGTGTGAAACCTTAACAAAGTTGTTCAAAGAATTCCATTCCATGCAGAACTCTGGTTGCCATGGCAACCAAAAGAAAAAACTTTAATTATCTTCTTTTAAAAAACCCAAAGAGCTAGAGCTTAGATATTTGGCATGAAACTTCTTCTAGTGGGTGTCTACCAAGTTTGTTCAAATAAAAGCCCTGGGGTTTTAACTGGCCCCGCTCTGGGGGGCCTATATACAGGTGAGCGACTTCAGGGCCATCATGGCCCTGTTGTATAATTCAGTTTTCAACTTGAATACTTGAAGAATATGGAGAGCTATTGTTCACACTTTGGTTAAGTTTTTTGCATGCAAGTTGGTATTTCAAAACTATTAAAGGAAATGTGTTAAAACTCCACATGCTTATTTGAGAGCATTAAAGGAGGTCACTGCCAATGTCCATAAATCTGACATGGATTTTGACAGAATTATGGCCATTTTTGAACTTCTACATTATATAGGCTCTTTTCTTACTATCAAGCATTGAGAACAGTTGAGCATTCTGGCCTACGGACAACACTTGATACAAAGGGTCAAGGCTAATTTGTGGAATGTTAACTCTAGAGCTAAAAACTGTAAATAAATTAAGAATTTTATCTTTCAGTGTAATCAATATTTTCATCCAATTATTAGCAATGTTTGACTCAAGGATGGTTATATCAACTGCTCTGTCCAGTTTCAAGACTGCCTCGGCTTAAATTAGATAGACCTGTTTAAAATCTTTGATCTTGTGTATGGATTTCTTCTAAATTCAACTCTAAATTATGTAATATATGTTTAATTATTTTCTTGTTTATTTGTGATTTCTAGCACAACCATTTGGAGCTGCTAAGCCTGCTGGTTTTGGTTTGACAACAACCGCTACTCCTTCATTTAACTTTGCTGCTGGAAACACTGCGGGAACCAGTATGTTTGGTAACACGTTGAATAAACCTGGTGCACTGGGCACGTTTGGTACTAATACTACTACAGGTAAGTTGTTTAATTAATTAATTAATTTAAGGAAGTTCTCTAGTTTTTTAAGTATGATGAATAGATCCCTGACCTCTAATTGTACAGTGTCTATTCTAGGAGGGGGGATTGGGGGATTCACTCATATTTTTGAGAATTCCCCCTAGGAAAAAGATCAACAAATGTAATATATTCTCACTTTTCGATAAAAATCCCCCCTGTTTTTCGAATCCTAGAATAGACTCTGATTCTAATTATCATATTAGTGGATACAATTCTGAATTTCACAACACCCTCTGTGTTAGCAAAAGAGCACATGGCAATGTTTGTGGTTAAAAATATTGTTATTCAAATAACAGGTCAAAGAAGGGATCTATCAATTAAGTGAATATCAAAATAAAATTTAAAGTAGTTTCTAGTTCATCTGATAAGATAGGCGATTGGAGAGATGCCCTTTGGAGAGATGCTCCTGTGGTCAAACTGTTAAAAGGTGCTGATACTAAATCTTTTGCACTTTCCCCAATGTTGGTTTGAATCCCATCATGCGAGTTAGGATTTTTTCAAGGAGGAAAAGATAAACTTTGAAGCTTAAAGTTTGGATGAGAATCTGAAGTAATGCAAGGAGTTGAACCTAAGGTTTAAACTATTATCATTCAAACACACTTATAAAAACGTTTAAACAAAAACTGGTGAGTTCTTGGTTCCGGGTGCATTGTTAGTATTTCTCAGCAATTTATTTTAAAACAATGATCATTGATATGATTAAAGCTTTTTGTCTTCCTTTGCTAGTCTGGCATGGAGCTAAATATAGATATAATATTGTATGTATATCTGTGGTACTGGTATAGAATACAGGACTATTTTGATAGTAAGTTGGTAACTGAGCTAAGGTATAGGACTGCAAACTATCAAAACAAAACTTAATATTTTGCCTTATATGATGTACAAAGAGGTAGTTAATGTCTTTCACCACCAGTAAACTTGGAAAATTACCAAATTACATTAAGTCTTTAAACACATGATATTAGAATCTGAAAAAGCGATATGATAGTATGGTGATGCTAGATGATTTGTTAATTTATTTCAGGATTTGGAGGATTCAATACTGCTAATACTGGTCTTGGAGGGGCTGCACCTACACTGGGAGGGTAAGTTCTTTTTGAATAGATATTAAACTTGTACTGGAAGATGTGCAGACGAATGTCATAATTATATTGGTATTGTTTTATTCTGGAAACTAGTGCAAGGAGTAATTCTCTTTCACAAAAAAAGCTTTCGTGATTGTATCATCCCCATTATTTTCCTCCTCACAGATTCCTCTCAGTTGCTTTAAGGACGCTGTTGAACTGTTGCGAAAAAGTTTACCCATTTTAGATAGTTTGAATACAATTTTATAGTTAGAAAGTGCATAACAATACAATATGTTGCAAGAATATATTTCCAGTTTTCTGTTGCATTGAACTTCTTGCCAATTTAAATTATTCACTTGAACTAATTCTAGTGTTGGAAAGATTTATAATTTTCTAGTAATGTTTTTATGTGTGCTTTTTTTTACACAGGACGGTCAACTCAACGGGAGTGAATCCGGCAGTACAGATTCAGCAAACACTGCTTGCCCTATCACAGTCCCCATATGGTGACTCCCCTCTCTTTTGGAACATGAAGGACAGCAAGACCAAGAGAGAAGAGGTTTTAAAGCCAACTAACCCAGTGGCACAGAAAGCGTTACTGGCAAATCAACATAAAGTGAGTCCAAGACCAATGGCAAAGATCCGACCAAAAGCATTATCTGGAGCTTTGAATGGGAGCAAGGTAGGACATATGTGAGGATTTCTGACTGCAAAAATGACTTCAACTTTTTTAATATTATTAACTCTACTGAACAGTTGCCAAATTTGTTTAATGGACTTACTTTGGTTTGAATGGTTTGAATACATATCTGATGATAGTTTTGAGACTTAAGGGATTCCATTTGAACAGATAAAAATATAGAGTCTGGTTCAAGTGCTGAGGTGTACAAAATACTGGCTGTATACTGTTGATTCTCAAAAGAGTTGTAACTTAAGATGTTTCTGTTAATTGACACACACGAATAGTGTACGTAAACAGAAAAAATGTTCCAGAACGAAAAATATTATTTTGCTATTTTAAATAGGGTTTTATCCGTTTAGCAATGATCTTGAGAAATTTTTATGATTCTGTTTATTTGCTTTATTCATGTCAAAATGATGCATCGAGCCATTGCAGTATATGTTATTTGGTGAAGAAAGTCTGTAAAGTACATTTACGTTTAACTTACCATGTCAGTAAAATACCAAACTTATAAAAAAGTGTGCTTGTTGTGTTTTTCAGTCGCAGATATTTGAAGGTTTGGAAGAAGATGATTTTAGTTTTGGAAGTGACACGTTCCAGCCAAGAAAAAGTGTTAAGAAATTGACAATCAAGAAAGTGGGACAGGATTCTAACACTCCGAGCAGAGCATCTTCTGTAAGCGGGGAACCACCAAATGTATCTTCATTGAGAGATGAGGAGCATTTCAGGGGAAGGTAAGTTTTAGGACTTTTTTATATTGATATAAGTGAACTTCTTCGTTTTAAGTTAACTTTCACTTTTTGAGAAAATTCTGAAACTATTGATGATATTAAAAAGTGTGCTTTAACTGAATGAATTGTTCTGTGTCCTTTTTAAAGTAATTTAACCTAAATATGAATATGATGAAGATTTTGAAATCAGTAATAATACCTCAATGTTTTATTAAAATGAACTGTTTAAAGGAAAAGAATATTACGTTTAGAAAATGCGAATTCGCTAAGTTGTGCTTGTAATCCAACAAGAATGAAAATATTTGAATTTTAGTTTCATTGATAGAAACTCTTTATGATCATAAGAGGGGACTAAATGGGTTTGAGTAACTGGTGTCCATGCATCTCTTAGCTCCCGCAGGTGAGGTGGTTTTGATCCCTTGCGCTGCTTTTAGTTTGTAACATTTGAGGTTAGCCAAAATTTTCTTTCCTGTTTCGACTTCATATGACCTTAATTGTGTTGTTGCACTGTATAACCAAACAAAACAAACAAAGTAAGTATTTTGTGTGTTAATGAATGTAATACAATGTGAATAAGATGTAATGTTTATGGTTAATTAGGTCATCTCCAGTCGCTTACAGTGGAGAGAGAAGACAAGATACAGATGTTCCCGAGACTGAGAATATTATCCGCAGTAAAGGCATCTCTGATCAGATGGCAGATACTCCAGATAGAAGGTATACTTTGTTCTATAAGATTTCTTGGGTCTACATAATTCTTTAATTGTTATGCTATGTTATGTTATGTATGTGTGGTGAATTATGAATAACAAGTTCTGGGTATAGCACATGTTTTTCCTGGTGATAATTTTGATGAATACATTTTGTCTACAGATATTTGGGTTCTGCATCTTATTTAAATGTTATTTTAAAAGCAGAACAGTGTATTTGATGTAACTTAGAGAATAACAGAATTGTGTGTGCCATCAAATTTATGTCAGTTTTCCAGGTGACAGCAATGTTTCATGTTCGGTTTTCATTTTTATAGAGTAACTAAAATCATTTGGAGATAAAAGCTATTGTCATCATGTATTCCTTAACAGAGATAAAAAATCTGATGTTCTTATTATGATCAAATTTATAATTTCTGTCTTTAAATTTTCTTCATGTTTTTTTTATTGCAGACCTAACATGGATGACACTATTGCTATGCTGAATGCCCAGAATAAGGCCACCAGTAACAGGGAACCAGTGAGCTCTGGTACACGGGAACCAGGACAAGATGATACAGTCAACATCAGTATTATCTCCAGAGACGAGAGTATCAATGATGACGTGATTGACGAGAGACCTGTAAGTTTAACATAGTATTTTATTTTTGTTGTTTTTTGGGGGGGGGGGATACTTTGTATGTGGGTATGTGCCTGTTTTTGTTTATTTGTTAGTCAGTTGTATAGCATCTGTTCAGATGTTGATGAAATTAAATGATATTCAGTTTTGATACTCTGTTGATTTAGGGCTTATAATATTTTTTCCCAAAACAAACAAATGGTGAATATTTGCTCTGTTACTGAAATGAAAGTTTAGTCACCAGAGTTTAATAAATTAACATATCAAACTGTAAGATGTGATATACCAACATCTCATTTGAAATAAGAGGAATGATTTGACACAGGTACATATGCGATGTGAAATTAGAAATGGCGCTTTGATATTACAGATTAAATGTCTGTGTATTAATCTAATTTAAAAAGTGTTGGTTTTCTTGATTGGGAAAGGTGAATGTTTAGACTTAGATACTGACTTGTGTCTGAAAGAATGTATGGAAAAGACTTTGAAATAATTTTTGGCAGAAAGAAGTTAGTGTAGGACAGAAATTTTAGCAATGGAACTAAAAAAATGCTTCCTTGATGACCTTGATATGATAATTATTTAGTTATCTTTTATTATCACTTCAGATGACTCCTCCCCCTCCTCACCCAGCGGGTATTGTATTATCCCGACCAGGGTATTACACAATCCCTAGTACGGAGGCCCTGGCAGAGATGGTGGATGAAGATGGGAATTGCTTCGTCGAGGATTTTACAATCGGTCGAGAAGGATACGGAAGTATCTTCTTCCCAGGAACTACAAACATTGCAAACATGAACTTTGATGAGACTGGTAAGCTTTATTGCCATCTGTGTAATTAGTGTTAGTATTGTGTTGTCGTAATTATAGACAAAATTTTTCTTATGAAAAATTCAGTTAGTCAAGTGTGCTGTTTCCTTGGACAGCTCTTGTTTTTGATCAAATCAAGCTTTTACCTGAATTTATTATCTCAATTTATGCATATTTTTATCTAGTTTTATTTTCAAAATGCATATCCATTTCCATCCAAGTTTCTAAAAGTTAAACAATATTATTCATAGTGTAATTAAATAATTAAACAAGTATTGAAGACATACTGTTTAGATTGATACAGATTGTAAGATATCCAATATTTGTTAAATTTTTGTACACAACATAATTCAGAAATGCAGAGTAAGGTATCTATGTTTAATGTATTGTTTTGTGTTATATTTTAGTGTTTTTCCGACGTAAGGAAGTGATTGTGTATCCTGATGATGATAACAAGCCTGATGTTGGGGATGGACTTAATAAGAAGGCAGAGATCACTTTAGATTGTGTTTGGCCGAGGGATAAATCTATTGGAACGCCAATCAAGGTATTGCTTATTAAAAAAATGTTCTTTTTGTTTTAATTGTGTCAAGTATGCATAGTATTTTTCTATGATTTGTAAACAATTTAAGCAACATAAAAGTTGATGTTACAATGTTTTTAATTGCATAAATCTAAATTTAATTTAAACATAAAGCAAATTCAGCAATATATTTAAAACTTTCTATTCTTATGGATAACTGAATTGACAGTGTGAAAAAAGGTAAGTGCTGTTAGCTTTCAACTACATCACTAATAGCTAGCTTGTCAAGTAGAAAAAACAATTAATTAGACGTCTAATATATCTTGATACATTTTGTTATCTTTCGACAGAGCCCTGAGAAGTTAAAGTCAATGAGATGGCAAGAAAAAATTGAAGAGAACTCCCTTAAAGTTGGAGCTAAATTTATCGATTACAGACCTGAAACAGGGTCATGGGTGTTTGAGGTAAGATTGTTTTGTCTTAAATACAATTTTATTGCCTTTCACAGCGTGTAATTGCTTTTGAAATACATTGGAAATAATGATTTTATGGTGCAAAAAGTACAGTAGATCAAAATTAAGCAGATTTCCAGCTGATTAGGGTTTGATTATTGGATAAGCTGGGATTGTTCCTTATACATGCTTAAGTTATTAATTCTATGCATCATGTAAATGCTGCATAAAGGAAAAAATTACTTTTGATCTTGGTTGTCTTTTCCAGTTTTAATCTTCAGCCATTACCCTGCTGTATTGACTCTTACCACCACTTAATATCTTAAATGGACATGTCCATCTTTTAATTTGGACTAAACCAATTATCATTTTTAGGGGAAAAAATATCAAAATAAGTTCTGACTGAATAGTGGACAGTGCAGACCATAATAAGACAGCATGGATATGCAAACTGATCTTGGTCTGCATTGGTCACATAGGAAGATTCAGTAACTACCAGGACCGGCTAAAACTTGTTCTGCTTTGAAATTTCAAGTGTGTGATATTTTAATGGTTTTGATATGAAAGTACTAGAATTGAGCAGCTAGAAATATAAAATCTTGTCAGATTGCACTTGCTGGTATAGGCAAGTAGTTATCAATGATAAAGCTTTCAAATGTTTAAGGTAAGGTTACTGTAGAAAAGAGTTAACCAATTAGTTAGCCAGTTTCACATAGTTTATACTGACTTGATCCATGCTCCTGCTGACGGCTACAAAATCTACCATTGCAACCATTGCAGACCAAGATCAACAAGCTTTTCACTATTCAGTCAATAAATATGTTGAAAATTACCGTAAAAATGATGAATTGTCTTGTCTAGATTGATAGAAGGACACATCAATTTAAGATATTAAGTTTGGTAAGGATTAATTACAAAGATATAATATTTCATTCATTAAACCTCCAATGAAAATTGGGAAGAAATAATCAAACTTTTTTAACTTTGAAATATGAAATTCTGTTATGAAAATTAGACTTTCAATTTTAATGGCAATATTTTCTGTTTACAGGTGAAACATTTTTCAAAGTACGGTCTTGTTGATGACTCAGACGAGGAAGATATGCCAGAACAGGATAAAAAACGTCTCCGCCTTGCCCAGGAACAACAAATAGCCGTACAGGTTAGTTACTATATCCGTACAAAGTAGTCGCAAAGTAGCGAGACAGTTTTGTATGAAACCTAAGTAAGGAGAAATTCTTTGTCAGAAATTAAGACCAGAAAATTAAGACCAAGCATCTTAAAACTAGGACAAAAATTGTTGGGATCTCTTCATTCAGGATAAAAATTATGAAGTCTTTCTAATTCAAGTTTTGGGTTCAAATATTTATAAGGAGTAAGGACATACTAGAACCAGATAGAGATGTAATAAACAATACAAAAGATTTGTTTAAAATGAATATTGAAACTCTGAAAATTTAACATAGTTATTTTACACAAGGCCGATGACTTCGGCAAATGTTACCAATAAAAATACACATAAAGATTAATGCAAACAGAACTGTGAATAGAAATCGTGTGAGAAACGAGTAAATTATAATATAGTGATATTTACGAAGTAGTCTACATTGTGTGGAGTGAAAGAGATATAAATTCCCTAGTGTATTAACTGACTTATCCAGGATGATAATGTTGGTGAAACATTTACAGGGATAGAGTTAACAGTGTCATAACTAAGGGGAGGAAACTGTGAAAATCTGCGGGAGAAAAAACAGTGTTTTGAAAATGAAATATGAGTGAAATTGTGAATACAAGAGAAAATTGTGTTTGAAAATAGTTCAAAATGGAGGATACTTATTTGAGTAGGAAATTCGTGGAACAATTGTGGAACTGGAGCAAAAATCTTAGCAATGTATATTTTTACATCTGTTAAGAATTGGATATATTTATGTGTTTAACTTAAACTGCATGATATAGTAATGGAATTCTTGAAAACTTTTTTTTTGTTGGAAAATATTAAAACATGTTTTTGTTAAAGGGGAGATAGTAATACAAGAGAGTGGTGGCAGATGTTTGTTATCATCTTTTATATTCTTATTTATGATTTATTTTATGTTTTTATACTGGTATCCGTAAAATATATCTTTAGTATGTTTTTGGATGACCCACGTAGATGTTACATTGTAAGAAGACAAATGGGTTCACATTGGTTTTCATCTTATGTAACATTTAATACAGGTTTCACTGTATGATTTTACTAAAACTATGATATATTTATGTTAATTTTATTTTTACATATGTAATTTAATAATGTTATCAAAGAAAGGAATGTTATTTATTTTAATGATGTGTTCCTCATCTTGTATTTGTGTTTCTATCTATTACTTCTATATATAGAGGATATCGGACAAGTGTAATTACTGAGAATGTTACTGAATTTATTGAACAAGATGAATAAAATTATAGTATGCTAGCCTCAGGCGAGCAAAATATTATTTCTTCAAGGAGTTCAATAAATTCAGTAATGAAGCTACTGGAATATAATATTCTATTAATAACATACCAAAAATAAAGACTGTTTATAGTACAAAAGAATAAAAATATAAGCACGACCGTGCAATATCATTTTTACGGAATCACACAATCGGGTATGTGATAAAATGATCCATAAGATAATCATTTAAAGACAGCTCCAAGATGATTAATTTACATGGCACATTTCAAGTACACTCAAGTTTGCGTTTTTTGAAAGGATTCTCACAATGCTGTTATCTTTTGTGACATGGACTACAGGTTTTACTGTAGCGTTAATAAACTGTTATATATTGATGTTTTATTTCATTCCTAATATACATATATATTAATAATATTATTACATATTAATCATGTAATTGAAAGCTATTTGCATTCATGTTCCCCTTATGCTTATCAGCTAGTGTTTTTAACATGTATTTTATTTTACATTATGAATTTTAATAAAAGGTATTAAAACTTCAAGTGGAAAATTTTTATTTTTATCAAACTCATATTCAAATATTTCCCGGACATGTTGTTTGCTGTAATATAATTTCATGATCATTTTATTATAGAGATGCATGTTGTTTTTGTTTTTTCAATTTAAGAGACCCACCATGACCACACTTTGCCTTGTTTTAAACATTTTCCAATTTTTATTCAGAAGCAAATGTTTTTTTAAAGATTTTTTTTTGCCATTATAAAAGCATCTGCTATTTGTAAAAGGATTAAGTGTAATTTAAAGTTTTCTCTAATTATGTAATGTGATATAGTGCTAGAGACAAGGAAATGTAATGTGTTTAGTCATGGTGGGTCTTTAATAAAGCTTTTTTGTTTGTGTGTCTTGTTACAATAATTTTATGATTTTAGCATTGTTTTTATATTGTTAATTATTTCATCATGGATCTTTGACTGTTTTGCCACTTTATGGCCTAAATTTTGAAATGTAGAGTCCTTCATGGTCAAGTGGTAAAGGTAACTGACTTTAAAACACTTGTGTTGATCTCCACTGTGAGTTTGATCCCTGTTAGAAATGTAAGATTCATCATTCTTATATTTAAGGACACTTTCCAGCTGGCATATAAAAGTTTGATGGTTCTACTCAGGTGCCAGTTTGTGCCTGAAATAGTAGGCAAAAGGACACCTGCGATCTGTCTCGACTAGGAAAGCTGGAAAGTTGTCATATGACCATTACTACGAATAAAATAATATAGAAATTTATCATTTTTTTATTTGTTTCATTTTCATTTTTTCTATGAGTTAACAATAATGACACATGGATATTATTGTGTAATAATTTATTGTGGTGTCTGTTAATATATGTTTACAATTATATTGTATTTCTATAACTTACGCTTTGTGAATATTGTTGGTTTAAATCTTAATTGTTGGATTGAACAATTTTCATAAGATGACTCCTAAATAAATTTTGGCACAACAAAATTGTAAAAATATTGAGTAACAATATTATGATGTTTCCACAAATTAAAGTGGCATTGTGTCAGTCAAAGAATAAATGGCGGGTGTTCAGGTAAATTGAAATAACTACAGTTTTCAATTTTATAATATACGTCACCTGAGTAATCAATGACCCTTGTGACCCACATAAATACCTGTCGGAATTATCGGTTATGTTCAATTTTAAGAGTGGGACAGTCTTTATATTTTAGGCAGTTTTTATATCTTATCCAGAATCCTAAACATTTCTAATTATCAATTATTATTCAATGATCATTAAAATAGTCAATCTTTTGAAATACACAACTAATTTATCTCAGCTTGACAATGAAATAAATTTGCATCATGTAACTTTTTATTTATCCCCTCCCTTCCCCGGGTCTCCTGTATCCTTCCCCTTTGTCCTTTGACATTAAGGGTCTATTTTTCAATCATTTGTTTGTTTTCTTTAAGTTCCTTATAAGTTACTAATTATTTATGATTTTAGTGGTTACTTGCCCATGCTCTGCCTTGTGCCCTGTCCTGCTTTTGTTTGGGGTCCTCCTGGGCTCCTTGCCACTGGCTCTTGTTGCTGGGTCGGGTGGGGGTTGTGTTATGTCGGTTCATTGAATGACGCCTTTCCTTGTTGATCTTGTTCATCATATTTTAAATAATAACTTTATAAAATTGTGATATTACTGAACTATTCATAGAGAGTGATTAAAATCATTTATATCATCACTTGTTTATAGATAATTTATTTTTATGCCCCCGCCATATAATGGCAGGGGCATATAGTGTTACCCTGTTTCGTCATTCCGTCATTCCGTCCTTCCGTCATCATCAGTTTCCGTTCATTATCTTAATAACCCTTGCACATATTGAACTCAAATTTGACATATGGATATGTCATGAGAAAATACAGGTCAAGTTCGAAATTGGTCATGGTTCGATGATTTTTGGCAGAGTTATGCCCCTTTTACATTGAAAATAATATGAAATTTTCAGTTTCCGTTCATTATCTCCCAAACGGTTCAAAACATTCAATTCAAAATTGACATATGGATATGTCATGAGAAAATACAGGTCAAGTTCGAAATTGGTCATGGTTCGATGATTTTTGGCAGAGTTATGCCCCTTTTACTTTGAAAATAATATGAAATTTTCAGTTTCCGTTCATTATCTCCCCAACGGTACAACACATTCAACTCAAACGTGACATATTGATATGTCATGAGAAAATACAGGTCAAGTTCAAATTTGGTCATGGTTCGATGATTTTTGGCAGAGTTATGCCCCTTTTACTTTGAAAATAATATGAAATTTTCAGTTTCCATTCATTAACTCCCCAATGGTACAACACATTCAACTCAAACTTGACATATGGATACGTCAAAGGAATGGGCAGGTCAAGTTCAAATTTGGTCATGGTTCAATGATTTTTGGCAGAGTTATGCCCCTTTCACTTAGAAAATAATATGAAATTTTCAGTTTCCGTTCTTATCTCCCCAATCGTACAACACATTTAGCTCAAAATTGATATATTGATACGTCAAAGGAATGCGCAGGTCAATTTCAAATTTGGTCATGGTTCGATGATTTTTGGCAGAGTTATGCCCCTTTCACTTTAAAAATAATATGAAATTTTCAGTTTCCGTTTATTATCTCCCCAACAATATTACACATTCAACTCAAATTTGACATATGGATATGATTTTGGAATGCGCAGACCAAGTTCGAATCTGGTCATGGTTCAATGATTTTTGGCAGAGTAATGCCCCTTTCACTTTGAAAATGATATGAAATTTACAGTTTCTGTTTATTATCAACCCAACAGTGTTACATATTCAACTCAAAATTGACATATGGATATGTCAAAGGAATGCGCAGGTCAAGTTGGAATTTGGTCATGGTTCGATGATTTTTTGGCAGAGTTATGTCCCTTTCACTTTGAAAATAATATAGATACATCTTAGGAATAAGCAGTTTAAGTTTGAATTTGGTCGTGGTTCAATGATTTTAGACAAACTTATCTTTCCTGAATGTTGGAAAAATTTTGAACTTTCAGTTTCAGCACTCATACTTTTGTGGAAATGTATATAGCCATTATGTTGGCTACAAATATGCAATATGCTATTTTTAAAAGGTTAAGACTGAATTATAATTTCAGTGCCTTGAACATTGTATAAAAATGGTTTGTGTTAACATTGAAAAGTTTTAAGGGCTTTGAACTTAGAATGAAAAAAATAATTTGTGCAAACAAATTTGGAACTAAATATTATAACATTTGAAATTTTGGCTGCATGCGGGGGCATCCGTGGCGTGATGACACATTTCTAGTTTTCATATATTTGGCAAAATTTTAAGGATATGTTTTAACATTATTCTAGAAAAGGTTTTAATGTCCTTCAAAATTTGATGTAATAATGTTTTTTCCTTTGTTATTTATTAAATTAAATAGTCTAATATAGGATTTGTTTTAACATATAAATTCAAGTAATTGTAGGTATACTGATAATGATAATAATTGATCATAGTACTGATAATAGTAATGAAAATGCATGTTTTACAAATTATCTATTGCAAAATATTAATTTAATTTGTGGTGTTCTAATAAAATAAAATCAAATTTGTTTTCTAACTTGTACTTAAATCCTAAATTCATTCTGTAGATACCAGTAGATCATTTTGATTTGGGTCCTTTTTTCTAAGATATTTAATTGACCCTTAGATCTTTAGTGGCATTTATTACAATAAAATACAAAACACAACAAAATTTTATTTAGCAGTGAACATAAATATTTGTTTTAATTGAGCCAATACAAAAAAAACTTCAATGACAGACATGGAAAAAAGAATGAAATTTCTGATTACGTATGTCAACAATTCTCATAAAAAACCTAGATTAACTACATATGTTTGTTACAAATACAGAAAAAAAAACTTATTACTAGTTATAAAGATAAACCAAAAAGACCTATGCCAGCATTGTAGGGCCAGAATGTTAGGCACAAAGAGTCGCCATCAGATAAGCATGAAAGACAGCTTTTAACCTTTTAAGTGTTGGTATGAGAACAAACCTAACATATTCTCCCCAAACAAACAAAAAATCCACAACCACAAGCCAATTAAAGAGAGTATTAATTTAGATCAATTACATCATTGTAGATGTTATTTGGATGAATAACTAGAGAGATGCATATGTATGAATGATAATAAAGTATGTGATATGAGATTACAACTGTGATGAAATCATGTTAAAAGGTGGCTTAACTTGATTCCATAAAGTCTGCTCCTAAATAAAACTCTTGAGCAAATATCATTGAAATTTATGTAATGGTCTATTAATATGTAACAAAATATCAAAGAAACCCCCAATATTTGAAACAAATGTTATACCAAACTAACAGCTAGAATAATTTAACCAAAGTTAAAGGCAACTTGCATTGGAATTTCAGTATTATCTGTAAAGAAAAGAAGAGGAATATAATTGCATTGTTCTTTCTGTCATAGCAAAGCCATATATTTGAGAGTATAAGACATGTCTGGTTTTCTTACAAAATGTTTTGTGGCTTTGCATTGTCTTGGAGCCCAGTGAATCATTTAAAATTATGTTAGTATAATTAGAGTTGCTGCCCATAGTGAATGGTTTATATTTAAGAGCAGCAAAATTTTACTATTATTTTTGTTATATGGAAAGTTACAGTTCATTGCATTAATTTCATTTCAACCATCGTCAACCATTGTTTTTGTGAACAGAAACAAAAACTTCACCTGGAGAAACAGAAACAGCTAGATGCTTCGAAAACGGGGGCTTCACTTACACATGCAGGGGCTGGCAGACAGGTGGCAAAGTTCACAGTTGGCCCAGACGAGGATAGTGATGGGAGTGGCACTATGAGGACCGAGGTTCCCATGGGGGATGATGATAATCAGATATCGGAACCTTCACAAGGGGGAACTAGTGAGATAGTAGGAGAACTTGGTAAGTTACGAAATTGTAACCCCTTGTGGCTTAAGGGTTGCCTTTAATGGTTGAGGCATAAGAATTGCAGCCACCGTTAATCTTTGTGTGATTGTAAGAGGCAGCTTAATAGGTTCAAACAAATCTAGTCTATGCATCTCTTAGCTCCACCAGGTGAGGTGGTTTTGACCCCAGGTGTTGCTTTTAAGTTTGTAACACCTGAGGTTTGCCAAAATTATCTATACTGCTTCAGCACCATATGACCAATACTGTCTTTGTGCACCATAAAACTAAGCTATTGTAGACAAGTGACTCTTGATGCGAGAGTTAAAATACAGAGGAGGGTCAGTATGATGGTTAAGAGGTCTATCTCTCAAGCCACTTATCATATGTGTTCAAACCATACTAAGGTCAATTGATGACCAAACTTTTTTCCTCAAGGGGTTTCTTCTAATTGGTTAGTCCAGGAAGTGGTGAAAATGTGGCTAAAATAAGCTTCAAGCTACCATTTTGAGAAAATAATTAATGTTACTAAAAGTTGTTGATTGTATATGCATATTCAGACATACCAATATTGCTGTTTTTCAGTGGGATTTATTTATTTATTCAGCATGGGGTAGTGGCATAAGATTCACAAAGGTTTCTATAAGTTGATATTTAGTAAAAAGGGGGAAGGGCACAAAATACAAAATGTTTTCTTAAAGCTATTATTTAGTCAAAAGGAAATTAAAGGATTTTTGAGCCCTAATTGATTAATAAAGGACTTTTTAATGAAATGAAATAGCTTAAGAATGATAATTTATATAAAATGGTTAAAAGACTCCGGACCTCAATGCCAAGGTCATATTGAAATGAGATAAAATCAGCTATTGTCACCGTTGACAGCTATATTTAGATTCCCTCACAACATTTTTCATGGTTAACATGAATGTTTAATCAACTTGATAATTTGATATGAAAAAAATGTTTGTAAAATTGAAGATGAAATTTAATTTATTATGTTATTTGTTAGCTATACAATTGTGTGTATTCTTCCTAAATGTTTGAGAATGTAGACCACTAGACCTTATACAAATATTGTTGTAATTGTAGATGATGAAGATTTTGATATAGCAGATGAGCAACCATCATCTCATCGCTTAGCAACCAGTATGGGTGTCGATGCTCGAAATATGCAGGTGATGAAAGCGTCATTCTTTGGTGACGAGGATGCCCCTGTCCCTGCATTTGGTAAGTGAAATTTGATTTTATAATGAAACTTATTCTTAGGGCCTTCTTTGGCCGTTTAGTCAGGTCAGTGACACGAATCACGTGCCGTTCCACTTCTATGACTACGAAACCCACCAGGGATTTTTTTACTATGCCCTCGCTCTTTAGGGTCAGTCATATAGACTGCCCTCGTCAGTCTTTCAAGCTGTTCATCCATAGATTGACAAAACAGAGGACACGTTTCTTGTTCTTTCCTGTGAGGAAGCTATCCGGCTAGCTTATGCAAGGTAGAAATTGTACTCCATTTTTCCCACTTATGCCTAAAATATTCATGGAGGGTCACCTGAGGTCTTCATCCAACATTTCAGGTACAAACTTACCAATGTTGAATGTAGGTTAACTTTTTTCTTTGCATTAAAAAGTAAATAAATATAATGTAAAAGTACTCTCAAAACTGCTCGGTCTAATTGGAAAGCAATTCTTTTCATTTAAATGCAAACCCATATCAACTATAATTTGCTCTCATAAATAGATACACATGTACTACTGTATATTGCTGGTGTAAATATACTAATCATGCAGGTAACCTGTATTATTTTCAATGAAATTGTATCAAAGGATGTAAAGCAAATATTTTAAATATATTTTTCTGAATTACCCACATTTTCTTATGTAAGGTTCTTTTAAAGTAAGTACACATGCACTTAAAATTACAGCAGTATACAGATTATTGATTCATCTTTCAGACGGTTCAATGTTTTCCAAGAAGCAAGGTTCTCAGATTGGTTCACCATTGCTTAGACAGGTGGATAGTCCCAGTCTGTTCAGTTCTAGCCTGAAATCGAAATACATGTCACCAGTCAAAATTGTTAATGTGCCGCAAAAGGAAATAAGTAAAGAAAAGAGTAAGTATTATCAAGAGCTTATATATCAAGATTATTTGATATATATTAGCATTTCTTACAAGCAATTAGAGTGAAATACTTTGTTGTTTTAAAAAGATTTTGTTTGGTAACTGAAGTGAGATCAAGACAAATCAAATCCACGTTTGTAAATTACTGTGAATTCACTTAATTTTGTGGGCATGAAATTTTGTGTTTTTTCACAAAGATAATTTTTGTTGGTACTTAAATTTGAGGACTGTTTATTTTTCTAAAAGTTAAAATGTAAATAATGTCATGCAAAATAATCTTACAGCAGACAAACTGAAATTGATTTGGATCTCAAATCTGTGGATTGAACTATCCAGGACAACCACAAAATTTAGTGCCCCACAAATGTGATGATTTTGCATTTATACATTTTTTTAGAGAGAAAGGACATTTTGCTAATATGTTAATAGAATCATTTGGAGTCTTTTGTATTGATAATAGTTATTTGCAATCTTCTAAAAACCTCTTACAATATTTATGGTGATAAACCTTATCAACAGTCTGACCTAGATACATTTTTTGTCCGCTTCACATTTGTATTTATTTTACATTTAAGTCAGAAAAGAACTTGAAATGGACAGTTCTGGATTTTAAGGACAGCTTCATTGTACAGATTCAATAGAAAGAGGTATAATTGCTTGTATTAAAAAGAACTCAGAGATGATGTTGTGTTGAAAAATCTTATGATATTTTGCAGGTTTATTTTCTCCCAGACTCATTACTCCAGAGCCGATCAGAGCTACCAGGTCGCCTCAGACCTTCCACCCACCTGTAAAGGAGTACATGTTACTAGAGAGTGGCATGACACCACAAGATTATCAGCAAAGAGTTGTTGGGGCTAGGGTTGAAAAGGTCATTCCAACAATAACGGAGAGTTTCACTCACATGAAGCAGAAACTTCTCGTAGATGCTGGCATGTTTATGGGAAGATCATTCCGTGTTGGTTGGGGACCAGGCTGGACCCTGGCTCATTGTGGAGACATTGTACAACCTAAAGATTCTGGTAGGTTGTATATATATGTACTTAATGGTGGAAATAATTTGTTTTTATAGCGTCATCAGATTATACATGTGAGAAAGCTATTCAGCAAGGTTACAGAATGTCTGTATTTCTACTCAGGTTCCCATTTGTAGACTGAAACAATATACAGAGGGGCACTTAAGGTCTTCCTCCACCATTAAAGCTGAAAGGTTGCCATATGGCCTGTTCTGTGTTGGTGCGATGTTAAACCCCTATATTATATCCCTATTTCTATGTTGCTTTTAATTAAATATCAGTACTAAAAAAAGTGGAGTGTTCTGTCTGCTGACAGGTCTTGTTACATATCTATTACCACCCACTGTTGATGTTGCCATGTAAGGCCAGTGGGTATATCTAATCTTATCTTGTTATTTAAATTGTCAGTGTTTGTCAAATATTTTTTGCATGAAATATCAGAAAATCTACTAAGGTTCATTGTATTTCTTATATTGTAGTTAATAGTTTTAAGCCCCTTTTAAAAAATAAAACAGTATCTAATGGCTGCAGTGTGTTAAAACAATGAGAAATTTAACTGCAAGTTTTAACTATGTTCATTTAACAGAGGAGGAAAAGCCTACAAACACATTTAGTTTATTTGCCGGAGGTCAGAAACGGAGCCCGACACAGGGGGAGACACGCTGGAACGTACATTTACAGAAAATCAACATTGCTGATCATATACAATCTATCGACAAAACTGTCATTGTAAGTTAATACTGTGTTATTTCATATTCTTTAAGTGTTTGTTAGCGGTATGGTGTAAGTAATTAATAGTTAAAGAAAATCAGAGGCTTAAAATGGAGTGAGTGATGTACTTTGAATGAAATTTGTAGAGTGATATAAGTGAGCAATATACAAAAATATTTGTATACAATAAATGAGATGTACAGTGAGTGATATACAGTGAGTGATCTGTAGTGAGTGATATACACAGTGAGAGATATACACAGTGACCGAAATACAGTGATCTGTAGTGAGTGATATACACAGTGAGCAAAATACAGTGATCTGTAGTAAGTGATCTGTAGTGAGTGATATACACAGTGAGCGAAATACAGTGATCTGTAGTGAGTGATATACAGTGAGTGATCTTAAGTAAATGATATATTAAAGACCGTGAGTGGTATACAGTGAGTAATATACACAGTGAGTGATCTGTAGAGAGTGATATACACAGTGAGTGATATACACTGTGAGGTGATCTGTAGTGAAGGATATACACAGTGAGTGGTATACACAGTGAGTGATCTGTTGTGAGTGATATACACAGTGAGTGATCTGTAGTGAGTGATATACACAGTGAGTGATATACACAGTGAGTGATATACACTGTGAGGTGATCTGAAGTGAGTGATATACACAGTGAGTAATTAACAGATATTTTATGTGTAGTGAATGATATGCTGCAGGTTATATGTAGAGAAATACACTAAGTGATATACAGTGAGTAATATACAGTGACTGATATACAGTGAGTGATGTGTAGTGAGTGATGTGCCGCAAGTTATCTGTAGTGAGTTATATACAGTGAGAGAAATACACTGAGTGATATACAGTGAGTAATATGCAGTGACTGATATACAGTGAGTGATGTGTAGTGCGTGATATGCTGAGAGTGATCTCTAGTGGGTGAAATACAATGATATACAGAGTGTAATATACAGAGATATGCAGTCTGTAGTGAGTAAAATACAGAGGTTGATATGTAGTGTGTGATATGAAAAATATCTCAGTGAAAAATCATAAATAAATATTTTTGTTTCAGCAAAATCACCGTGAAATGTTAGAGATACAATTGGTTCATTCAAGGAGTACAAGGGAAGGCAACTGTCCTGTATTTACTCCATCTGTTGGAGTAGAGGCCTTGCATCAATATGCTGAGAGAAATCAAGATGAACTAGAAACATTAGGTATGACAAATGCTACAATTCATATTTCTACAGTCAAATTTTATTATGTAAGATTTAGAGTGATTGAAGCAAATTTCCATATGAAATTTAGCAAAATAAATTTAAGGAAGATTCTATGTTACATTGATGAAATTAAAGGAAAATTAATTAATATTTTGAGAGCTCACTGAAACGTTTTTGGTAGCCAAGCCACTTTGAGAACAAGATAAATATAGTCCTTGATGCTATTTTGTTTATTTATGCAGGTTCCCATCCAGATGAGGCTAGTGTGAAACATATGGGTATGGTGTGGGACCTTTGTGTAGCATTATGGGGAAATATGCCAGAGTTTAAAGATACAGGTTAGTATGAAGATATTTAACATATACATCTTTGAAAGATTACTGTGAATTCGCTTAATTTTGTGGGCATGAAATTTCGTGGTTTTGTCACAAAGAATATTTTCATGCGTTCATAAATTTGTGGACTGTTTATTTTTCCAAAAAGTAAAATGTAAAAATGTGATGCAAAAATATCTTACAGCAGATGAAATGAAATTTTGTTTGATTCTTACAAAAAAAAACCAGGAAAATTAGTTCCCACAAATATTAATGATGTTGCAGTATATAAGAAATTCTGCACATTTATACAAGTTCAACTTCATGGATATTAATATTGAAACTCAAACTAACAATGCATAGATCAATTTTCATAGCAGAAATAGTCCATTTTACAATTATAGCAATTTTAAGGGTTACAGTGTTTTCCCATTAGAGTTATTTTTCTCTTTTCCTTATTTAGATGTTGAGAGGGATTCATACCTATACCACAATGCTCGTAGAGAGGCATTCACAAGATGGCTGTCTTCTGTATCAGCCGATATAATCAGAGAGGAAGTTCAAGAAAGTAAATATAAGGTAGGTAAACGAGTTTATGCATAATTATTTTGATTATACAAATATAAAAGTATAATAGTTAGAAAATAATTGTATATAGTTGTCTTAACAAGGGTTTATAAGTTTCTTTAATTATACTTTTGAAAGTGTATTATTAAGGAAGAATGTTTCAATGTTCGAAAAATATTACTAAAGCAAACCTTGCCTTTATGATATTCCAACAATTGAAGCTAAAAATTTACCTTCAATTTGGGTGTATATTTTCAAAGTTTGGAAGAATCAGTTACTATTTTCTTATTGGGGTAAGGGTGAAATAGTGCCTTTGGGTGAAGTTGAAATAAGCAGTAATTCCTTTCCAAAATGTCATTATATTAATATAAAAATGGAAAATAGTATCAATATAAATTAGGACAAAAGATGTTTGTAACATTTCTCAAATTTTGCAAAACCAAAAAGTGAAAAAGATTGTGAAGGAAATTTTATGCTTTTATTTGACATATTTTTGGAGCATGAAATTTTGTATACTTACATTTGAATACAGGACCAAGGTCATCTACAAGCCATTTTGAGTTGTCTGACAGGCCATCAAGTAACAGAGGCATGCAATTTGGCACAGAAGTCTGGCGATCACAGACTCGCACTTCTGCTTGCTGAGGCTGTAAGCAACTACCTACCTAGACAGATGGTCTCAAAACAACTGGAAGAGTTAATTGAGCTTGGGGTAAGTAATAAAAAACCCAGATTATTTCTTTTATATAAAATGCATAGAAAATGAGAAACTTTTACAGAGTAGATGTTTTGCTTGACTTATTGAAAAATAGTAAGACTATTTCATACAGTCATGACATTGTTTAAGTAACAGACTTGGTTGACATTTGTTATACTAGTAGCAGGACAGTAATGGTTATAGCTTGACTATTGGAAGAATAGGGAGAGCTTTTGAACGCACCAAGGCATTGGTGTCACACTTTTGCAAATAAGTTGATGTCTCAAAAACGCATGTAAGGGATGAATTTAAACATCACACACTTATTTCAGATCATAGTAGGAGGTCATTTTTCAAGGACCATACCTCTAACTTGGATTTTGACAGAATTATGGCCCGTTTTGAACCTAGAAAATTCTACATTATCTATGATCTTGTGTTATTATCAAGCACTGAGAATAGTTGTGCTTGCTGACAGCTCTTGTCATAACAAACTATATGTTCATGTCTGGAAAAAATACATTTTGACATTCTAATTTTGTACCATGTTATATGACATTGCTGTAAATGCCCAGTTCTTTTTGCTTTTCAGGATGATACTTTCTACAATCAGACAAGGCTGAAGATTTACAGTTTATTGGCCGGACAACTTGTGTTGCCTTGTAATACTGTGACAATAAATACATGTGAAGGAATGGACTGGAAGAGAGCATTGGCATTGCATTTATGGTAAATGATCTGGGTGTTTTGTTTGCTTTTTGGCTTTTTGCATGAATTAAACATTAGAAAGATCATAATATTATGCATGTTTCTAGTGCAGATGTATATTCAAGTTAAATTGTATTTTTAGTCAAGCTCTAGGTTATTGTAATGGCACTAATTTCATACAAATTCTTACAAGATTACTAATAATATGTTTAACAACAGACATATGCCACCAGGATAAACTTGGGCAAATCAAAAGAACTATATAGTTGGCATACTAAGATGTGCACGATTTTATACATGAAAACAGAGATTTTGTTAGTAGTTAGGAAATGATTATAAGATTGTATATTTACTTAAATGTGACTAAAAATTTGAATTGCTTTCAAATACTTTTTTTCTCAATGAACAGGTATTGCTGCCAACTAGAGGCACCTATACAAGAAGCTGTAGAACTTTATGAACGAGCATTCAAAGGGTCACATGAGAATCAGATATATTCCCGCCCACCGTTACCGCCGTACATCGAGGCCGAGGACTCCGGCGAGATGGAATTCTCCGTAAGAGATACATGCTATCACTTGCTGTGTCTGTACTGTCAGAAATGTCATCAGTTAGAACGTCTTCTGAATCCTACTACGTCTACAGCAAGCCATCTAGATTATAGACTTAGGTTTGTTATTGAATAATTCTATTTATTGATCTTTCGTTGTGTATTTATTGATCTTTCGTTGTGGTACAAGGATTTAGTTTATATGTTATTTATGTAAAGGAACTCCGCTGAGGTACAAATGCCTTATGTTACTGGTTTAATTTGGGTATATTATTTGAAGAATTCAATACATTGTACTGTGCTTTGAAACTTTTTTACACATTATCCCCAATATGCATATAGTTCTTATATTAATCCTGACTGATAAATATTTTATTTACTATGTTGTACAGTACATCTGGTTCTATTTACAGCTGGCATTTAAGTCAAGTGCTTCAAAGTTTATCGTACAATCACCTGTCAGCGTACCATAGAGCTAGTCTACATATGAACTTCGCAGCACACCTGGAATCTCTAGACCTCTGGGAGTGGGCAGTGTTTGTGGCATTACACATTGAAAACCCTATCAGGTAATTATCATTATTGACTGCAACAAAAATAATATATCAGTGAAGTTAATGGCATCATCTCTCATAGTGACTTATGAAAGATTCTTAAATAGATACAACTTAGCGTTCAAGTTGATATTACTTGATATTTGTGCGATATGATTTCAATATCTCCATATTAACGCATATACACCCAAGAAAATATGTAAAAAAATTGTATCAGATTGCATTACTGTTATTTGGTTGTGTTTGTTCAAAATATATTAATGGATTTCAATCAAATTCAGGAAAACTAAACCTTTGTTTTAAATGCTAGTGGATTGTTGTTAAATTAAAATTCATCTGGAAGAAAAATCTGGAGAAGTTCACAAAAATACCCATAACAAATACATAATCTTGCAATAAAACTTTAGAGGTAAAGCAGACTTTCAAGTACATTTACACAATAATTTTATATACATGTATTTCTTTAAGAAATAGTCAAATTATAAGGAATTGGAAATTTAATTTAAGGACAAATTAGATCAACTTGACACACTTATTTTCTGTTTGGAATGTCTATGATTAAATTTTATCATATTAGAATTTATATTTTAAATATTTGCTTATATACATCAGATAGAAACATGTTGGTAGAAGGTATTTAGGATATTTTGATTAATGTTTTTCAGTCGAGAATCAGCTGTGCGCAACATTCTAAATCGTCACATTCAGTTGTCATCATCTGAGTTATACATAGAGAAAGAGGAATTATTGAATGAACGTTTGTTGGTACCTCTTGAATGGATACATAGTGCTAAGGTAATTGTATACAACTATATATATATATATTATTCAATATATTGATCCTTTGCAAGTTTAAATAATTTGCTTCTCTGTTCTTTTCAGAGAAAACTGTCAAACAGTATTAACTTTTGAGTAATCTTTTTTTCAAATGGATATATAAGGCATGTAAGTGAGATGCTAACATCGAATAATTTGACCTTCACTGCTTGGGGTAAATATCACCCTTGAAACATAAGATTTTCATGTGATAAAGTTAGCTTAAGAAAGGTTGGTGCTTGCTTGTGTCTAAAATAATGCATGGAAGACACCTGAGGTCTTCTTCGATCAGAAGGACTGGAAAATTTGCCATATGACTTTGATACTGTAAATGTGACTTCAAAAAAAAAAAAAAAAAATTACAACTCCTCACAAGTTGGCTTATGTTTCAAGGCTATAAAACAATCAGCCTGATTTAAAGCAGAAATTCTAGAGCTAAGTGTTCTAGTGAATTGGTTAAACAGCTGACTTATTCAGAGATACTTGTAGGGTGGGCCGATTTTATCTATGTCAATTGACCTGTGATCTTAATAGAGTGGCAAATGCAAGGAAAGAAACATTCTTGATAATCAAAAAAGCAGATGCTACGAGTCACATTATGAACATTATAATAACATTATTACATGTATATATCTGATTTCAGGCACTGAGAGCAAACTATGAATCCAAGCCTCAAGAAGAAGCCTGGCATTTATTAAAGGCTGGACAATGGAATAAAAGTCATGAGGTTATAATGAGATATATAGCCCCTGATGCAATTATACATGGTATGATTATATGTTTATAAATTTCTTTCATCTGACTCTTAGTTTATACACAACTTATTTTAGTTTGATTATGTAGGAAGTTATAAGCTTACAGACACACTCTTTATTAGTTCTTTTAACCAATCATTAAAAAGCAATAAGTGTAAAATTTCTTGTTCAAGGATATGATGGCTTGCTCCTGACAGGGTTTGAACCCACGCGACTAGGAATCCTAAGACTTCGAGTCTAATGTATTAACCACGACCATGGCTCTGCTGGATATTCTATATCCTCATGTAATGCAACAGCACTTTAATTTTCCTGAAGGTCAGTTAGGAAATCTTTAGTTGTTTCCCAACTGTACTTAATCTTATTTGGCCTTGAGATAGAGTAAACCATGTATTTATGAGATTGAGGGTGCCATCCCTAGCTCTTATAAAACAAGCATGTATTGCTCTTGATATACATATAGTGCACAGTAAAAGAAAAAATATTCAGGTTGGTGTTTTAACACTCGTATTTTAGGTGTAACATGATTGACTATAATTATTGGTTTAATGTTTATTCCAGAACGTCATGACTACTTGTACGAGTTCCTGGCAGAGTTATCTGCCCCCGTTCGAAGTGCTACAATATTAGACTGGCATATTGCTGGAAGTGTTTACCTGGAGTATATTAACATCTCTAATAGTATGAAGCAACTTTCTAAGGTACATAAATTTATTGCTTACTATGCATTTTTTAGCTCGACTTTTCTATGAAAAGGGGAGCTATCCTACTCGCCCCGGCGTCGGCGTTGGCGTCACACCTTGGTTAAGTTTTTCGTACCACCCCACTTTATTTCAGAAGTATTACAAGTATGGCTTTGAAACTTACCATACTTGTTCACCATCATAACCTCCATCTACAGACAAGAGTACATAACTCTGTCAAGGTTTTTGACAGAATTATGGCCCTTTTTTGACTTAGAAAGTGTATTGAGCTTGGTTAAGTTTTTTGTACCACCTCACTTTATTTCAAAACCATTGGAGGTATTGCTTTGAAACTGACCATACTTGTTTACCATCACGACCTTCATCAACAGACAAGAGGACATAACTCTGTCAAGGTTTTTGACAGAATTATGCCCCTTTTTGACTTAGAAAATACATTGAATATCGGTAAAATCCACTTATTGCCTTAACCCTTTGAGATATTGCTTTGAAACTTTTAATGCTATTTCACATCATTACCCCCATCTGTACGCAAGAGAAGGTAACTCTGTCAAGGATTTGTTTTAAAAATTAAGGCCTTTTATCGACTTACAATCTTGGTTAAGTTTTTAGTACCAGTCCACTTTTTGACTGAACTGTTTGAGATATTAATTTGAAAGTTGGAATACTTGTTTACAATCATGATTCCCAAACATGTCCAGGAGAAGGTAATTCTGTCAAAGATTTTATTTGAATTATGGCCCTTAACTGTCAATGTTTTGTATTATAGGCAAGCACTAAAGCTTGATAAAATTTATCTATTACTTGTATTATAAGGTAACTATAATACTTTCACATACAAAGTCAAATCTATATATTATGCTGATTGTACAAAAATATACTGCTTCCTTGGCATAGATTTCTTGAAAAATTATGTTATTATGTCATTTACCAAGGTGTTCTGAGTGACGTAAAAATACCTTATTCTCTCAAAGTGGGTTTAATACTATTAAATTTATTTAAGGCTCAACTCAGTTTTTTTTTCTTTCTTACCAGCCCTCTTTTGACTTAAACATTTCAAACTTTGCTGCAGTGTTCAAGGGTATCACACAATTCAGTAAAATAATTCTTCACTAAATATCTTAATGCTCATGGCCATTGTTCACTTTAAAAATACAGAGATTCTTGTATTGCCTTTTACTGCAAAAACTTTTTTTATTGGCAAGCAATAAAAAAGTCGAGCGCGCTGTCTTACGGACAGCTCTTGTTCAATGAACTTTTTGCACTGACACAGATATTCCAGGGGTTGATGGTTTGATCCTTTAGCAAGGCAGAATTTCTCTGTGATAATTAGTCTAATGGTCATTTGTCTCTTACTGCTGATTCAGAAATCATGTTTAATTACAAGAGGGTCACTTGCTGAGAAATTGGTAATTATTGGTTAGTTATCCACGAAAGCATGTTAGGTTGTTTTGATTGCCAAGATATGACCAAAAATGAGTTAAAAATCCTTGGGGGGGGGGGGGGGGGGACAACAGAAAAACAAGCAGACATTTTTATAATACAGCAAATTTTCTTAATTTGAAAAAAAATAACTTCATAAATTGACAGCATCCATATATAATTATATAGTTTTTATAATACTGCACATTTGTAACGTTGCTTTTCATTGGATAATCGCGATGTTTACATAGTTTTATATACATGGCTGCTGTTGATTTGAGTTATAGGGTCATCAAAACCTTGATATTTTGATAGGTATACTATGTGTGTATTCCAGTATTGTCTTGGTGTATGAAAAAAATATCTTGCACATCTTAATTTGTTATAGGCTGGTGAGCCAAACTTGTATGAATTAGACAAACTACTACCTGAAGTGAAATCATTGTGTACTAAAGTGGGAAGTATTCCATGTAGAAACTCCAAGGACAGGTAGAGTTTAATCTTCTTAAGATATAATTAAATATGATTAATATAAAATCTATACATGTACAAAAGAAAAAGAAGAATTACTCTGATAAAGATTTTCTTTCCAGCCAATTGTTTGATCACCTTGTCCTATAGGGCAATAGATATGTGATTATTTAAACATTAATTTTTAACTTAAATATCACATTATCTTTTTCTTCTACTTCTTACGTTAATATACAGATGTCTAGCTCTAACAGTATTTTAAAGGATAGTTCTTTTTAAAAAAAGTTCCAAGAGACTACATTATTGTACACAATGGACTGGTATAATTTCAAAATCTAATTTCTGTTGTTGTTTTTTTCTTTTTGCAAAACCAGTTTATGTCAAATAAATGTATATTTTCAGATTGTGTCAGTCAGAAATGGGAAAGAAAGCGACAAACTTTTTACGCCTGATTCTCACATTTCAAGCTGAAGCCAATGGGGAGCCCCAGCCTCCAATGAGGTAAGCTTTTGTAATATTTCATTATAAACTTTCCTACATAGTTCAGCTTCTAGTGTAAGAAAAAGAAGATGACCTTGACTTTAGATTAAAAATGCATTCAAGACATTTACTTCTGTATGTTAATACTAGGAAAAACCTTTAGTGCAACTGTCTGAAAAAGATACACAATTTGAAGAAGGCAAAATCAATGGCCTTTATTGCCCAGGTTGTTCCGCAGCCTGTATGGACAAGTGAAAATTTTCAAAATTTACTGTATAAATATCATATGGACAAATTTAAAAAAATGCTTTAGTTTAAAACGGACAAATAAGTCCAAATCAAATTTTGCCGGCCCTGTCAATGAAGCAGTTACTTTTAATATCCAGCATTCATGAATGAAAATTAAAGAAATAAAACTATGATACTATTTATATTTCAGGCTACTAGCACCTTACATTAGAAATTTACAGATGCCAGAAGACTACATCTTACATGAACTTCGAGCATTGACTAGAAGCTACACAATGGAACAGGCTGTTGCATGAAAAAATAGCATAACTAAAAATTATAATATTATAGTCTGTTTCAATGAGACTATCATCAATTTAACTTGTTAAATACCGAGAACTTGTAAAACTGTTGAAAAAAAATCCATTCTTGAAGTATTTGGATTATTTACTTCTTTCTTCACAGATTTTGTGTTCGTTTGATTTATAGGAAATTTGACATAAATCAAGATGTAATATTGTTTCGTGTAATTCCCCATAGTACTGCATATAATCTTTGCTTTAAACATAAATCCAAATATTTCATCTTTTTTTTTTTTAAAAAATAGCTTTATTCTGGGACATACAACTTATCGTATATCCCAGCTTTATTGCAGTTTAGTTAATTATGATAAAATGTACATGTATATATTTTTGTTTGATCTGGTTGCCCAACTGTTATGCCCAAGCTAGGCAAGCTGGTTCCCTAACTATTATGAAGTATCTCCAGACCTCAAAAAGTTGATGTCTCAATGATGAAAAAAGCCACAAAGAAATTCAAGTTTAAATAAAATGTCTATATAACCTTGTTGTAACAAGTCTTCAAAATTTCATATTGCTAAAGTGTAAAGGCACATGGTTTTATACTGTTGTAGTTGATATCGCATTGATCATGTACTTTGTAATTTGTTGGGTTTTTTCCCCCAAAAATTTATATTTCACAAATGACATTCTATTCTTAAGGACTAGGAAAATGTTTATTGATTCATGATTGTGATTGTAAAATCTCAAAGTATTTCTGTATATATTTTCCACGAGTTATAGTAAGGAAGCTGTCTAGTTAGCTTACGCAACATTGATGCTTCTACTTACTTAAAGGTGCCTGTAATAATTCACAAAGGGGCACCTGATGTCTTCTTCCTCCAGTTATGTTGGAAAGTTGCCATATGACCAATACGATGTTGGTGTGACAAAAGAAAAAAATATTTGTGATCAAGTGAGCATTGTCATTTGCAAGATTTGTATTTACGATGTACATATTTATTGGTGATAATGTGGCAATGTATTGACTATGTCAATTGTCAGTCAGTGTTTATAATTGTATACATTTTGTTGTGTAAAATATGCGATGATTTTTGATTTTCCATCATTTTTGTCATTTTCCATTTCACTAATTAACTTGTACTGCTTTGTTGTATGTACATTTTTAATGGGAAGTTTCTGTTTTTATAGAAATAATTGAAATTATATATGTACATGGTAGTTTACTGGGACATATGTAATACTGATGACTCAGCACTATTCATTTGAGGATTTAACCTTTAGTGAAAGCAGTGATGAAGAAAACTCTAACCTCTAGCAAAATTTAAGGAGGGTAAACATCAACCAACAGCCTCGATTTTGAGAAGAACTTTGCTAGAATTGCTTATTTTGAAAAGTGAAAAGCTGGTGTAAGTTTGGATTTTTTAGGGAAAACTTTAGGGAGCTTAGAGGTTTATTTTATACAAAAATTATGTAATTTTGATGATAAGAAACTTTTTAACTTAATTTACCACATTAACCCTGGAACCTAAAGTATTTAGCCTTTGCCACCAGTACAGATGCAAATTCTGACTAGGCTCTCTTGCAGTGCAATATTTGCATTTTTATACTGAAATTCTCCTCTGAATTCAAAGCTTCTGGTCAAATCCATTAGACAAATTTAACAGGTTAAAGGTAAGACTTTGAAAATGTATTTTACAGAAAAGGCGATGTATATATGAAATGAGCAACATGATAAAAGCACTAATTATGTTTACAATTTGAAACCCAGATCATGCATCTGTTTTTTGTTTGACATAATATGTATTTGTTTTCATTGTCAGTGAATATTTGCATCTTTTTCGTGTACTTTTCAAAATTGTATGTATATATGTAAAAATTTTGTTTGAAAAAAATAAATGGTGAACAAAACTTGCTGGATTTTTATATGTATTTTAACAGAAAATTATCAAATATGATGATAAGATAAATATTCTAATCTTTATAATTATTTTGACAGGCTTTAAAACATTTATCAAAACAACACCCTTCCGCCATCCCAAGCCACAATTGTTATCAGCCTGCTGAAGTTCCGAACTCTGGGTTCATGCAAGAGACTCACATTTTGTGTAGTCAAAACAAGCAAAAGAAATATACTAAAAAAATATCAGTTTTATATATTTACAGAGAACTTTTGGCCTTTGTATCAAACTAAGGAAACAATACTGTGTTTAAGCTCCAGAATGGCAATTCTGGTCCGATTTTGACATTTATGCATAAAATTTGATAAATTAATGATTCTGCATACATGTATATGAATAATATCCCTTGAGTCCTATTCTGACATTAATTAATCTCTTTTTAGCAATGCCTTAGAAAGTTGACCTCTAATTACTATCACTACTTTTCCAATAGCCGAAAGCTCAGTATGGTAATGGATGTCGATAACCAGTGCATAACCTGCAATGTTTCCCTGTATAGTAATTTCAGTAAACAAACCTATGCTTTGAACAATGCTCATGAACAGGGCTTCCATAAAGTTTCAGACTTGGGAAGACTGTAAAAACCTCTGACACAGGAAGTTACATTATATAGGTAAAGAAGGAAAAGCATTACATTTTTGCAAGTCACATACCAAAATCAAGTATCTTGGATTAATCATTATTTCTAAGCTTGATTTTGAAGTGAGCACTGTGTGTAACTGGAATCTATAAACCAATACTTGACAGTGGTTTCACATGAGGATACAAGTCTGAACAAAGTCAAGTGGGGCACAAACAGATGACACCTTGTCACACCTGATAAACAACTAGGCCTTTGCTCAGCTGCTCCTTTGTTTTGAGTATTGAAATCCTTTGACAAATATATAATAAAAAATATGGTATTTTCAAATTATTTTCATAAATGTACAAACACTGATTCTTTGATGAGTATGATGTTTTATTTGAATAACTGATATAAGATTGCAGTTGCAGGGTTCCCTCTGGGTCAAAATTAGTTTGCGCCACCAAATTCGCCAATCAGAAAAAGTTGGAGCCAATGGCTCCAAAGTTGGAGCCAATAATTCTGCAAGGGAGACATGCCTATCTTTGCTAAGATATGCTAGCAGTTATATATCATTATGATTACAAACACATATTTATAATATTTCATTTTATTACAGCTGCACATGTTTATTATCTAAAATATGACATACTATTATGTGGTTTTCAAATTCTATTTAAATAAATACACATGACAGCATAAATGTAATCAAGAACATCATGTTAAGTAAGTCATTCCTGTTTTCCACCGTTTTGCCAGTATAGCAGTTCTTCTCACAGGCTGGACTGAGCCAAGATCTTTCACAGCTTTCTACCCGACAATCTGGTGATCTACAGATACAAAATAAAAAAAAAACATTACTATAAATTGACTTCATCTTCAAAATCAATGAGAACAAAATATGAAATAGATACCAAGTATTTTAACAATGAAAAATATTGTTTATTTTTAATAGGGTTTGCATATGAATAGACACTTCAGCCATTTACTATCAGATATGAAAATATTAACATTGCAGTAACAGTGGCTTTAGATCAATCATTAGTGAAATTATTCTTTTAATTGTCATCCGATTTAATATTTCAAACTGTAATTATTTGAGTCAACTTACCTAAGTTTAAGGTTTGTCAAACATCACGGACGATCTTTCACTTCTCTGTTCGCTACTAACACCTGTTGACACACAATGTAATTATCAGTGCTCCAAGTCGTAAATTGTTCAATTAACAAAATTACCACTCTCATCTTCACATGTTCCCAAAGTGTCACACAATTGATGACATAATTGATTATACGGTACCGATAAACAAACTAATAGCGCGTGACCTTTCACATTTTGGGCCGCTTATGTAATTTGACGCGGCCGGCTTATGACATTTAAGTGTACTAGTTGTCGGATGCTTTTATCTTACGTTGGCGCCAGTAAAATTCGCCAATTAAAGATTTTATGCGCCAGAATTAATATTTTGTCGCATTTGGCGCCATTGGCGAGCGACAGCGGGAACCCTGAGTTGAATGATATTTATAATTAATATAGAGCCTTTTAAGAGACCAAAATGTCATTTTTCAAATTCCTTTGAAAGGTATTTGACAGAAGTAGTATTTCTATGAATAATATTTTACATCATATAGTTCTTACACACAAGTGAAATTTAATGTTTAATTCATATCGTTTACTCTGTTTTAATTAATTCCATTACACATATCTGTACTTATCACTTCCTGCATGACATTTAATATGTACAGCCTTTGTGTAACCATAAAAATTAGAACAAATCTGCTGAATGCTGAGAATTTTCATGGATTATCACTGAAGTCATTTCAACAGTGCTATCTTTGTAATTGACTTTGTTATCGTAGAAAGCCCGTCACGCCCTTAGATTTACCAACTTTGTCATCGCTTAGTAAAACTTCCATCAAGCTCTTGTTCAAAGCTTGTCCAACTCTCTTTCCCGTCTCTAGCATGTCTTGAACACTAGAAACATCCAGACTTCCAGATCCTTCTTTCTTCATTGCAGTTACTGTTCCTTTACTTGTTACCCCAAGTATTAGCCTAGCTAAACAACACGCCTCTTCTTTCTGACTGGCATCCACTACATGAGAATGTCCAAGCTTACTGAGTGTAACTATACATGGAGCATGTATGACATCAAGTCTTTGTACATCATATGGGTCATCTGACAACTCTAATTCTATATGTCCTTCATCCTGTGTCACTGTAAGAGTTGGTATACAAGTGTTAAATAAAGCAGCCTTCACTGCAATTGAAGCTGCATCAAATAAATTTCCACCACACTCTAACAATAAAACATCAATATAAACCACCCAGCACTGCTTTCCTTCAACCACACACAACTGTTTAAGATCAAGACAACTTGGGCAGTCATATGCTCGTGCTAGCATACTGCTTATCTCTGTAGCTAACTCTTCACCACCCCTGCCTTCAAACTCTGGGGTGGCATTTGCGGAACAATCAACAAAAAATTCAAGTCTCCCCTTGTCAGGATTTTCAGGCAATGGTTCACCAAGTTCTACTTTGACACCAACTAGAATATCTGTATTTGCTAATCTTATTTTAGCTGAACCACTTGTATTGGATACAACACTCGTTTCGATTTCCAAATGTCTGTAGTCCTCACATCCTCGTCCGTCTATACGTAGGTTATCTTGGGCTCCATGAATGATATATGTTTTTTCTGCATCACTTAACTGAATGTCAACCATATTTGCAAACTGATTAAGTGATTATTCGATAGACAAAAATTCTAAAATTGTTTACAATTTGCCGGAAGCATGCTTTTTGTGATTCATTTAATTCACTATGCGTGAACATTGCAAAGCGGGTTGAAGGGTTGAACACCGCCAATACTTACCAATTAGCAGGTAAGCAGTAAACAGATATAAATTGTAACAATTTCATATCTTTAATAAACGGAGTACAGATATTTATTTTATGTAAGGAAATTATGATATTAGTTAGTAATTTACATCTTAAATGACAGAAAAGAGGATGACAATTATCTAATAAAAAATTAATACATATCTGTAAAATATTTTAAGTGTATCAGGTACTGGTTCTTCATTCCATTTCCAATTTATATTTCATCACCAAAAATATTTTAAGATAGTTTGTTTACATTTGTTGCTTTTTAACCAAACTATGACGTAGCACAAACAGTCAGACTAGGGTCTTATACTATTTCTAGCTCAATTTTGTATTTTGATATTAAAATCCCTTAAACATTGTGATCAATGTTGCATTTCATAAATAAAAATCATTTCCAACACTTCTTCCAGACTCTGTAAAACCAATTTAAAATTGATTAACTTGTATCCCACTCAGTATATACCAGGATTGCCATTAACATTCTCTTGTGGATAATCAATACATCTCTTGAGAATAGTCAATACATCTCTTGAGGATATAAAATACATCTCTTGAGGATAGTTATAATACATCTCTTAAGGATAGTCAATACATCTCTTGGGGATAGTTAATACATCTCTTGAGGATAGTTATAATACATCTCTTGAGGATCGATAATACATCTCTTAAGGATAGTTATAATACATCTCTTGAGAATAGATAATGCATTTCTTGAGGATAGTTATAATTTTACATCTCTTGAGGATATTCAATACATCTCTTGAGGACAGATAATACATCTCTTAAGGATAGTTAATACATCTCTTGAGAATAGATAGGCTAGTAATAATACATCTCTTGAGGATTGATGATACATCTCTTAAGGATAAATAATGCATCTCTTGAGGATAGTCAATTTAATGCATCTCTTGAAGAGTTAATTGACATCTCTTGAATATAGTTAATACATCTCTTGAAGATAGTCAATACAGCAATTGACTGGTTCATAAATGAAATCTTGCATATATATACGTCTTATTTGGTTATATTTAAACCATTTGCCTCTCACTACTGTGAATTCAGTACTAGCTCATCCAGCTGCAGAGAAGGGGTAGGAGTACATTTTGTACTTATGAAAGTGGTGAACTGTACCAAGCGCAGGTATCGTATGAAAAATGACAGTTGTATCACATTCATAATCGTGAAAAGTGCCATATTTGAACTTAACTTACATCAGAGGAGTAACCTATCAGAAATATGGCAAGAAAAATTTTCCTGCTACAGTTTTCAGTCCTATATTACCGTAGTCACCATCATTACTTTTTAATTTGATGTAACATAACAACAAGATACAGATATGAAATAATCAAATACAAGACTAGAAATTCTTTGCATTCCTTTATTAGGCCCTATAATATTTGACATAATGGAATTAAAATACAGTGTAAAACTTTCTTAAAATAAATGTTGAAAGTTATATTTCTTGGCAGTTTATAGCTTTATAAAGATGATTAATGATGATAATATATCATTTGTGTATTTAAACTAGCACAAATCTTGGTTAAAAAGGGACCTCTATGTGTACTTTAGTACATTAAATTGTATTAACTTGCTTGCTCTAACCAAATTTGCCTGTAAGATTGACAAAAACATCAATTTTGGATAGCAGTATTGGTAATATTTTGAAAATATTTTGCACATATTTTTCATTAATGTAAAACAAGATTTATATACATATCTTTTAAAGTTTGCACGTAAAATAAAATGATAAACATACAGAGGTCCTTTTTTACCTAAAGAACGGGACAAATATAATGTAAATGAATGAATGATATATGATGACTAATTAAAATGTGTCTAAAATGAAATATATATTATATCACAGATTATATCCCTGCTTGAAGCAGTCTCCTTGGGAATTTTACATTCATAATCATATTTTACTCTTTTATCTTCACATTTTTGCATTTCAAGTACACAAACAGACTAATGATTCTTTAATATTGAATTGTTACATTATACAAAATAAAACCAATGTTGTTCTGAGACAAAAATACAGCAGATGGCATACAAGAAATTCGATCTTAACATAAGGCATAACACTTAATATTATATTATAAAAACATTCAATGATAAACCATTTAAATGTTAATTAAGTTCAACAATTATGGTACATTTAAAAATGATTTAACAGTGAAATGTTTTAAAATCAATGAATAATACTTAAATTATAATTAACTTTCAAAGTAAATGGCATCTTTTAAACCATTTTCTTTTTGTTAGTGTTTATAATAGCTTGCACCAAATCTTTGCTAAAGAGTAAGTAAACAAATTTACCATTTAAAATACAAAATTAACAAGAATATCTCAATTGGTTAATTCTAAAACACTTTAAACACACTTACACACAACAAGAATAAAAAAACTCCTAAAATAACATTTAAAAGGGTTCAACCATAACATATTGCTGACTGAATTATAAATTGTAAAAATAATATACAACAATAAGTTTATAATTTAAAATATCTACCTACTTCTAAGATTTTTTTCTTCGTATTTTCAAAATCTTTATAACAATAAAAAATCTAACATGCATTGATAAAAATATATTCATACAAATCTATTGGTGTTTATAACACAGTAATATTGCACTTTTTGTAATGAAATAAATCTTGGTCTCTGGGATAACACTGGTCTAGTAAATGGCAGTATGTTTGGGTGATGTTGAATGACCCTGTTGTAAAACATTCAACATCATTATCTAGTTGAATAGCTTCTTCATCTTCACTGAAAATAAAAGATATATACATTGATAACTTGTTTGTTTGAAAACACTTATTTAATACATCAGGGCTTTTTTTCACAGTTTGGGGAAGCAGCCCTGCCCTTAATTTTGGGGAAAAATTACACAGTATATTTGCAAAAGGGGAAGAAAAAACTTGATGTAAATTCAATTTTTGGGGAAAACTGCACGATTTTAAAGAAATTTTCTTTGGGGAAGCAGCCCTATACTGGCCCCTGTTAAAGAAGGTAAAAAGGCCCTGTACATTATGATTAGTTTACACAGAGATTGTTTTAGATTGTGTAGGAAGCTATAAGCTTATAGACACATTCGATCTGTTCCTGGAACCAACTAGTATCACTGAACAATGAGTGTGAATTTTTTTGCTCAAGGAAACAATGGCTTGCCCCTGATAGGGTTTAAACCCATGAAACTAGAAATCATTAGATTACTATTTCGTTGTGTTAACCACTCAGCCATGCCAAGGTATTTTGTCAAATAGCAGTTCTTGTATAGGCACAATACTGTACATATATACCCCATTTATATTCTAATTGTGAATTGATGTATGGGTATGGAATTATCTAATTGGAGGCAAATGCTATCAAAAATTCTTAGTTATTAAACATATTAAACATTTTAATATGTAAATTGTTCAGGTTGCTTACAGAAATTCAGTTTCAAACATTAATAATGAACATTGTCAAGTTTGCTTTTATCAACTAAAAAATTGAAAGATACTTATCTTCTGGTTTATTTTCTATAATAAAATTTTTAGCTAATTGTTGTAAAATGTTCAATTTTTCTGCAGGTGACATTAAAAGTTTGCACATAAAGTCGATTGCACAAATGTAATTAATTTGAACATACCTAGAATCAGTGCCCCATGACACCTCCTCTATTGTAGGAAGATCAGTACTACAATAAAAACTTGGCCTTTTGATTAAGTTAGGGCGTGGCACAATTCTAGGGATGGGGAGGCACCGGGGATGAGTAGAAGGATGTGTGTTGTACAGCTCCAGTTGTTTAGATATTGCACATTGACAATCAAACAGCTCCGAGTCGCTTACCTGTAAAACACGTACATATATCATGTTACCAAATTGATGATAATAATAAACTGGATATTGATGTAAATACTTTTTTATACTTTGTATCTAACTTACTTTAATCATAAAATGAATATTATTGAATACATTGCTTGATTATGGAAACTTTTTTACATAATGCGTAATATTTCTGGCTAACAATATGAGAAAATATGAAGAAGCTGACATTTTCACATAGTTCTTAAAACAGAGCATATAGGAATTAACAGTAATAGTTATACTTATTTAATTATTATATCATACATACCCTGAGTACTGTCTGGACATGTATAAGTAGGTATTTTGATAAATTGGAATGGAGATCTGTTTCTTTCAAACACTGTTGCACTATACTCAATGCAAGGGTACTGGCCTGAAAATGAAAGTCTATCATGTAAATGGTATTAACAACTTACAGCATACAAAATCTGAGATGCTTGAAAAAATACATTATTCTCCCAGATAATCTTAATAGTAAATTTAATGTTGATTTTCACCAAATACAAACAAATATCATTCCTTCATTTTGCACTGCTTATTAGAAGAAAAGAATATAAATAACAAATTGAAATATCATTAACTGATAAAGATTTGAGAAAATTGTTTTACTGCAACTTATTAATAAGACATACTTTAAGAATATATAAAGTTTTAAAATACAAGATTCATGAATTGAAATGTATATTCAATATTCAAGTATTAAATTTTGTGTAAATCAGATGCCACTGATGAAATAGCAAATGAATTGAGTATGTGGTACTGATCGGCTTACCTGATATCTTGCACATCTGGTATAGTTCATAAACAGCTCTGATCTTTGTACTAATAACTCTAAGAAGTGTCTGTCAACCTGTGAACTAATCAGTGACAGCATTCTGTATATGATATGTATGTATGACAAACTGGTGACAGAAGGGTGGAGATTCCAGTCTAATTTATCCAGTAAAATTTTTTCCATCCTTTTTAAATCTGTTGGTTTCCAGCAATGACGGTGCAAACTTGAGAGGTCTGTAGCTGTAGGGTGGTACTGTAGAAAAAATAAAAGCATTTAATTTTTTTTAACCAAACAAATGTTTTAGTTTGTTTTCTTGAATAGACATTATTAAAGACACTACATAAAAACTTTATAATTTACATGAGAAAATGAAAAAATTATCTCATTATCATTTTTAAGGACTCCATCAATTTGTATAAATTTTCTCCAGTGCCACAATTTTCTACTTTACAAAACATTAAAGAAAATATTTGATATATTTACCTCAGATTCTTCATTCATTTTTGTTGACAAGAAAAAGGCTGCAGCAGCAACACAAGATAAATAGCGCCTTTTCACCTACACAGAATAGAAATGGATGGATTGACTTTTTTTTCACATGCCAGTTAAGCAATAACAACATAATTGTAAAAAAGGAAAATTCAAAAACTTATAACTTGCTTTCATCATTAAGATTCAATCTATCTCCAAATACATTGCTACAAAGAGAGATATGGATGTACCAATTCTTTTAAACTTCAATGTTATTAGTGTGACAAAGTTATTGCCTCAAGTAATTATATGTACTGTGACATACTACCCATGTATATAGGAATTTCACTTGTGATGCCTTACCTTAACTTTGGAAATAAATCTGTCTAAAAAGTTTACAGCATCAGCTAGAGTTTCACTGTCATAGTTGTAAAATCTTTGCATAGACTTAATTGATGTAATAGCCGAGTCCCGCTCACAGACACCTATACAATCTTCTGTTCCAATTGAAGGCTGTAAAAGAATAAAAATGTTTTTATTATAATATTATAACAGTACTATATATTTAATTATATAATATTGATAAATAAGTTAATAACCATTTTAAATGAATCTTTGATAAGGTATTATTCTGTTGATAACTAACTTACTAAGAAAAAGATCATTTGTTACATGATGAACTTAATCTGATCAGTGGTCATATTAAGAATACTTGTCTGAAATTTATTTTTAAAGCTAGTACTGTAGATATTTCATTTCAAATAACTCTAATTACCAAAGCAAGTGTGTAAAGCTGAGATTCTTCTTTTGCTCTTAGTTTCTGTAACTTTCCAAAAATCTCTTGCACCTGAAAAGGGTTATTATATTATTTATTATATCTATATTCTAATAAAAGGTCTTTCAAGACAAAGTTATATAATCATATTACAAAGAAAGATCTGCAAAAAGCATGAAATTTCATTCATACATAATAAATGAATAAAGACAAATGAAGATAAGTCATTCCTATGCAGATTTAGTATCTTTCAGTGTAAGAGAATCTAAACTGGAAGGTCACAATTATCAGGATGCAGCTACTAAGGTGACCCTCCATTTATTGAACTGTATCAATGATTTCCTACCTTCTGACCTGATGAAAATCTGGTTAGTTTAATTTTTTATGCAAAAATTCGTATCTCTTGTAAACAGAGACTTTTATAACATATATAGCTCTGTGTTGTAACATACAATTTCAACTTTTTGAAAATATCCATAGAGAAAAGAGGGGCTTATTATACAGTAAACAAATTATCTGACTCAGAGTTCATGTAAACGAATTTGTGACCTAGATAATTTGTTTGTGTACACTTCATCAAAAATTTACTGCATCAGAATTTATCAAAAAAGTGCAGTGTGTATATATATTTATACATACCAATCAAAAGTTTATATTGTTTAGTTAGAGGCTGACAAAGAAAAAAGATTTAATCATTACCTTTGGCGTTACTTTTGCACATTCATTTGAAATTCCTTTCTTTAGTTTGAACTTGACCTCCGCCTCCGTTTTGACGTCCACCGTAATCGTTTTATTTTCCACATTTTGTCCATTGTGTATGACTTCAAACGCTACCATATTATATTTGAATTAGTAAGAGACCTAATGCAAGTGTAAATTAAATAGTTTTACACCTGCAAATCGGGGTACCAAATAAAAAAATTGGTAACCACCGTTAAGTCTCTTTGTTTACAGACGACAGCTGTCAAACAACTGATCGTTCGAATATTGGCGGCCGTCCAGTAATGAAACAACAAATTTCATTGGTTATCACTTCATTTAATTGCTCGAAGCGACGTTTCATTGGTCCAAAATAACTAATTTGCATATGAGCTATAATTAGATTCTTTTGAACGTAAACAAACAAGTGAAACAAGATCATTTGCGATGGGAAATTAATTTTATCTATAAGAAAAGCAACAAAATGCTTCTACTACCCTATCACAGAAAATTATAAAAGAATAAGTTACTCGATAATGTCAGATTGTCAAGAAAACTTGTTTGACAGATCATTCAACCAGAACGAGACAATTTACTCAAACGCCTTGGATGTACTAATCCGCATAAATATGTAATCCTATAACTTCGATAAATTACCGACTCTGTGATAATATTCATTACCTTTAAATTTTGTTTGTTATTTTCATTTGATATTGATAGACAATACTGTATTATCTGATTATGCTTTTATTACAAGTTTTCCTATCAATTAGCAGAAGAGCGGCCCATGAATACACTTCAATTTGTGTATCAGGAAAAATTTTGGAAACCATTTTGGTTCGCTAACTTTTATTTTTCCTTCTTTTTCTTTTGTCATTTTCTCAAGAAACATGGAGAGAAACGGCCAGTAAATGTAGACAAGGCAAGCGGAGGACCAGAGGAACACTTTGGTTCAAGCTTTTGCTTGATTTCGCCAGGTAAACGGTTAAATTAGTGATAATTAAATTGTGTTTACTACTGTCAGCAGTTTGGCCTAATTTTCAGTGGTTAATTTCTTATATTTATGTAATTATGACTGTTTTGATCGAGTTTTGATGTTTCTTTCAAATGAAAAGATAAAGTTTTGCCATTTTATATTAATTCTAATGTAGAAAATAAATTTTACAAAGTAATTAATTTGTAGGTCAAATAGATTCCTCTAGAATAATGCAGTTTTCCCTTGTTAAGTAAGAGTTATTATTAACATTTGGTTTACTGATGCAACTTGTCCATTTAACCTTACATATATTGTTAAAGTTATATTACTGAGTTTGAAAGCTATTGAAATATACTGTATGTTAAATTTAATTGTTTATTGATCAGGATGTTTCAGGTACCTCCTTGATTGTTTCCTTATTCACTATATACTTATATTTCTTGGAATAATTTGTAAAATTGTATATAGAGGGTAATAGTAATTGAAATATATTATTGGTCAACCAGAATAAAAAAATACCAGATTTGTCAATTTTTTGTAGATGTATATACCGTTAGATCAAAATTAATGTCTAAATTGTTACTTAATTAATGAGAATTTCTTTCTGAGCAACATTGTTCAGGTTGGGTGATGGACATCACTACAATGCTTACTTAATTTCAGGTTGGCATTTATCAAATAATTAAATTTAATGCATAACAGCAAATATAATGCTATAAAAATATTTCAGGGAACTTTTTAGCAACTAGGGGATATAATCATGAAGCTTCACAATGGTTTGGACATTCAGCATCTCATGAAGATGCTGAAGGACACACTGAAAAAAGAACAGGAGCAATGGAAACCAGTACATTATAAATCAAACACTGGTGCTACAGTAAGTCAACTGTTATTATAATATTGTAAACATGCACTTCTGTTAGTTAGAGAAGAGGTGGCGGAGGCCTAGTGGTTAAGGTCCATGGTGTCTGCTCCCAACCCAGGGATCGTGGGTTTGAGCCCTTAGTACTCAGGTCATGGTCATGATTCCTTATATGACACCAGTACTGGTTAGTTCCAGGAAGTGGACTCAAAAGAGATTAATATAAGTTGCAAGAACTTGTTGTGCAGTCAAGCTAAAATAAATATACATGTTTAAAGAAGAAGAGGTGGCATAAAGTTGTGAGGAAGTCTGTTGCAACCACTGAACCAGGCAAAGAGAGTTCAAATCTTACTGGAATCTTTAGTCTTAGAACTGTCTTCATAATTATGACACCAGTGCTGGTTACAGTCATTCAGTTGGGCTACAACATACTAGTGTTCATTAAAACCAGGTATAAATAAATAGTCCATCTTACTCTACTAAGGCTAATATTATAGTACACGTTAAGCTATTTGGTCATTGCTCATTTGGGTTTGAATTTGATAAAATGTTTTTGTATTAATGATAATTTATAACTAATATAAGCAAATTAAAAAAAAAGAGAATTTTAGTCTGAAGTACTGTAAATTATGAAAGAAAATCTTTCAAACACCCTTAGGCAGTAAGTGGAGTCGATAAGGATTGATTGCCCTGATGAAGATACCTTTTACATACAATGTGCTTTTGACCTGGTTTATGCAAATTTTATCAAATGGTAAATATAGCATTTTCAAGGCCAGGTTAGAAGATATTCAAGTTCAACAACCCAAACGTGATTCAATAATTTTATCATGTAGCTGTCAGGTTGTGCACAGTTGTTTAAAATTGCAAATGGCATGATCAGATAGCTATATTTCAATGTATGCGTCACAGGCTTCAAATGATGATGTGAAAAAGTGTGCTGCGTATGATTTATATATATATTTTGTATAAAAAGTCTTATTGCAGTTTTTGAAAGATTTGATACAATTAGGAATGTTAATGTTAATTTTGATTAATTTTTATTATTAAACTTTATATATATTTAAATATTGTTGAGGCAGACTGCTTTACCTTTTGAGATTATTCAAAGAATTAAATGTAGTCATGTGTAATTTATTGTATTTTATGTTAATTTTTTATAATTTTCCTGATGAATTAAATTATAAAAATAATTCAATTATGATGAGCAGTGTTATTTTACCATTTGATTTAAGCTTTAATTAATTGCATTGTGGTAGTGTAGTCATGACTCCTTTAAAATAGAACTTTGAAATTTATATGGGAAACCACGTACATGTAATCTAATATTATAACCAATTCATAAGCAGGAAACCTTGCCATGTATAATATAATGATAAATTTGCACTTGATCGTCAGTCATTTGCCACTACTTAATGCGATATGACATGACGTAATGTAATCGGGGAAGTATTGTGAAGTGTTTATGACAGTATTCACCAAGTAAACAATTTAAGCGATTAAATTGATAATATTCGGCCAATTAATAATGCTAACAGGCTTTGATATGTAGGACGTGGTACAAGTTTATCAATAAAAGGTCAAATGCTAATTATTGGGGAGTATTAACTTCCTCAATTTTTGAATTGGACTTGAAAACTTGCCATATTTGGTATTCTTATTGAAATTCTGTTGAGTAATATACGAAAGAAATGAAGAAGATATGTAATTTGACCCTTGATCTAGACAGAAAAAAGGAGTTCCTTATATAAATTTATGCACTCTGTTTACTAACCTACTAAGAATTTTAAGTAGTGTCCAAAAATATTTATTTTGTCTTTGCTTTTCGGCGCATAAAAAGGGGATAGGTTGGCAGGAATTTTTCTTTTCTATGTTAAAATATTTGCTTTATATAATTTATATACATAGGTGTGGATGTACAATTAGAAAGTTAAAACAATTTAATCATATGTAAGTGCACCAATAAATGTCCGGGTTTATCATAATAGTGACCTTAAACTGTAATAGATAGAGGACAAGCTCAAAGTGCTATCTATCACAGTTGTTGATGGTTGAAGTCAACAACTTCATGCTTTATCAAATAATCTTATCAAACTGAATTATGAACATTTAATAAACAGTAAAAGTTTAATTGTTTAGTAGTTTTATCTAAGTTAGTATCTAGGTTGTATGTACGACAGTACCAGTATTTTTCTAAATGAAGTTTGTACTTTTGATGTTTTTTAATATGGAAGAACATGCCAGGGCTTCTTCCATTAATGGAAGTTTGGGAGTCATTTACTCCTGATTTTGGCTTGTGACTTCCAAAATATAATGCTTTCATTCTTTAACCTATATAATTTGACTTCCAATGTCAGAAATTTTCATTATCTGACTTCCAAATTTTAGAACTAAATGGAAGCCATGAAATGTATGTAATAACTGTTTAACATCTGTAAGAATATTTCCTATGCATCCAAAAAACACTACACTTTGAGTCAAAATTTATCATCTGATGGAAATAGTCAAAGAATCCGAAAAAAACAACTTAAAGTATTTACAGTAAAAAAACTATCACATTGAACGTATACTTTTCCTTTTCATATTTTGTATAATTAAAGTGATGATACTTCTATTTTTAGGAGACCGGTGGTATACATCGTGATGAAGTTGTTTATTGGTTAGTGTGTTTGAACAGGCGTTTCCATTTTACACCCGAGACAGTGGCCCTAGGTGTGGCCTTAACAGACCGCTTCCTGTCTCTTGTCAAGGTAAGCTTGGCACATTTTGATACTGTAGAACAATGATTTAGGCACACAATAATACCGTAAGTAAGCTAGGCATGTTTTGATTCTAGAATAACAATTTAGGCATGCAATAATCAAATCCTAGTAGTAAAAGAAATTTCCATGTGTGGATTTCATGTTTAACAGTAAGATATCTAATATATTTCCTTGTTTTCTATTTCATGTTAATTTCTATATTTTAGTACTGAAATTATAAATCGTTTGCATGAAATTCAAAATTTGCAGCTAGCTTAATTTAACAATAATGCTATTAAAGCTGTCCTTTGGATAATGCGTGCAACACCATTGTTTTTTAAGGTGATTTGTTTAATGATTATAAATTTAGCCTAGATATTTTATAAAAGCGTTTTTGTTAAGTATCTATATAACCTAAAACAAAATATATTTTTTTCTCCTTTACACTTTGCTTTGTACCTACTTGAACTTTATGTTATTCTTGAGGAAAGTGTTACACATATAGATAAAAATATAATCTTTATATACAAGTTTAACTGTGACTACATTTATCCTAAAAATATTTTTGACAGAATTATGTATACAAATTAACCCTGTACTAAAACACTCAATTTTCCTTTTGCAAGTCAATCACAATTTTGTTTTTGCAGGTTCGTCCAAAGTACATTCAGTGTGTGGCAATAAGTTGTTTTTATATTGCTGCCAAAACATTGGAAGAAGATGAGGTGAGTTTTCATATATATATAAACCCAGCCGAATTTGTGTAGGGATCTCATAGACAGAATTTGTAAAAAAAAAAAAAGAGCTTCTAACGGTATAGAACTTGGTCAGACTGCAATAGCATAGATGATAGAGCTAGGTATGTTGACTTATCTTTAGAACAGTTTAGTTTTTGTCAGTCATGAAGGTCTCTTCAGTCATTCAATAGGATTGTGACACCTTAAGAAAAGTCAATCAAAAATCACAAGAAAGGAAAACAAGAAACACTAAGTCTAAAAAGATTTTATTTAAAATTTACAAAAATAGGATTTTTGAGTAGTACTTAAGAAATAAGGTAATGAGTGATAGTTTTGGGTCGCGGAAACTTTTTAGTTGTGGAGATAAGTTTCCTTTTTAAACAGTTTTAGCACTTTAGTAACAGTTTTAGCATTTAAGTAAATATATCAAGGTCATACAAACTGTTGTTGCTTTATTTTTATGTTGTTTTTTTTTATAAATTTTTTGTTATAAAGTCAGTAGCTTTTTGTTGAAAAGTTTATGTTGTTATTTTAAAACAACTGTGCCAGGAATGTAAAGGTAGCTGCCAGTTAAAATACGTACAAAATGCATTGACAGATATTCACATTCATTGCATTTTTCAAGAAATGTTGCTGGAAAAAAATGGTATGCAAAAAATGATGTAAACAGTATGTGACATTTTTCACGGCCACACTCCTGTGACATTTTCAGTAACAGCTGTACCTATTTTACTGTATGAAAGTGACTGATATTGGCATATATGAAATGTCTCTGAATGTTGACAGTAATGTCGATTGTAGGTGGATTTATTGATATTTTTTGTTAGAAAAAATAAGTCTTATAAGGGGGGTGTGCTTAACAAAATATTGATATATGCTTCGATTTTAAGGAATAAAAAAGAAAAGCAAGCTAAAAATTAGTAGAATGTAATTAGACCAGAAAGAGTAGGGGAAAAAAATAATTGTCATAAAGGATGGGTGGAGTGCTTAACAAAAAAAAATGATATTATGCTTCCATTTTAAAGAACTCAAAAAGAAAAGCGAGTAATTAGCAAACAATGTTATAAGACAATGAAGAGAGTGTCATATAATTAAAAAGTGATTTATGATTATATAATTTCAATGATTGAAAAAAATATTTTTACTTAAAGATTTAATTACATGAGAAAATTCTTATTACATGGTTACATGGTGATTTACGTTAGCAAATGAGCGTCATTATTATTATAGCCTGATGTGTTGTAAAGAAATTGCATAAATTTAAGAATTAAGCATTTTTGGACTTTTTCTCTTATTTGATAATTGATATGATGTAAAATTGTTTAACTGTGTCGTAATTTAAGATTAACTAAGATTCATTCACAATTTGGTGAAAACCTTTAAACTATTAAAAGGAAAAGAATAGTGTCATTATATTAATTATACTGTTTTCAGGTAATACCAAGTGCAGTGGATCTTGTGAAGACGAGTCAATGTGGTTGTGCAGTATCGGATATTCTACGTATGGAAATGATCATACTGAGCAAGCTACAATGGAGCGTTAAAACTGTCACACAGATTGACTTCCTCCATATTGTAAGCCATTACAATGATCATGCCTTTTTTTGTGTGTAATTTTTGCAATATTTTTTTTTCCACTGATTTTTTTAGATACAAACATTAATAAAGTGTTCTTAAGGAGTCGTTTAAAAGGTGACATTTTTTTGTAAATTTGATAAAAATAATTTTGTTGGGGAGAGGGGTGTTGGAGTCGGCTGTTCAAAGTTAAAGTGTTGTATCATACTAACAAATATTTATACCATTTCTGTGGCTCCATAAGTTCTACTTAATACGATTTGAAGGAAAAAAGTATTTGTGAACTTTACTGAAATTATTTGATTTAGTGCTATCAATTTGGTCTTTAAATCATTTTACTGTTACACTATTTTAGATCCACTCTCTCTTGATGTGTTACTACCCCCAGTTGCTAGAAGGCGTGGTGAATATGACACCATCACGACACTTGTCTATTCTGTCTCGAAATGTATTCAACTGTCTGTGTAACCATAAGATGGTTGGGTTTCGGCCGATTACACTGACGCTGGCCATAATCAGCTTAGAACTAGAGCAGATTACGCAGGCTTGGCTCTCCATTATCAGCACGGTACAGAAGATGGCGGACGTAAGTTTTAATTAAAAGCATTTATCGTTGAACGCCACAAGTTAAATGTATTTCTGACTATCTAAATTTTAAAGTTATAAATATAGAAACGTCAGTTATCATCATTAAATAAACCTTAAAATTTATCCTGTGTTGATTGTTTGTTCCACTTTTATCAATTTTCTAAATATAGAAATTAAAGAAAAAGCATGATATTCTAAGTTGCGCTTTGCAAAGTATGTGTTATTTTATGACTGAACCTATTTTTTCACATCTCGATGTTTCTATTAGATTACTTAGATAGTAAATATGATTATTTCGTTACGCAGGTGGAGATAGATTCGCTAATCCGTTGTCGAGAAATTGCTGCTCAAATCCTGAAAGACAAGAACATGTTACCTACGGGCTATCAGTTTAAAACTAATCAAGTTGCATCCTGTGGAGCCCTCGCAAGGTCAAGGTCGTTTAAGAGAAAGGCTGACCTTGTTGATCTGGAGGAAGATGTTTATGATGGAATCAAGCGTCTGTATAACGATGATCCGGGCAGCCCTGAGATGGGACTAGACGGTGAAGTGTCGGTGTTTGCAAAAGCTAATCCAGTCCGTGCCAATTAATTCATGACTTTTCATCAGTGTAAATGGTTTCGCCAACATTTTTCATTAACACGCAGCTAAAATGTGTAAAAATATGTGAGAAGCTGTGTAATTCATCAACAACCAAGTGTAAGATTGGAACTGACCAATATGTTGTTATAGTTATTTGTCATTCCATATATGGAGGGGTATGCAATTACTTTGAAAATGAGAATGTTAGGAAGTTTTTGTAAACACCAGGTATGCCTGAATGTTAAAATTGGAGAAATGATATTTCGCAAAGCGCAAAAAGAATAAGAAATGATGTACAAAAAATCATGATTTTTTATGCTGTTTGTAATTCTTTGGCTTCTTTTCTGTTTTTTGGGTTCCATTTTTTTTGTTGACTGTTATATAGACTGTGATAGTATTTTATAGAGTTTGTTTTTTAATATATTAACTTTTGTTAGGAATGGCAATAACGTTAAGTATTTTACTGTTGATTATTTTGTTTGTCCTTTTACGCAGAACTTTTCTTTCTTCTATTGTCTTACTTAGTTTCTTTTATTTCTTTATGAAACAGAAGAGAAGCCATTGTGATTTTAGATAAAAAGCCAAAGTTGTTTAATTCTTGCAAAGATAGGAATGGTTCTCTGCAATTTTTTTCAGATATTTTGTTGTTAGAAATTAAGGATTTGAGTATTGAATTGCTGTTTTTAAGTATTTTAAAGTCATTTTACAGCACGATGAAAAATGGAATTGGGAGGGTGCAGTGGCATGGAATCCAAGTATCTTACTTTAATCTTTTTTATAAAAAAAAAATAAGTGGGTGCCTTATATGATTATATATTCATTTGAAAGGACTATGAAATAATAATACAAATTTTCAATCATTTAGTTGCAGAGTACCATGAAACACTGCTCAAATATAGTTTAAAGTATTCAAATAGGGACTGAAATAAATTGTTTTATGAATGATTAAGGCAGCAGTAGAATAAGCTTCCATTATATGGTTTGATTCAGTGTTGTATTCGTTGAGAACAAGTATGATTTGATATTAATTATGTAAACAGAAGTGTTGAAGGGGCGGGACTGATAGCTTTATTTTTAGGGATTTACTGGTTTCCAGGGTTGGAAACTGAAAAATATTCATTTTTTGGTACAATTTCAAAAAAAAAAATTAAAAAATTATGCCACCATTTTGTTGTATTTGGTAGATTGTAACCTTAATGTTATATTTAAAATTTGGAATTAGGCACCGTGTTTTAAAAACAGGAAAAAAATGATCTCCACAAAAATATAAAATATTCCAAGAAACAAGGGGCTTAATTCCAAAGAAAAAAAGATAATAAAAAGGAAAATTTTGAAAAAAAAAGAAGAAAAAAATGTTTAAATGCAAGAAAAAAAATATTCTCTGTATTTGATCATTTTATATATAGATATATACATGTATAAAATTTGAGTTTCATGTTTGTATTTTGATAAAAAGATGTATGTATGTTTTTATCATCTCTTTAGGTTGAGAAACCTATTCATCAAGGTTTGATCGATTTTATTTCAGTTGCAACTTTTATTTTTGTTTTATTCTTATACCTAAGCTTTTATTAATGATCTTGATTGAGAAAATTAGGAAATTGCTTTTTTTAATGTTGTAAAGTAACACACTGTATTTCTTGTTATTATTTGATCTTTAATTTCATGAATTGTGGAGTTTTCTGGGGACTGGACAAAGTTGGGATTAGGTGGTGTCTTCATTTTGAAGAGTAAGCTTCTATCTTCATTTTGAAGAGTTATCTTCCATCTTCATTTTGAAGAGTTAACTTCTTCATTTTGAGAGTTAGCTTACTTCTTCATTTTGAAGAGTTAACTTCTTCATTTTGAAGAGTTAAGCTTCTATCTTCATTTTGAAGAGTTAGCTTACTTCTTCATTTTGAAGAGTTAACTTCTTCATTTTGAAGAGTTAGCTTACTTCTTCATTTTGACGAGTTAGCTTACTTCTTCATTTTGACGAGTTAACTTCTTCATTTTGAAGAGTTAACTTCTTCATTTTGAAGAGTTAGCTTACTTCTTCATTTTGACGAGTTAGCTTACTTCTTTATTTTGAAGAGTTAGCTTACATCTTCCTTTTGAAGAGTTATGTACCACCTATATTTTGTAGAGTAAACTGCTTTCTTCATATTGAAGTATTAAATACCATCTTAAATGATTGTGTAATGATATGAAACATATGTCAAATAGGTAATGGAGAAATACAGTATGTAAACGTGAATCATTTGAATTTTAGTTATAAGACATATTTTATTGATGAAAACAGATGTAAATTTGTATATTTTAAACATGTAGAAGGTATGCTTTTTTATAAAAGTATCTTATGAAAGACAGATATCAAAGTAAAGCTTGCCAGAAAAGTCGCTTGTGTACATATTTTCTCGACCATGTAAATATTCTGTACATAAAGTTATTATTCAACAAACATACAGTATATATTTTTTTCTCCCCCTATGAGATTTCAATTTTTCATTCATAGAACAAGCATTACTATTGAGATGTGAGAATGCATTACTAATTACATGTGAGGAAGCATTACTAATTACATGTGAGAAAAGAGATGTTTTAGTTTCGTTATTAACCATTCATTGTTTTTAACACCCTGATCTTAATAATAATAGCATCCTAACTTGTGATGTTGTTTCAAAATTTCAAAAAAAGTCATTTCTTGTCCAGAAGCTTAATTTATAGAAATTATATAATTGAAATTCAAAGATTTGTTAAGAAGTAACTGTTAATGTTTGGTCTGACCCTGGCTTGGTTTGACAATGTTAAATATGATATAATATTTTTTTAATTTGGACTATTTTTGAAGTCAAGTTAGCATAATATTGATTTCTTTTATTAACAAAATGGATTTATTGATGCCGTTTTTGAAGACTTTCATAAGCCTCGATGAATCACTGTTTTAAAATTAGGTAATAAAAAATCTAAGACATACTAACAACGAATGGGGATAGACAGAAAGAATGAATTGATAGAGAGAAAGTTGGAATGAGAGAATAAAGAAAGCGTTAGAGCTCAGGGAAAATATTTGTAATTTAATTCCAGGAATACTATTCTCATAACTGTTTGTGTATAAAGGTTAAAATGTTTTTTTGAGAAGTAAAAATGTTTCAGGCAGTTCATGTTTGAATAGATAAAAAATAAGACTGTGTCACCAGTATAAAGCCGGGCCAGGCCACCCTGTACATCTGTGCAGTCTGACCAGGCTCTATACTGTTGGCTGACTAACTTTTTAACAAATTGTCATCTTGATATCCTCAAAATTGAAAACAGACAGTCCCAAAAATAGAATCTGGGCATGTCCAAGTAAGAAATTCTTCAGTGTTAGCCTTAAAAGATAAAACCATTGCACAGACGTTTGGTTATTAACTTAATTAAGGTCGATAAATATGAAAGTGGTAAAATAAAAAAATTGTCACTAGGTGATTTCATAAGTTTTCAGAATATTAATACATAGAAACTTATTTTATTTCTCGGGATTTTGAAGAAACTTACAACAATGAAGCAGATTAAACATATATACATGCACCAGTTGTTTATTGTCAAAAACTATTTGTGCCATCTAAGTTTTGACTGTCATTGAATGTGCTCTACAGTAGTGACTGACTTATCAACCATTCACATTGAATGGAAAGACTTTGTCAAGTATTTATTACCAGATGCGATACTTGTTGTGCAATAAAGGAAGAAATTGAACTAATGATGAAGTATGGGACAGTTTTCAATGTTAGTTTAAGATTTTTTGCTAATTTTTATTTTCATGGCTAAAGACTTGATTTCCCTATTTTTAGGATTTTACTATTTTGAAATCCAAAGTGCTAAGTTTTTTTGAACATTTTATTATAGAAGATCAAGATATTTATGTACATGCATCAATGGGTGCTATATTTTTTGTCTGGTCGGAGTTTTTTCCGAATTCTGATTTTGGCTTTGAGTAAGGCCCCCACGATTACTCGTTTAAACGGAATCGTTTCGATTTTCATTCATAAACGTTTACGATTTTGTTTACCGTTTAATCGAAATGACCATATTGTCTTACAAAATTTCTTAATCATTGCCTGTTATAATGGATTTTATCAATTTTAGTGGTTTATCAAAGTAAACAAACTGAAAATAGGTGTTTACAATCCTCCACACAGCATTACGGTGCAAAATTGCTTGTGACATAATATAGATTAGGTAAAAAGTGGGGTTACAAAGCAAAAAATGTGTGCTGACTCAATCGTGATGAGCCCTGGACATTCTTTATTTGTACATGTATAAAAAATAGAAAGAAAGACATCATTTGGCGACTCAAATACATGGTGTGTATAGTACAAAGAGGTACCACCGTTTAAACGGTATCGTTTCGGTTCTTAGCAATCGTGTAAACGTTCACAAAAAATTGTAAACGTGGGAGCCTTAGCTTTGAGTTTACTGGTCTGAACGAACAATTTTGAATATCACACAAAGTTAGTTAAAAAAATCAGATTAATTTTTGATTTAGTAGCTTAGATGAATGTTGTAGTTGTAGCATTTTATTTGCATTTTCATTGTGGGTGAACCGAAGCAAGCTTGCATTTTATAGTTTCATGTATGCTTTATTCATATTTGGAGTATTTTTATGTATTAACACATATATGTTTATACTTAATACTTACAATGAGGTTAAAACACATATATTGTTATATACATATTTATATAGGTTTTAATAGTACATGTATATATATACACAAAGCAGGACTGTTTTAAGGCATACAACAATTAACGCAGTGTGTGATTGGGTGTCTGTGTTACACGGTTTTATGCTGCATATAAAACTTTCAGAATATGTCGTGTTTTGTGTGAACAACATAGGTTAAATTATTGTAATGTTTTGATTAGTGTTTTAAACAAGGATAAAGGGTATGTTGAAAATGTGTTTGTAGTAAAAAAATAAGACAATATTTGTGTTTATTGTATAGTTAATTGGTGAAATTTGGGTTATTTTGTAGTGTTAAGGGTTGAATACTGCATATGATCAAAATAATTATTTGTTCATCGGCAAGATATATTAAGTGCACTCGTGTAATAGGTAAATAAAAAAGATAAAACAAGTTTGGGTGATGTTAACAAAGTTGATGCAAGTGTATTTAATGTTGATGCAGTTATACTGGTAATTTGTTTTATATTGCCATTGACTTGCGGTCTGAGAAATAATATAATCAAAGACAAAATAAATGAGATTCAATAATTGATATGATAGTGCTATTTATAGTAACATAACATTCTATTTATAGTGTCATTTTACTATTTATAGTACCAAATTATTTTAGTTTTTCTTTTTAATGTATTTGAAATGCTTGGTCATTATTGTAAATAAAGTAAAACTGTTTTGTTTGATTTTTGCTTTTACACCGTGTGTAAATATAGAAGAAAAAAAAACAGATCTTTTTTTTTCAAATGCAAAAAAAAGCTGAGACATTTTAGATCTGATTCCAAAAGTATGTTTGCATTCCAAATACTGAATAGTAAAAGATGGGTTTACCTTAGGAGTTTTGTTCTACAGTGTAACCTCTGAAAGAAGACCACTACAAAAGTTGATCCTTTGAAGATGTTGATTTTCTTATATTATATGGAAGTAAAATATCTGTTTTATACAGTGTACATTTTATTGAGGTATTACTGTATTTTGTCATCGGAATGTCTAGTATGTGAGGTCATGTATATTTCACATGGGTTAGGGAGAAGTCATTGTTTTCTTGGTACATGTATATACATTGATATATTGTACTATAAAATATTTCTTATTGACATATTTGCCCATGCAAATGTATTTTCTTTTTTAAGTAAATACTTTTTTTACAACAGCATTTTGTTAAACTTAGAAAATTTTATTGTACTAATTTTACTAAGGAAATAACGTATTTAGACCAGTAAAATGTATAGTAGACTTTAGATGAATATTATATTTTAAATATCTTATTATTTCATTTATCTAGAAGAGCCAGTGTCTTGCTTTAGTCTAGTGACAAAGCAGGGCATTGAAGTGAATGTACTGTTGTTTTTTGTTAACTTGAAGAAGGCTAGTTAAGGAACTACATCATATAACATTATATAAAATACATTTTAAATTGTTAAGATTCTGTTTTTGAGATGTTATATATCCTATTTTACCATTGTCAAAATAAATATTTTTTATTTGGTGGCAAAAAATTGTGTTTTGTTATTTATATAAATGTTGTTTTTGGTTATGGGGCAGATAAATGTTTTTTGTTGCTAAAGTATAATACATAAAATATTACAGAAGATGTAGGCTAAGTGCCTGGCCAGTAATGACTGGTTATCGTCGTAGTTCTTCCACTAATGTTTCAAATGACATCTCTGAAACCATTGGGACAACTTTTATGAACGTAATTGTTTCATGCATGAAGCTTTTCAAATAGTTCCATTCCATGCAGAATAGTTTCAGTTGTCATGGCAACCAAGAGCAGAAACATTAACAGATCTAGAGCCACAGCTATGGAGAATGGCCTTGGTTATTTTCTCAAAATATATATATATAATTTGGTCCCGCCTCTTGGGTCATATAGATACATGTAATTACAATAAATATTTACATGCCCCTTTGAAAAACTTGTGAATGATTGTAAAATCCCTGGCGGACAGGCGGCAACGGCCAGTTCTGTCTTGAACATTATTACTTCTACCCGCATGGAAAATTTTATTTGACATACATGTTTAAATCCGTATGAATTTGGTCAAGGACACGCATAGAAGTTTGAGGAAAATGCTTGTGCGGAACAAAATGGCATCGAGAGAAATAAACCTGGTAGAATGGTAAAACGCGCAAAATAACAGCCTCTGTGCGAAAAGTCAAGGTCACATATCGGTCTAAGGTCAGATGAAATGTCTGTACTCATGGAGATGAGGGAATATATCACAAAAAATATTGCCAGGATAATTCAGTTGAATGCATGCAAGTTCAAGGTCACTATGTTTAAATGAAAATATCACCGGTTATATCCGGAGCATTTCTTCTTCATGCATTATGTCTGTATACCACAGGTCAATGTCACACTTGGAGGTCAGAGAAAAACACTTGTCTGCAGTGTATTTTCTTTTTGAATTGTTGTAAGTTTATGTATAACTTGGCACATATGTTCAACATTGTGTGCAAATTCAGGTCTTTTTGTGGCCAAGGTCAAAGTCATCTGCATAAAGATCCAAGCGCAGATAAAAAAAATGAAAATCATGAATGTCAGTATTGACCAATTTGTCACCATGAATTTAGAGATTTAATGTAAATATTCACTATCACGAGACTAGCATTTATGACGAGTGTATTTTGTGACAATGGCTTCTTTGTACTAAAAATCGGTTAAATTCTTTTTTCAAATATTGTAAAATATGATAAACAAGATCAACAAGGAAAGCATCAAGACTAAAAGACTAAGTTTAGAATCGTTTAGTGGTTCTTCAGTTTGCCCTAGGGTGCCAATATTGGCCCCGCCTAAGGGGTCAGTTGATATGTAAAAGGTCACAAAGTTCTACCTTGACGTAATTTTCCTCACATGTACTTTGAACATTCTTCTTAAATCTGGTCTAAATCTGCAAAGCTATGGGTTCTGATATTTGGTATGAAGCATCACAATATGATACAAGGTCCAGAGCTTATAGTTGATTAAAATCTTTACTGACAATAAATTTGAATGTTAAGAAATTAAATTTGACCTTTGTTGTATGTGTCAATGACCTAGTGACCTACTTTTGCTTTTTTCTAGCTATGGCCATCATATTTATCATTTGTATCACATGCACTCACAGGTGGCAGTATCAGTGTTTGGCTACCTAATACAAAACCACCGATAAAAAAGTTTTGATAGTGGACATTTTTGTGGATTTTTTTTTATGCTCCCCAAAAAATTTGGGGAGCATATAGTCGCCGGGTTGTCCGTCCGTCCGTCCGTTCGTACGTATGTCCTGTATTCGTGTCCGGGCCATAACTTTGTTTCACAACTATTTCACAGAAATGATCACCATATTGAGACGACGTGTAGCGCGCAAAGTTTGGGTCGCTACCTTGAATGTCAAGGTCACATCATGACCTTGTAGCAAAGTCGTGTCCAGCCCATAACTTTGTTATTTGAAATCGGATTTTATAACTATTTCACAGAAAGGATCACCACATTGAGACGACGTGTCGAGCGCAAAATTTGGGTCGCTACCTTGAAGGTCAAGGTCACAGCATGACCTTGCAGCAAAATCGTGTCCGGCCTTTAACTTCGTTATTTGAAGTCGAATTTTACAACTATTTCACAGAAATGATCACCATATTGAGGCGACGGGTCGCTCGCAAAGTTTGGGTCGCTACCTTGAAGGTCAAGGTCACAGCATGACCTTGCAGCAAAATCGTGTCCAGTCCATAACTTCGTTATTTGAAATCGGATTTTACAACTATTTCACAGAAATGATCACCATATTGAGACGACGTGTCTCGCGCAAACATTTTGGTCGCTGCCTTTTTTTTACACTTTGAACTTTGTAACATAAATCTGACACTACAAGAGGTATGCCTTCCTGTGTCCAAAATCTATTCGGGAGCATCACCCGGTTCAACCGGGTGGTTTTGTATGTGGTGGCCAAACGCTGATACTGGCACCTGTGCATGCACTACGAGGTGTGTAAAATAATCGTTGACACTGTGTGACCTTGAACGTGACCTTATGACATACTTTTTATTTTTTTAATCAATACCCTTTAAAATAGGCATAAATGAATCAAATTTTAGCAAAAGTTCAAACAATTATTGAGACTGAAAAAATGAATAAATAAATAAAAAAACACTCATGCATATTTTACTGTATTTAATTACATCTCTACACTAATTTCAGCAACACGTTTTTACTTCTTATCCGACACAGTTGTGACCATGGCAACCGCAATAGAAAGCTTGGGAACAACTTCCAACAGGGTTACAGATACCTAAAACAAAATATATTAGTCTGTTAACAAATCAGTGAATGACAGGATAGGACAATTTTTATAAATATTAAGAAAAAATATTGTTTTTTTTCCTCAAAGTTTGATTAAATTCTCGTCGCATTTAGCCTAGTTTTAACCGCATAAAAAGTCTGAAATGGTACATAATGACAGGGTTTTTACACATACTGACATATGAATACCTATTTTTAGTACTTATACTAAATTCCATACTGTAAGTTACTGAAATATATTATATTTATATTTGTTATATCTAAAGTCACATTCGTCCATTCAGATTAGTAGAAAATTTTATAACCTGGATGGCCTGTCGCTGATCCGGTGGGATCCGCGCCTACGGTCCATACACAAGTTGGATCGCCGAGCTCCACGCCGTTAGTAGCACCGTCACCGTCGCTATCTTTGGCACACAAGGCAGCAGTCCACATGTGTCCAGCAGCTGCAAAATCCTGCACGTAAAATAATAACGTTTCCTTTATCTATTTATATATTCTTATTCTAATATCATATATCTTTTTTTTTTCTGCCAAAATATTAAATATATACATATAGATTTGTATGTGTATTTTTCGTTATTGGGCTATTAGTGACCTGTTTTATGCTTAAAATAGTTCCCAAAAATCCCAATGTACTGCTTCTAAACCTCCACCATTGCATATTTGGCGCTATGTGTTGCTGTTGTTACACCTCGATTTTCGCACATTTGTTGCTGCTTTAAAGCGATTTTCGCACTTATATTGTTACTGCACATCGGTAATCGCACATATGATGCTGCGTCACCGGGATTTTTGCACATAAAGTGTTGCTACACCTCGATAATCGCACTATTATCTGTTGCTGCTTCACCGCGATTTTCGCAAATTTGTTGTTACTGCACCTCCATAATCGCATATATTATCTGCTTTACCGCGAATTTTGCACATACAGTCAGGTGCAAAAAGTATTGGTGAAAAGGGAAGTAACTGATGCATGCTTAGGAAAAAGGTTACTTTTGCTAGTCTCTCTTTACTAATTACATCATCCTCAAGGCCAAATATGACGTCATAGAAATTTGATGACATCATAGTTCTAGAATACTATTGTTTACCTTTGGAAATTTTTGAGTGTTTATGTTCTTTTCTGTGTTTTCTAAAATGGGTAGGAAGGGAAGTGGAATCTCACAGGATGTAAGAACAGTCATTGTGGATTTATATAAGAATGAACATAAAGTGTGTAACATTACTAAAATGTTAAATTTACCTTGCATGACTGTGTCAAATATTGTTAAAAGATTTTGTGCAGTGGTTCTACTTAAAACAAACCAAGAAGTGGCAGGCCAAAACTTAACAGCAAAAGGAAGTTTCAGGTGATGATAGGGGGGTATATTTGCTGGCATGGAGTGGGGACTTTAAGAAAAGTGACAGTTATTATTAGCTCTGAAAAGTACAAAGGCATTCTTCAGGATAACATTTGGCCTGTTATTGTAAGACATTTTCCTGATAATAATTATTTATTTCAAGATGATAATGCCCCAGTACACAGATCTCGCTTACTTCAAAAATATATAGCTGACAGCATTTTAAAGTCCATTTCTTTGCCTGCACAATCACCTGACATTAATATTATTGAAAATACATGGTTATACATCAAATGAAAATTCAATACAGACACCATGTAATCAACAGCAATGACAAACTTTTTAGTGAAATTCAGAGGATATAAATGGACATCCCTACAAGTTATGTTCAGAGCCTGTTTTTGTCTTTACTCAGAAGGTTATTGTCAGTTATCAGACTGAAAAGTCACTTGACTGAGTATTAAGGTAAGAAAACAATTAGTTTTTGCAGTTTGAGCAAACTAGTAACTAGTTTATATGAAGGAAATCTATGATTGATTGATTCAGATAAATCCAATATGGCCGCCAAAATCACCAATACTTTTTGCACCTGACTGTATATATTGCTGCTTTACCGCGATTTCCGCACATATATTGTTACAACACCTTGATTATCGCACATGTGTTGCTGCTTTACTGCAATTTCCGCACAAACATTGTTACTGCATCGTGATTATCGCACACATGCTGCCATTTTACCGAGTTTTTCGTATATATATTTTTTTCTAATAAAAAGCAGAAGTGCTTAATACAAGTACATTTGTCGTTTAGACATTTGTAAATCATTCATAATTGCCTGATAAAAAACCCACAATTATTTTAAATTAAAAAAAAAAAAACGTTTAGATCAGAGAAATGTCACGTCACAGTTGTGCATGTATTTTAAGACGATTATTACATATTGTTGACTTTTTATATTTGCTTTTTCCCGTGTTTTTATTATTACTTTTGTTATTATTGTGACAGGTCGATTTTTTATGTTAATTTTTCTTTTTGTCGTGCACTGTTCGTCACTTAGTCGCGGGAAAAGTATACTTAATTTAATGTCCTCGCATGCGTCTATTGTCTTTGTTTCCGTCGTATCGGATGATTTCGTAACGTTGGGCTTACGGAATTTGTTGTTTACTCTATAAATAAGTACACACTTCAGTAAAGTCAAGCATGCTTGTCCATGCTTGCGGTTTATAATAAAGTAATAATAGAAACTGAATTTTATTTTGCAATGACACAATTTATACGGGGTATAAATAAACATAATGCCATAATTATGCCAATTATAAAAATTAAAACTGTTGTGTTGTGTACAAATTAATTGTTTTAATCTAGTCAGCATTGTCACACTGGTCATAGCTTTCGCCCATCGCAGCAGCGGTGGAGCATTCGTCGTAGAAGCAGTGGATAAAAAATGGCCGTTTGCTGTTATTTGAATTTTGTTTTATGTTTTAATGTTTTACTGGAAACACTTAGTGAGCCGGGAGCCCACACATGTTCTCTTTCAACTTATTACACGCACATGGTGCAATGCATTGCCGTCTGTACAGTTTGACGAGAGGACGTAACTTTTGCCTACTTCTGGTTTAAATATGATTAAATTTACATTTCTAAAACTCTGAATACAACATGTACATTTTTTTTTTGCTTTATCTAGATTTTGTTTGTTTGTATTCAGCCAGAGATACTCATGACATAGGGGATTTACTGTATGTTTCGTTTTGTTTTCCCAACTCTTTATATAATAAACGGGATACAAATCAAAATAGTCTAATTCTTTGAAAAGTTGAAGTTGAATAAAAGAACCCATTTGGAGAATCAAATGCTTAACATTTTAAAAGGGCTTACCATTCCGAACGGATTCTTATCGTGTGTATGATGTAATGGATCGAAGTGTCCTACAGCCTCCCATACCCCACTACCGCATGGATTCGGCACGAAGTGTCCGTTAGGTATTCTATCCCTGTAATATGGATGACAAAGCGTCACAGCGACACTCGTAAATAATACCAGTAGCCCGAGCATTTTCCCTTTATCGTAATTCGAATTTGACGGAATAAAGAGATAGATTATAAAAATGTCCTTTCTATATATGTGAAATTCAACATGGCACTGTACAGCAAAGATAAGAGAATAGTTTCGCTTACGTAAAAGTCTTATTAATGTTCATTTCATATAATTTGAAACAATTTTAATGCAATTTATACATACATAACATTCAAAACAACTAACACAAGTATGATTGGGTAGAGTTTGAGCTAACCCGTAGGTCCTGGATTTTTAACGTTCTGTATTTGGTAAAACAAGGCTATTGGTAGTAATATTTCTGTAGAACGTTGAAAAGCATAAACTTAATCATAATGAGCTATAAATCATGGATTATTCTGTACAACTCGATTCAACTAATATAATTTATAAACGTAGAATAGATTGTCGGAAGCATGGATAATAGTTTATAAAAGTAGTATACCGGGGTAAATTGTCTGAATCATGGATTTTTCTGTACAACTCGATTGGACTTCAATAGTTCATAAACGTAGAATAAATTGTCTGATTCATTGATTTTTCTTTACAACTTGATTGGACTTTAATAGTTCATAAACGTAGAATTAAGTGTCTGATTTGAGAAATTTGTTGTACAACTCAATTGATTAAACTAATATAGTTCATAAACGTAGTATTACTTGTGTTTTTATTTAAAAGCAATAAAAATGACTAACTAAGAAGAAAAGATCGTAGCAATTTAAAATACTCGTAATGTCTTGCATATTCGAATAATTCATCTTCTTTTAGTTTAAACGCTATTTGGCTTGTACTTCATGTGTTGTTTTGTTGTGGGTTTTTTTGTTGTTTTTTTTTTTTTTTGGGGGGGGGGGGGGGAGGGTGGTGTTGCACGCACATGTACGCACTGATTAGATAATGAACACTAGTATATTTATAACAATACATATTTTTGTTTTTGTATGATTTTCAATATATGTGAAACTTCCGGGTTATTTTCTACAAATAAGTAATCAATCCCCATTTCGTTTATTATTTTGTGTCATAAAACTCTTAAGTGTTACGTGAACAAACGGATGAAATTGTGTCTATCGGTCAGACATTATGTTCAAATATTAAGATCACGATTACTGCTTGCACGAATCTCTTTCTTTTTTAAGTAGATCATTAGGTCAATAAAATGAATACCTTATCTATTTCGCTATTTCGTGAACTTTCTACAATATTTGTTAGGTTTAGCACATTTGACTTAGTGCTTGGTGCATGACTGATAATGAAATCTGATATATCTGTGAAGATAAGGCGTGAAAATATCTACAGAAGATAGATTCTACAGTTGCTTCTGCACACACTGTTTGCTTATGCACCCATTTTTTCAGTTAATGCAAGCGTTTCCAAGACCGTGGTAAATTTAATGAGAGTGGTAGGTCCGTTTTTAAATGACATAACAGGAGTTAAAATCATATCATAAATGACATTTTTTTATAATCAAAGTGGACTTTAAAAAGATGCCACGTACCAGGAAATTTAATTTAATCATCATTTAAGGGCTAAGGATGAAACAATTAAGCTATCTGGTAATTTTATATATGTTTATATATCATTATACATTTTGTATACATATTTCATTGCGGTCCTAAATTACTATCATTTAAAGTAAAGTAGGGTAGGGTGGGTAGTGTAGGGTAGGGGTAGGGCTAGGTAAGGGTAGGGTACGGTAGGGTAAAGGTAAAGGTAAAGGTAAGGTAAGGTAAAGGTAAGGTAAGGTAAGGTAAGTAAGTAACTAAGTAAGTATGTAAGTATAAGTAAGTAAGTATGAATAAATAAATTATAAATAAATAAATAATTAAATAAATAAATAAAATGTCCCAGAATCAACGAACATTTATTTGTGCAATGACTAAAAAAACTTCTTGGAAACATTTTTGGTGCTGTGTTTTAAGTCACGGCGACATTGAAAGTATATAACAATTTTTTTAGTTTTACTGGTTGAGGAAGATGCCCTCTCATGCATTATTTTAAAATTTTAAAAAAAGAGCGGGCACCTGGGTAAAACCTGGCTTCATAAAAACTATTTACTGTAGTTAACCAAAAGTCACTGGCGGGAGCGGCGATTGGTTCGAAGTCAAAGACCTTAACAACTTGGCTATCGAGGCCAAACTTTGTTAACAAGTGAAAAACAAGAAAGGAAAGAGATTTTATATAATTTATTATAAAACGTGAAAAAAACTATAAATAAAACTGCAACGATTGAATCAACGGCTGAGTAGATTTTATAGCGCTTGACTATCAAAATAAAACAACCCAAAACAATGACATTTATAATCATCTGCTTTCTTTACTGCTACATACTGACACATGGTGAACTCAATTAAACTTTTACATGAACATTTTATTGTACAGTTTTTACCTGTCTCATACGCAAAACATTTAGTTAAACGTGGTAAAGATGTACTTAGTTAATAAAATTCTATTAGGAATATTTTTGCAGTTTGTTTATTGTATCGACTTTTCAGCTTCTGTATTTACAAGGTAAGAGTTTCATTTTCTACCACATGCTTATTTTCTGAAAAGAACTATAAAAGTAACTAAGCGATATAAGTTCCTGAAAAGTAGCATAATCCTGTTGTTTTAATGAAATATCAGTTATACGTCGTATGTTTGAACGTATGGTGCTCTTTTGTTACATGGTTCTACTTTGTTAAATTCGTTTATGTGCAAAAACTAGTGTGTAGATAACATTTCATTTTGTTTTCTAGCTTATGTGATAGGGGAAAGTGACAAAAGCCCTCCCGGACAAAAACCCTACCGTCCAAAACTGACAAAAGCCCTCTCTTTATGAAAAGATTAGGTGTGATTGTGATAGTGTTGATGGAGCCACTGCTGAACTTTTATGCCTATATATATATACAATATATTCATAACATTTTAATAGTAACAATACGCACACCAAACGAAAACTAATTATTTATATAAACAACAAATTTATTATATTATTTTACAGTTTTCGAGAACTCGAGGCCGCATTGTTACAGGCTACTTCAAATGAATATGGAGGCAGGCCTCAAGATCCTGTCGATTCTGGTAACAAACCTTAATCCTTTTATTGTCATTTTTAGATAGATATTTTACGCTGTAGTCGGGTCCAATATTAAATTCGTTAGGTTCTGTAAGATCGAGCAGGAAACATTCAATCTGGTCATTGCATGTCTTGGTGATATACGTGATGAATATAAATATGAAAAGGTTGGTTTTAAGTCACAATAACTTTATTACTGTTACATTACGACTTTTCAACTTTACTGCTGGGCGGGTACAGCGAGGATCCCAGATTTGTACGCCTTTGTGCATTATTTCAGGTACGAGAATGAACCCAGTTAGAACATTTTGACCTAAATATATCGCTTTTCACCGTTAATTTGGTAGCCTTTCACCATTAGTTTGGTAGCCTTTCACTGTTAGTTTGGTAGCCTTTTAACGTGTTTGGTAGCCTTTCACCGTCAGTTTGTTAGCCTTTCACCGTTAGTTTGTTAGCCTTTCACCGTTAGTTTGTTAGCCTTTCACCGTTAGTTTGGTAGCCTTTCACCGTTAGTTTGGTCGACTAAAGGTCCTAATAACTACTATCAAGAGTATGATACATGTAGACTTTAACTGTTTAGTACAGAGGGTACCATTCTGAACCTTTTTGCAGTCTACCAAATTCCTTCCTGTTAATTGCTCAGTTTTGTTTATGTACATGTAATGTATAAAGATATTCCATACAATTTGCAATTGAACATAGCTTAAGTTCATCTAAGAAATAGCTTTAAAATCATCTCAAAAATTGGACAAGTTGGGATTGGTTGGTATATTAAGAAATAATGAGGTTCTTCTTACCAGCGACTGGTACATGTTGAATTACAGTTTTATTCTTTGTTTAGCATGTCTAAAGTATCATACCATGATTTATTGTTCATTTTAACAGATGGCGCTGTTGATGTCAGCGTTCGTGTTGTTGTCACAGACGTGCAGCCAATTAAACGAGAGGTATACTTTTGTCTATTTCTATTATCCACACCGTATTATCGAATCCAATGATGACAGATTGCTGCAGTGATCAAAATCTAGAAATCTAAAATTTACTAATTATAAACAGCAGAAAAATCCGTGAAAATGTTGGATTTGTTGTTGTTGTTTTTTTGTTGTTGTTGTTTTAATTGTTCAAAATATCTCGAGTTTAAAGTTAATGGAGGGATTCTTTTTTCTGACAGCCCACCTTATCTGTTACAAGTTGGTTAGTCGAGTTAAAAATTCTAAATGCATAATTTGGCAAAAATGCCCTCCGGGTTAATATTTGCAAACAAAGTATGAAATAGATGATACTTTCATGTTTTACAAAAATAAACAATTTCTAGTATATAAGTAACACGAAAATTAGAAAAAAAACTTTAAACTCAAGATTTCCTAGATATTAAATACGATCTTTTTGAAATTCCAAGGACGAAAACTGATCCCCGCTTGGTTTGCATTATTGGGTTGTATATTAACCAATTCAAGACATATTGGGGAAATTAGCCTCCTTATCAATAGCAATAAGGAACTGGCATATATTTTAAAGTCTGTCCTTCGATAAAGGGAAACACCAAGGTAGGAGAACAAACTCATTATTTGGAGTTTTTAATGGTTAAATAATCCCCACTGACAGCGTTTGTGCGAAAAAGACTAAATAAATTTTCGTGATTATATTAATTAGTCATTTTTGTTGTTTTTGTTGTGTGTATTTTTCACCTGCCTAACACTGTCACAACTTTTGCGAATAAGGGAGGCAATATTATTTGTATATGAACATTCCGTTTTTTACCGCCCAAAACAGTAGAACAGCGTGGATGAAAATGATAAAATATATTCTACAAATAATAATAAAGTGTAATTGATTGCATGAGGCATTTAAACAGCAATAATTTTGTCAGCATTTTGACATTGTAAAAGCATAAATATGTGCATTATTTTACAACAGGTGATAAGTATTCGTCCCAACAATATTCTTCTATTCGGGTGGTATCGCGAGTTTGATGTCAAGTCAATGAGTGCATATGTATTGTTCAAAATTACCTTATAGTATCCCCACTCAAGAACAGTAAATCTATTGCAATGAAATTGTCCTTATTTTCGTAATGTGAATATACCAACTAAGTTTATAACCTACCTGTAGTAATCAGTAATCTGTCATGGCTGGCGCCAGTTATACGGTGTGTTAATTGTCTTGAACAATTAACAAACAAAAAAATACCGAGTTTATCTGTATTTACATATCTGAAAATGGAATGTCGCACTGGAACTGCATGTATAAACACAAAAATAATTACTTATAACGGCAAGTTGTTACGGTTTGGTGACGGTCGCTAAATGTCCACCCCTGTTTCATGGTCACTAAACGTCCGCCCCTGTTTCATGGTCGCTAAACGTCAACCCCTGTTTCATGGTCGCTAAACGTCCACCCCTGTTTCATGGTCGCTAACCGTCCACCCCTGTTTCATGGTCGCTAAACGTCCACCCCTGTTTCATGGTCGCTAAACGTCCACCCCTGTTTCATCATTGGCAGTGTAGTCATATTTCCGGGTAATATTAGACTCCAAGTGATTTTGTTTCGTTTATCCATTACTTTGGTGAGAGATGTTATGTAACACCATCCGTAATATTTTTTTTCTTAATAAACAGAAACGGTAATTCATTACTTCCCTTATCTAGATCTTTTAAGTGTTTCAATTTTTATCTACAGAGTATAGATGTAATTGCTCATATTCAATCAATATGGAAGGACACACGTCTGCAGTACAACGTTACGTCAAGAAATCCTATGAAAATTAACGAAACGTTAGCGTATTCCCTCCACAACCGAGTCTGGAAGCCAGACCTCTATCTAGAACCAGAATGGACTCTAAATAGCGATTCTGAGATAATGTTGATTAGAGTGAATTCAAATGGAAATGTTGGCAGTAACAAAAGGTATGTACATTGTAGTTTGACACTTTTTCTAAAAGTAAACAATGGTGATCAATGTGATAATGTAATATATTGTACTGTAAGGCACTTAAATAACCCAAGCATGCAGCAACCCTTACTCCATAAAGGAGGTAGAAATATGATGATTCATTCACATTAACATGTAGTTCCTTTATTTAAGACAAAAACTTAAAGTGGCCTTCAGCTGTTATTTTTTTTATTGGAAAAACGATTCTTTGTTGTTTCGAACTAAGTATTTCAGTAATTTTATCTTGGAAAGTAGCCTGGGTTCCAGTCTGTCGATTTTATGTGCTTCTGTTCGGCAATTGATATTATCAAAACACGAACGAGTATGAAATAGCGCGTACGTTATGAATAAGCAAAAATGTCGGTGCCTGAATCCCAGGCTACTTGGAAAGGTGCATCATATCACTGTAAAGCCTTCTCCAACACAGCGTCCCGAAAGCTATTTATAATCCGTTCGTTTCAAAAAATAAAAGATCGAAAAACGAACCGTCCGCTTTACTGATTTACATAATGTATTTAATCGGCGGCAAATTTCACTTTCCACCTTAATTCTTTTGATTTGTCAATAATATGAAACGATTTATCTAAAAATAACATATTTAACTTTTAGAATAGCTGAAGGCCCCTTTAAAAGGGCTCAACAACATATCATATCAAAACGACTAATAGTATTTGAAAATACAATATTTTGTACGGCCATGTAAGGCATTGGTTGGTTTAAGATTTTAAATTTCGTCTTCAGGTTTCGATCTACAATTCCTTGCACGAAAAGCTTTATTGGAATCATGCACGTGGACTTTATATGTACAACACGTGTCTTGTCGTGTAAGTGTTATTTTTATACTAGTTTTTCGTTTGTGTCATTGTGTTCCTTGATAACATTAGGAATGTACTATCCACACTACTAATATTTTACATTATTTAGTTCAAAGCACACGAGTGGTACTCCTTTATATAATTCAAATATTTTCTTTCATGAATTGGAATAAGATTCCTACTTGGAGGATGAGGTGAAGTTGTCGTGGCTTGATGATGACCCACTGAGACTAAAATACGGAGCCATAGACGTAGAATCTGAGATCACTCGAGGTGTAAACGAAACATGTTCGTGGGACATATTCAATGGTGGGAAGTTATAATGTTTTCTTGTATGAAATGGTTTCTTGTATGAATAAACACGTGTTTTGAATCATATTTGAATAAATGTATATAATAATGAATTAATTTGGTACCTTTAATGCAGACAAATAACTTGAATGGTAGCAGATCATGTCTTTATACAGAACAACCCCCGCACACAGATTACCCTTAATAATTTTAAGGTGGCTCGGCCAAAGGTCAAAGTCACATAGACCTTGTATGTCAAAATGGTTTCCGACCATTAACGACCAATTACTTGACATCGAATGGGCCACTGGGCCTCAACGCTACATTGGTCTCCACCCAATCCAGTTTGAAAAAGCATTGTTTTATTGAAAATGAGATGTTAATAAGATAATACGGTATATGTAATATTTGTAAGTAATTATAATATTCTATATATTAGGCAATTAAAAGTTGATGTAAATGTTGATATTTTTGCTATTTCTTTTTGGCAAATATTTGACGTTATTAAGTGCATGCATTTCATGACACATTATTTTGTTCACACGTCGACCGGTCCATCCTTCGAAACGATTACATATTTCAATGAATAAAATGTTTCTGTTTTTCTAATTTTCAGGAATGAGAACATCATGTGTGGAGGTGAAACTGTATGTAACCAGGCATTTTCCATCCATTTTTTATCGTTTATACATACCAAGCTTCATGGCTGTTCTCATGGCATGGTCCAGTTTCTGGATACACAGGGATGAAGCCTCTGCGAGGATCAAACTTGGCACCCTCGTTGTGTGGACAGTAATGTCTCAATATATATCAATTGAGGTCGCTTTTCCGGAATACCTTGATAATATTGCTGGCAATGTTTGGATGTTTGGCTGCATATTTTTCACGTGGGCATCATTTATTCTCTACGTCATAATTCACGTGGTGCGCAGACGAGAGAAATCTAAGTTGAAACACGATGAAAAGAAGGAAAAGGAAAGAGAAAAAGAAGCAAAAAGAACTGGGGAGAGAGCACTGTCTATATCAAGTGTTCACCCGGTAACTGTTTTTACATTAAATGTTATAGTTTTTATTTTGACTCTAGTAATTATTTCAAATTAAGAATCACATTCTGTTTTATTTCTTTGTGTCGGCAGACTCAAGCCGGAAAATTATAAAAGGGACAAATAGTCTTTTGAAAAGTCAGTAAGCACTCTCGAATGTACAGTTCATTGCACATATTTGCATGAGAGCATTACAAATTCAATGATTGTATTGCGGGTTAAGGTATTATTTTTTGTCCCCATTCCTGTATTCACACGATTTGACCACTTCTACAAAGTCTGCCCTTAGTCAATCAGAATGGAGAATTTATACATGATTACAAAATGGATGACTAAAGGTCTGAAAAAGGGTCCCTATGGGACATTCGTCATGTTTTGTCGGCTTACCTATACATGTTGTATATAGAATTAAATACTATCTTCATGTAAGAACCTTAAAACTAATGTGTCTACAGTTCCTGCTGGGTATACAATATATTGAATACTTCTTTTAAAAAGAAACCTTAAGATGGAGTCTATTTAACAAAAAAAATGAATACCTGGCTGAACGGCAATTCCTAGCATTTTTGGAACTGTTATTTGCGTATAATTATAGTACCGCATTTATGAAGCAGCCCTCAAAGCCATCTTTAATGCGAAATGATTCATGATTCTCTTTTCTTCTTCAGGATGGAAAACTTGAAAGGGGCGGACTAAAGGGATATTCGGTTTGGAGAAACAAGAATAAGTTCAAGGTCACCAAGATATATATGTCCTCGTTCACATTGGAACGCTGGTGTAGAATCTGGTACGGACTTCTGTTTCTTGGATTCACCATCTTCTTTCTGACATTCTACGGCATGGATTTGTTTGTATGATGACCGGTTAAAGATAAGTAAAGTAAGAACATGCTGAAATACCAATTGTAAAAATTCATGGTACTCAAAGATCGAGATGACAGAAACAAATAAGAACTATTCTGAAAGAAAGTTCAGAATTAGTTTTTTTGTCGAAATAGATGAATGAAATAGATCATGTAGTTCTTATGTTCATGGCATTTCTAAAATTAAAAAAAAGATCAAATCATAATATTACAGTTTACACATAAAGACATCCCTTACATCAATTTCTATGTTAGAAATCGTATAAATAAAGTACATTGTATATCTTAACATTGTTTTGTTTTAATCATTCAACATGACGTATAACCAAATCACCCAGTCTTCCTACAACGTCCTATCATAGTATAATAACTGAAATATGTAGGTAAAAATATTTATTATGTAAAAAAGACAAAACTTATTAATCCTTAATCGCGTATAAAAGCAAAAGAAGCAAAAGTGCAGGATTGTCCTAAATTCGGCAAAACGTGTTTATATACATACACTTATCAATCCTATAAATGTTCAGATATAAATGGCCTCATACTTGCATCGATTTTAGCCCTATCACGCTGAATTATTCAATAAATATAGTAGAAACATTTGTCCGTTCTTAAACAATCTTTGCACGTAAATGGGCGATTGCCTGTGACACTGCATGAACAGTCGTCTTACGCGGTGGTTCAATTGAATCAATTCATTCTGTATATTTTCTATCACACAAGTCTAAGGACTTTGATGGTAGTCGTTCAGAAAGACTGTTTTTGCTGTTGCCATCCTACAACAACAGCAAAAATGGAAAAATGGGAATCCCTAAAGAACGCCCAACACGGCAAAATAAACAAAAATGTTGCGACTTCGGTTTGATTGAGACTGTTATTCCTGAATATGGGTATTGAGGCTGAGGGGAAGCCTTTTAGGGTTGAGACATCAGTATTTCAGTCACCGTTTCACCCTGCGATCGTAAGATGCGCCTTAATAGGTCCGAATTGATAAAGTCTATGCATCTCTTTGCTCCAGTTGGCGAGGTGGTTTTGATCCGTGGTGACGCATAAACTTTGTAACAGCTGAAGTTAGCCAAAACCATCTTTCCTGCTTCGGCGCCAAATGACCTAAACTGTGTCGATGCGCCTTTAAACCAACCAAACGTGCCCATCGGCAGTCCAGTGTAAGGTCATAAGGTAAGCGACAACAGTTTTTCTGAACTTTCTGGAGCAGTGTCCTGCTACTTTAATGTACCCAAATTACGTATAACATTATGTCACATGAATGCATGCGACGACATTACCGGCTGTAATCAGAGGTCAGGGCGGGTATATGCAGAATTAAGAATAATCATGACATGCATCTTCATTTTGCATCATTCACTTTTCATTGTTGCTTTTGTATCTTTAAAGACTGTGCAAAATGCAAAGACTGCTGTCAATAATGTGCAGATGTCTTTGACATAGCTACATGTATTATGTTTCGTTTTTATTTCTATATGTACAATAATAAAGTCGTTACATCTTTCATCTTTTTATTCATTTTAAATCTAAAATGATTTTACTACACAAAGCATACATTTAAAAATACAACAATCAAATATATATATATACATTGTATACAAATATAAAACGTGCCAAAATATTCTCGTTTCATTTGATGGAATTTTTATACACCTTATTTAAGAATTAAACAACAAAGATTTGACATCTCCATGATCTCTGGACTGTGAAAACAAGAGCCATTTGGACATGTACGTACATTGTAATTCAAACATTGAACAATGTCGACAGGTTCATTTGGTCAAATGAGGGCCTCCATGGTGGCCAGGTGATTGTCAATGACTTCAAACCACTTGACTCTCGCCAGAAACTTTGGATTTTTTCACGGTTAGCTTATGGTTGTTCTTTCTATTCATGTGCCCGCTTGTACCTGAAGCAATATACAAAGCAGCACCGGAGCTCTTCCGCCAACAGTTTATAAACTGGAAGGGTGCCACTTGGCTTATACCGTCTCGATGTGACTTAAAACCCAACAAAACAAAAAACAATTGCTCAAAATCTTAACAATATATAAGGGGTAAATTGATCTCTCAATGTTAGGAAAATAAGTATCATAGATTGACAAAAGAAATATACAAAATGCTGAGAGAAAAAAATGGTGATTCATTAATAATATGAACCAAAAATATAAACATGTACAATGTATATGAATACGTGCATAATATTATGCCACTGCCGTAGGAGAGTAAATAGCACCTGCCAAAAGAAAATGCTTAGTGCCTTTTTAGCCGATCTTTTCGTCAATTGCACTGCTAAACATTTTTATGATGATTTATATAAATGCAAATTTTTCACAAAATGACGCAACAATCACAACAACCACAACGAAAAGTGTTACTAAGAATTGCATTAACTTTCAAATTTCTAATGTTGTAATGGGTGTTTTTCTTTTTTATCTTTTGCAGATTCGTCCTTGAGCTATGTCAAAGTTCCAAATTTGATGTTTTAGGTTTTTGACCTCAGCAAATCTTCTTTAAACTGATAGATAACATATTCGATTTAAAAAATCTTCTGACCACTAAGTACTTATGACCAATAAATGTTGTATACCCTGATTGTTTTTCTATCACATGTGTCCAGATACCATTTGCAATGAGATTTACAATGAGTTTAATTATCATTATCATTTGTGTTTGTAATTAAAAAAATATGCCCTTAGATACTTCTAAAAATCAACAGCAACATTTTTCAATAGAATAAATCCCTTCCGTAGTATGACAAGAAAAATATCGTAAAAGCTAGAAACAGGAGACCAAACCAAAGCCGGCACCAGCGTTCCAACTTGAACGAGGACACAAATACTTTGGTCATCTTGAATTTATTTCTGTTGTCCCATACTGAATAGCCCTTCAGCCCATTGTCCGCAAGTCTGGCATCCTGAAATTCACAAAAATGAACAATATCATTCTTCAGACTGGTTTACTTTGTACAATAGATTCGCTAAGCTGTTGACAATATATTGAACTGTAAACAGTATAGAGTCTAGAAGGCGTGTCCGAGTGAACTTACATATACACGCAGATAGACTGATTAAATACAAAATGGCACAAAGTGTTCTTAATAACCCTTGCAGTAAAAGTACTAGTAATTGCCGCTTGTATTATTAGGTGTATGGAGCCGGTTTTGGCAAGGGACACGTACGTTCTTTTCGGTTTGCTAACATTCCGAATGACCAACTGAAGTAATATTGTGGCGATATTTTTAAAACTCCCCGATTAAAAGTAGATCTAACATTATTATCATTTTTTTTCTGAACAGAGTTCTATCGGATGATATACACATAAGACATTAAAAAAGAATGTTTTCCGTCTTGCAAAGAGTCTAAAGTGTGTGCTTTCTTAATCATTCCGACAAACGAGATACACAAGGTTCATGGACTTATTTTCGAAGGAATATTTGTTTTTGTGTAAATGAATTTTATGAATATAAACATTTATAGGAACTCCATCGAGTTTTTTGGACATGTCGGGTTTTGAAACATTTTCCCATGATTGGTGTAAAATTTGATGAAGGTCTGGGCTTATAACTTTTGTGCAAAGTTTCAGTTAATTCCATTATCCCGTTTTCTTCTTCAGAATAATCATTTTATTGCGCAAAATGACCAGAAAATGAAAAGCGTTTCGACGCCTTTCACTCAAATCAAGATAAGAATCTCACAGAAAAACGATTTTTAAATCAATTCCTAGTATATTTCTTTGCTGTTCTTTGCAGAGTTTTCTACTTGATATTTTTTAAAAAAATTATGTTTAAAGGATTGATGCCCTTTAAAGCCGCGGATAAAAAACAACTTCTGCAGAGCAACACCGTTTTGGAGACAAATATTTGGTTGTTGCTAAGAGAGAATTGGCTGTAGAGACGTTAAATTTATTGTGCAGTCTATGGCAAAAAATGATACTGTTTTTGAACAGCGGTTATTGCTCTACAGAGGCCGTTCTACAGAAGTAACTTTGCAGTAATTTTTCTATATCTCACTAAAATTCAAAAAGTCCACGAATATAAAAAATGTCGATACCGTGATCAAGATATTTGCAAGGTATGAATGTTAACAAATATAACTTGAGATAACTACTTTTGATTAGTGAAGAGTCTTTCGATGGTAGAGAGTCGTTATCTAATTTAACGTTAAAATTTGCCAGCAAAAAGCAAGAAACCGATATAAGGAATTTAACATTATATGACAATTAAAATGCTTGTTCATATTCTTTCGACAAAAGCGCCCATAGTTGCCATGTGACAACAGATGTCTGTACTTTTTATACATAAAAGACAACTCTGATACTATGGTTGAAAGTTTTTAGGACTATTATTATTACCGGGTGGAGGGTTGATATAGATAAAGCCCTCTCTCCAGTTCTTTTCGCTTCTCTTTCCTTTTCTTTCTCCTTTTCCTCTTCGTGTCTTGATTTAGATTTCTCTCGTCTGCGTACCACGTGAATTATGACGTAAAAAATAAACGACGCCCACGTGAAGATCATACAGCCACACATCCAGACATTTCCCGCAGTGTTATCCAAGTATTCCGGAAAAGCGACTTCGATTGAAATGTACTCTGTCATGACGGTCCACACAACGAGGGTGCCAAGTTTGATCCTCGCAGAGGCTTCATCCCTGTGTATCCAGAAACTAGACCATGCCATAAGAACAGCCATGAAGCTTGGTATGTATAAACGATAAAAAATGGATGGAAAATGCCTTTTTACATACAGTTTAACCTCCACACATGATTGTCTCATTCCTAGAAATAAATATTTCATTTGAACTCCAATTATACATGTATATCATAAGTGATTTTCTGCATCAAGTAAAAGACATTTTCTCAGCGTTTAATATAGCTTGTTTGAATATTTTCATAACTTGTGACCTTCCGAATGCAAGGATATGCATTAACTCCATTTCTCGAACTTTGCATTATCTAATGCTACATAACATTTGGTGGTTGTTTTGTACAATTTCGTCATTTTTCCCCGTCACACGAAAAACTAAACATGTTACAAACCGGTCAATATAATGTTCTATCTATTTAAACTCAGGATCTATCTCTCATATAAATTCAAATATACATTCACTTTAATTTTAAACATCTCCTATTCTTTTGGAGTTGCTAACAATCTTTTTTGAATAACTAAGTTATACATACCGCTCAAGTAATTCCATTCGCATGTACCATTTTCTTCACCAGTAATTTGAGATCCATCGCCTACTGCACCATACCGGAGTTGCATCGGTTCAATATTGGTCCAGTGCAATCGCACCTCGTCAATCAGGTGTGAATCTGAGAAAAAAAAGTTAAAGTTGTCGGACTCGTCTTGTCGTTGTGTCGCTAACGATGTACGCCAAACGGCGCGTTGTCGTGCGGAGTGTTGTCGCGATGTCACTTTGTCGCTCGGTTCAGATCGAAGGATTGGCTTATAAGCCGAGCGACAGGGCGACATCTCGTCGCACGACAACGCGCCTTTTGGCGTGCTTCGCTAAAAACAGGACGGCAAGACGACAGCGCTATCCACAACGCAACGCGCAATGTACCAAATCAGCCACCATACTTATCAGTTGTTTTAGTTTTTAATGCATACTTATGGATCAACTTCGAGCCACATCAGACACATTTTATGCTCCTATTGACTGATTTAGCACAATTTATACTAAGCTTGTCACAATTTTTTTCGTCGGGACAAACGTGGTTGACCTCACCCACAAAATCCACGAACTTTAATTCCCCCATGAATAAGAATGATTTCACAGTTCATTATAGATATTTATTTAGATCAATAAAAATATCACTATTTCTATAACGTTTTACACGTACGTGGTATCACTCGAGTTGTGCAAAGGAAATTTACATGCTCAATTCCTACATCTCTAGTTGAACAAGGAATCGTTGCTCGAAACCTAAAATATTAGAAAAGTACTGAATTTATTACAATTTTAGTTGGTATAAAACAAATTTAAAATAGTGCAATATTGGACCATTTTTTCTGATTTATGAACGAAAATTAGCATAGAAGCTAAGTTACATAAGCAGGCAGAAAGAAGACAGAAAACATGAAATCACTCGCTCAATGGAGTGGCGAAAAGCCGTGATAGCATGCTTTTTGAAGTACTAGTATTTATTTCATTTACATGCAGGGGCGTACGTGCTTAAGTGGTTAAGGTCGGTGACATCAAACCACTTGCCCCCCACCGCTATGAGTTCGAATCCTGACATGAACTTTGTTTCATGTGAAGAAGCTATCCAGCTAGCTTATGAAACGTCGGTGGTTTTACTCAAGTACCCAGTCGTGCCTGGAATAATGTACAGAAGGACACCTGAGGAATTCCTCCACCAGTAAAGCTGGAAAGTTGCCATATGACCTATACTGTGTTGGTGCGACTTAAATCCAACAAAAAATCATTTACAGCCCTTGTTTTCATAAATTATTATACCTTTTACTGCTACCAACTGCCCCACTTGATATGATTCTCAAGATCAATTTTCCAGGATCATTATTCAGCGTCCATTCAGGCTCCAGATAAAGATCAGGTTTCCATACTTTGTCGTGGAGAGTATTTACCAGCGTTTCATTCACTGTTCCTGGGTTTCTCGAATGTGTGTACTGTAGACGCTGATCGTCCCATGTTGACTGTATATGCACAATGACGTCAATACTCTACGTCAAGAAAATTATAATATGTTCTATCAATTTTACATATCATAATACTGCACGTTTGTAACGTCGTTTTTCATTGGATAATAGTGACGTTTATGTATGAACTGTATATGCACGGCTGCTATTTTCTTTGCTGTATTATAAATATGTTATAAAGATTTTTAACATGTTATATTGTTCTCTTTCAATCTAGAGCAAACCAGCCATCGTTCTAAGGGAACATTTCAAAACATGTACTAACTAAATAGCGTGTTTTTACCTCTCTTTATTGTTAATACATACTTCTATTAACTATCACAAATTACTTGAGGAATATGTAAAATGACACGATTCTGCTTTGTAAGACGTTTTAATTTATGCAAACGTTATAGACCCATTATGCCCCAGTGTTTAAAAAAAATCATGTACTTTTGTAGTATCTAAAAAGTTACTCATTGGCCAATTACCTAAACCAATTTTTTCATCTGTTGCTTTTTGGCAATGAGTACAGTTATAGTGAATAAGTATTTTGTTTAGAAGTCAAATAGCTACTTTGTTTACATTTGCTTCTTTTAAGATAAAACCCTTACTGAGAATTATTGAGTTTTGGTTTGTTGGGCTCAGGGCCAGATTAACAAAACTAACTCCATCATGACCCATTTCCAAGTAGTCCAGGTTTTTAATGTTTCTACAAATACATGTAATTTGATGACCTATCATTTTTTGGGATGTCTATATGAAAATTCCATGCTAGTCAGCCAACAGTATAGAGCCTGGCCAAACTGCCCAAATGTCTATGCTTGCCTTGCTCTATACTGGTGGCAAAGTTAATCATTTCCGGTTCAAGCGTCGTAAGAAGATATCGTTTTTAAACAAATTGTTAAGTCTCGCATAGGACTCGAACCCAAAAAGCTGAAGTACGTAGACTTTATATTTCTATCTTTATTCTTAATTCTCTATGCAGATATGTTAAAATAATGAGAAAGAAAAAATTTGCGTGTGCTTGAATAATAGTTTTAATTCATGTTAACAGTTTAATTTTATCTATTTTTTGACAGATAAATGACTAAAATTAGAACAAACCTGATGTTGTATTGGCTGGACATCTGTGATAACAACCCTAACATTTACATGCGTAGCACCATCTACATTGTAAAAGAACAAACAATATAATTATATTATTATCTACAAAACAATAAGTTCATTCAATAAACAAGTGTTAATATATCAATTTGACAGCATAGAATATGATAATACGTTCATGTACATTGCTTAGAGCGTGAATATAAATTATACAAAAAATGATATATATTGTAGATGTAAAGATACGTTAGGCCATTATAATAAAAGATTTGCTGTAAAGACTAAAAATATGAACAGATAAAACAGCTGTCGATTGATAAACATACCTATATATGTATGTTAATATTTCATGTCAGTCTATAGCAATTATATAATTCTAGCACTTTCACTACTAAATGGGTATAATGGAATGGATTTCCTTTGAATTTCAAACTACATTTATTTATTGTAATTTTAAAAGGTTTCACTATTAGACCTAGCCCGTTCTAGAAAGTAGTTCTTTTATGTTTTGAAGTGGCTCATTTCAAGTCATCCTTGGTAAGACTGAATACATTTTAAGTATATTTTGTATAAATGTGGAGATGAAGTTTCATTTCTGAGTACTTTAAAGGTTGTTGTTCTTGTGTATCTTTGCAGGATTTCATTTCTTGGTGGAAGGTTTCAGGAAATACTATGCGCCAGAATACACCCCAGTTGTTATTTGGTTTATTTTATTGTGCTTACACAGAAAAAGTTAAAGGGCTAATGTATTATATTTTTGTGCTATATTTAGTTGGATACTTGTAGTATTGTTGTTGAAAGTTATAGCCAGCAAATGCCTGTTCGGGATATGCTGTTAGATGTAATGGATTTACTATAGGATACATAGTACGAAAATTCAGTAGGCCGTCTCCACATTTGACTAGCCAACAGTACAGGGTTTAGTAGCGCGTCCCGGTTGTATACAGACAAGCCTGAACTATGCCGACGGTATTGACCTGAATTTATAACGCTCGGGTGTTCCAAACGAGAACGGAATTGAGGTATTAGTCAATACAATGTAGTTTGCGAGGGGAAAAAGGTAAACACGACCGTTTTTCATGTAGTCGTGCTTAGTGCATCGGATTGATAACCCGGCCAGGGGTAGCGGGCTCGAGACACTGTGTCCACTGATCTCAGACATGTACTAGCATTTTTCTTTAAAATAGAGAAAATAAGAATCCCCGAAGGAAGCCCAACACGGCAAAATTGAACATGTTGCAGGCTCGTTTTGATTGAGCCTGTTCATGGACTCTTTAAAACACTGACTAAGAAATCACTTGTGAATGAATTGGTAATTACTGATAAGATATCCAGGAAAATAGTAGAGGTGGATTGATCGCTGAGAAATGACCAAATATGTGTTAAAATTGGTTTAACAGCAAAACAAACAATCGGATATATTTTGTGTTTTTGTGCCGCTACACGTACATAATACACGGTGCTAGCCTGCCACAATAGGTTACTATTATAACCTTTCATTTGAAGTTGTTGGCACAGTTTATTGAGAGACTGTCTCACTAAATCAGATAACAATTATCACAGAGTAATATTGATTTAGAGGTCATGCAAACTTTTACAGATTATTTTTTCCAGTCCCTGATAAAGTAAATTGATTTACGTTAATGAGGCTTTTCTCTTAAGTAAATAAGATGCTATCAGAATACGGAAATATAATTTTGTTTAATCCATTAGTCTCAGGTTAAAAGAAAATATGCCTTTACAACTTTCTTTTTTTTCTACTTCACAGGCCTGTTGCTTCTTTGCTTTTTCTCACAGAAATCCAAAAACGATATAATAGTCCATAAATTTAACTGAACTTCAGTCTACTTTATTTCGTAAATAGAGGCCTCCGGCCCAAAATACCCACACATGTATAAGTACAATATGATATACATCTATTGAATAAAAGTAGCTGCACAACATAAAATTAGAATAAATTTTTGAAGTTTTCAGCGAGTAAATACAAAAATACAGATAGTTTAAAAATGTTTTTTTTTCACTTTGTGAGTTCAACAGCGAATAAAAATCATTAATTTTGTTCCATTTGAATACCAGTTATATATAGATATAACTAGTTCAAATGTCATTATACTAAGAGCATTGAAAATAGGCATGAAATTCACAATTAGTAGCAGATACATACATTGTATATAATGTACATTAGTTTGGTAAAACAAACTGAACATATTCTTTCAAAGAAGTGGTACATTTTTGTCTCCCCATTTCAACGGGAACATCGAAACCTTGCAAGAGAAACGATATATTTCCCCGGAAAATCACAGTAAAGATAACGTTCAGGGTTAAGTTGACTCTTAATTTATAATAGTTACAACTTTAGATGCCCAACAAATTTGGCCAACCTTGTTTATGGACTTTAACACTTTGTAATATAAATGATTTACTAGTAATAGTTATATAGAAATTACCCGGATCAGAGGACTGAGGTCTGCTTGCATATTCATATACTGTATCTTGTAACAAGGCTTTCTCCAGTTCCTTAAAACTTAAAGAAAATACAGAATTATGTTTATTCATTTTAAACAGGGTTTTAATGCATTAATTTCCCCCAAAATATATTTTTGAAAAAGTAGGCATATTCAAAATCATTATCTTTCACCATCATCATCATCATCAACAACACCACCATCATCATCAACAACACAATCATCATCATCATCAACATCATCAACAACGTAAACAACACCATCATCATCATCATCATCAACACCACCATCATCATCATCAACAACACAATCATCATCATCATCAACACCATCAGCATCATCATCATATTATGCCTTTCTCCATAAAACAACAAACGAGATATACTGAATATAATGAACACTATCATAATTATTTTATATGACATTTTTTAATCTTATGTTTATTTGAAGACCTTATTCAAAATAAGATTTTGCATTGTTCGATGTTTTGGTTAAGTGTCTTTATAAGCTATCTTTGTTTTTATAAGCTATCTTTGTTAAAAAAGTGTTTATCATTATTATGATGATGATGATGATGATTATGGTGGTGATGATCATCATCATTGTAAATACAGCAACAACAACATTCTTAGTGCCATCATAATCATTAAAATCTACGATCGATCAATCAATCAATCAATAAATCAACCAACCAACCAACCATTCATTCATTCATTAAGTCAGTCAGTCAGTCAGTCAGTCAGTCAGCCAATCAATCAATCAATTTAATTAATCAGAAAGTCAGTCAGTTAGTATGTCAATGAATGAATCACTTAATCAATCAATCAAATTAATCGATCGATCGATTAATTGATTGATCCATCTCCCAATAAAGCAAACAATTATAAACAATTCTTTTTCATGGGAACGATCATATTTAAAAAAAACTACAAAAAAATGAGCTTAATCTGCATTAGTGAATATAAAACTGCATTAGTGAATAGGCTATCCTTATTGTATATGCATAACAGAAACCTTCTTAAATTAAAATAATTTTTAAAAAAAACTTCAAAATTGACCATATCAAAATCAGCAGTGCTTGACTGTTGAATGTACTACACATTTTATACATGCTTAACTGGATAATCGTTAAAAATACAAATATTTACAAAACGTTTTGGAACATGACTCTTTAGACAAATATATGCTTTGATAACTAAAGAAAACATGTAGAATAAATAATCGTTAAAATGCCTTTCCAAACTATTTGAGGTGTGAATATTATAAGAAATGAATAACCAAAAGTAACATATCAGTAAAAAAAAATCGAACAGCTTACCTTGTAAATGCAGCTGTCGCCAAATTACCATAGAGTATACAAAACACAAATACGAATCTTATTATGAACATTTTACTTTATATTACAGTCCAGGCTAAAATTTCTTAAATGTTGACCGTTTCCTTTTTTCTTATTTTTAAGAAATATGAAGAAACAAGTTATATGCGTACAGCAGAATACATCATGAAATACGCACGCTGTAAGTTAAAAGCAACACGAGGTCACTGTATCGTTGCGTTGTTTTCACAAATAGTTCAATTTTAAACATTTTTTAGTTTATTGACATGTCCTACACAATTTTGAAATACAAAGAGTACTGGGTTAACAAACTAACCCTTTATTATGGTAATACGATATAAAGCTCGTCTCGGATGAAAAACAAGGTCAAAAAGATTTATTTTTAAAAAAAATAGTCCGTGAAACTCGATTTACTCTGTAACTACATGTACTTGAACGTTAAGTCTATTCTGTATGTCGATCAGATGTTCAATAATTGGTTATATTGGAAATTTTTAGAGCTTTTGTCTATTTTTCTCACATGTTTTTCTTTCCTTCGCAGAAATAAACTTTTATAGCATTTGAATAATAATTGCTGAATTTTCTTTTTACAATTATTAAACACATTTTGACCAGATTGATGTCATAATTTGCTTTTAGTACATTATATTAGATCAGTTCAATTAATTTTTCATTATTAAGTCAGAAAAAAGTCAAACTTAAAAGTGAGATTTCATTTGTTTAATGATAATTTGTGCAAGTATTTTAGCAATAATTAGTAAACGTAAATATCCAAAGTTTAACGATCGGCTTATAGAAATCGCACACAAGGTCACTGTTGCATACAATTCAAAACGTTAATTATATTACTTATGAATATGTGCATTTATATTGCATATACTTACAAACCTCTGCATTTATATTGCATGTACTTATAAACCTCTGCATTTATATTGCATGTACTTATAAACCTCTGCATTTATATTGCATGTACTTATAAACCTCTGCATTTATATTAATGTACTTGTAAACCTCTGCATTTATATTGCATGTACTTATAAACCTATGCATTTATATTAATGTACTTATAAACCTCTGCATTTATATTAATGTACTTATAAACCTCTGCATTTATATTAATGTACTTATAAACCTATGCATTTATATTAGTGTACTTATAAACCTCTGCATTTATATTAATGTACTTATAAACCTCTGCATTTATATTGCATGTACTTATACACCTCTGCATTTATATTGCATTTAATTATAAACCTCTGCATTTATATTGCATGTACTTATAAACCTCTGCATTTATAATAATGTAATTGTAAACTTCTGCATTTATATTGCATATACTTATAAACCTTTGCATTTATATTAATGTACTTGTAAACCTCTGCCTTTATATTGCATGTACTTATAAACCGTTGCATTTATATTAATGTACTTATAAACCTCTGCATTTATATTGCATGTACTTATAAACCTCTGTATTTATATAAATGTACTTATAAACCTCTGCATTTATATTAGTGTACATATAAACCTCTGCATTTATATTAATGTACTTATAAACCTCTGCATTTATATTAATGTACTTATAAGCATTTGCATTTATATTATTGTACTTATAAACCTCTGCATTTATATCAATGTACTTATAAACATGTACATATATATTACATGTACTTATAATAATCATGTTCATTTATAATATGAAACTAGGTGCTACCTATGGCGCAGAATACACTTATAAATCTTAGATTCCGTAAATAATAAGTAAATGCAGGTATTTTGTACCGTTAAATAGACACGAATGCGTTTATATCACATGTACTTATAAGCACGGAAGGGCACCCGAGGTCTTCCTCCACAAGTAAAGCTAGAACGTCGCCAAATGACCTATACTTTGTCTATGTGACGTAAAACCCAATCAAAACAAACAAACAAAAGCTTGTATATTGTTATATCTAGTATTTTTTCCTTTTTTTTCTTTTTTCATTAAAAATTATCATTATACACAGTATACCTTCTTTTTTCTTTTTCTTTTTAAAAAAGCCAAACCTTTTGCATCCAATGAATTAGATTCGAGGGACAAATAATTTCGCACTCTAAGCTGTTGTTTCTTTGTTTCGTACAACATTATGTAGAGTTCCTGAAAAGGATCTGTTTTGTTGTTTTTGTATGTATATATTTTATATATTATATATATTTTATAATAATGTAATTGTAAACTTCTGCATTTATATTGCATATACTTATAAACCTTTGCATTTATATTAATGTACTTGTAAACCTCTGCATTTATATTGCATGTACTTATAAACCGTTGCATTTATATTAATGTACTTATAAACCTCTGCATTTATATTGCATGTACTTATAAACCTCTGTATTTATATTGCATGTACTTATAAACCTCTGCATTTATATTAGTGTACATATAAACCTCTGCATTTATATTAATGTACTTATAAACCTCTGCATTTATATTAATGTACTTATAAGCATTTGCATTTATATTATTGTACTTAGAAACCTCTGCATTTATATCAATGTACTTATAAATATGTACATATATATTACATGTACTTATAATAATCATGTTCATTTATAATATGAAACTAGGTGCTACCTATGGCGCAGAATACACTTATAAATCTTGGATTCCGTAAATAATAAGTAAATGCAGGTATTTTGTACCGTTAAATAGACACGAATGCGTTTATATCACATGTACTTATAAGCATGTGCATTTATATAACATGTACTTATAATCATGTATATTTATATGGCATTTTTTATAGAAATGTACATTTAAATTAAAAGTACTGAACATGTACAAATATATTGCACCTACATAAAACATGCGTATTTATTTTACATGTACTTACAATCATGTACATTTATATTACACGTACTTATAAATATGAACAGTTATTTTTTATGTATTGTCCAAGATCAGGGTTACAATCACAGGATAGGTCGAACTCGTTAGGGAACAAAGGGAAAACAACACATGATTTGAATATACTAAATACACAAATAGATTTCATAACATAGTTTAATAAAAGATTCCCGAAAGGAACTAACTGGGAGGCAAAACCCGCCCTTACAAAGAATCAAGATGTAATAACATAAGACCTGATGTATTAACAAGAAAACAAAAGAGACTAGATCAATTTTAGAGCAAGAATAAGTAAAAAAGCATGTATCATATTTTCATGGACCCTGATCTTGGCAACATTTGAAAGAGGTGGTGGAGTTGGAGGAGGTGGTTTTATTTTTCTTTAAAAAATTGGTAACAAACCAATGAAGGTCAAAATGAACAAAGATATGGCTTATCTGTATATCCATTGGCTTAGAAAGATCACGTGTTTCAATGTAAACATCTGATTGGGTAATAGCATAATTTATGCGTCTAGCTAAATTCTGATTAACATCGTTAAGTTCCGGACGTCACAAATAGGGTCCAATGACATTAAAACTTTTATGTGGGCATAAAATATTATGTATGTACTTTTAAACATGTGCAAGTATATTGCATGTACTGATAAACATGTGTATTGATCACTTATAAAAAAAGTCCGTCATATAGTTAGTTGTAGAATGGTTATTCGCAACAACAATCAAGAAACAATGGCATTTCCTTGTTAAATTATTTTGACAGTCTATATAGTTGAGTCTGTAGATTCTTGTCAGACAGAAAGTGTTTAATGTGTTCAAGAAATGACATGGAAGATGAATATCATTTTGTGCTTGTATGTGACCCTTATAAAATTTAAGGAAAAATATGTATCAGAAATATATACAAAAAGAGCTAGTATGTTTAAAAAGCGAGAATAAATACATTCTACATAGATTCCATTTTGTTGTGAAGGCTTTCCAATTATGGGATTCTAACTCAATACTCAAAATTAAATATCATTGTACTCTCTCATGCGCAACAAACTAACACAAATTAAATACATTTATATTTAACCGTAATGATGTATATAATTCAATCCATGATCTTTGTATGCTACTTATCTATTTGTAATTATTGTATATGTATGTATTTAAAGGTTGATGATGATAAGCTTTAATGCTTAAATCTAAATTCTGTTCTGTTAATATCAACTTGCGGGAGTACTGGAATGAGCTTGTATGGCGGAACGTCGGTGGTTCTACTCAGGTGCCCGTTGGTGCCTGAAATAATGTACGGAAGGGCTACCGAGGTCTTCCTCCACAAGTAAAGCTAGAAGGTCGCCAAATGACCTATACTGTGTCTATGTGGCGTAAAACCCAATCAAAACAAACAAACAAATTAAAAGCTTGTATATTGTTATAACTAGTATTTTTTTTTCTTTTTCATTTAAAATTATTATTAAACACAATATACCTTCTTTTTTTAAAGGCCAAACTTTTTGCATCCAATGAGTTAGATTCGATGGGCAAATAATTTCGCACTCTTAGCTCTTGTTTCTTTGTTTCGTACAACATTATGTAGAGTCCCTGAAAATGATATGTTTTGTTGTTTTTGTCGCCGACGTTCTTTATAGTTTGTTTGTATGTTTGTTGTTTGTTTACATCACTGGACTGATAATATTCCATTGTTTTTTCTCCGAATTGTATACAAATTGATGGAAGTCAGGACTAGAAACTCCAGATCATGTACTAATTCCAATTTTTCAAAAATTCTCGACGGTTCTCTGTGACGCTTAAATAGTTTCAGATGACCCAACATTTTAAACAGTTTAGACGCTTTAAACTCAAATCAGACTCAAATCGTACAAAAAATGTAAATTTAATTCTGACTTTACCTCTTCATTTTTTTTTATCATTGTGAGAATTTCATTTTCATTCATTCATTCATTCATTCATTCATTCATTCATTGTTATTGTTCTTGTTGTTGTTGTTATTGTTGTTATTATTATTATTATTATTATTATTATTATTATTATTATTGTCATCATCATCATCATCATCATCATCATCAATCATCATCATCATCATCATCATCATCTTTATCATCATCATTATTATTATTATTATTCATTTGAACTTCTTCGGAGCTCCTTCAAGACAAAAGAAGGCAATTGGAATGGTTTCAAATTTTATAACAGTTGAGTGTGTAACCCAGTTTGATTTGAAAACTGGGGACGGCGCAAAAGGTCGGACGACCTGTACCGCAGACCAGCTGCCGATGTACTGACTAAAGCCGAGGGGAGTAGCCCTACAAAGTAGGCTTTGAGTCGACGAGGATGGTGTGCGGGAGCCCCTAGCACAGATAGGCGGCTTAAACGGCACACCTTTTGCTGGCACCAACAGTCCTTGTAAGGGCTACCCTTTCATATTGTCTCAGGTTTGACATAAGGTTCTGATTAACCGCCGTACGGTGATCTACTTTTGGCTCAAAATTCATATCTTTGGCTAATACTCCGTGGAAATTGCATGGAGGTAAAAAATCACCACTTAACATTTTAAGAGCATGACTGGTGACAAGTCCGGGGTCCGTACTCGACAGCGAAAGCTGCATTTTAGCCCCTACGGGTGGATGGACCCTCATTAAGCAACGACTAGACTAAGAGGAAGATCGTGCCGTTAGAAAAGATCGCACGTGATTGTAAGCAGAGTTCTAGGTCAGGGTATCGCATTGTAACACGGCCAGCGATTGGCTGAAAAAAAGTGCAGGGAAAACCGTATGATTCAGTTTATACATGAGGTGATTGGATGAAAATGGGGTATTTTTAAGTGTAAAAACTAATTTAAAAAGTAACACTACAATGTTTTCTGAAGAAAATGAAATATTTCATGAGTCTCTGTGATAAATTTGACTTGGATATTTGCATTTATAAAAAGTGTATGTCAGTCCTGTGATCAGCAGAAAATTTCAATGAAATGGGGGGTAATCCTCTTTGAAGTCATTTTGCAAAAAAATTGGTTGGCTACCCCTATATAACAGGAACATTTTTATGTGTCAGGCATTTCATTCTGCTAGAAAAATTAGCTCTTTAGCATGAAAACTCAATTTTAAGGTAGGATAAGAGACCATTTCTTATAATGTAAGTCTATGGAAATATCAATGTGAGTGTCTGACCTCTAAGGTGGGTGTGTTATGTCTATGACATACTCGATTTTATTGTTCAGCTCCAAAGTTTCTGAAAGAATGTTATTGAAAGTATGCTAACTTTTCTGCCAAAACGGTCACCAGTTTTTATTTTGCTCGAGTAATCAAAGCCATTTAACCACAACTTTGTGTATAGGTATATAAAACACACATATACATAAGGAAACTTGTCTGTTATTTGCACAAATATGTTTTAATACTTTCAAATAGAAAACTATGCACAACTTTTTAATACAAAACACAAAATGTTCAGTGCAGAAACTCATGAAAATGTATGTATATAAGATAAATATCTCCATTGTCTTTCTTGTCTTTCAACAGAATAACATAACGCTAAATGTACACACACAACTTCTGAATCATATCAAAATATATACATGAATATGATAAATATACAAAATATAGACAAGAAATTGATAGAAGAATTTCTTATTTTTTGCCTGCCGGAAATCTTTTGATATCAGGAAAACATTGGCACCTTCCATTGTCAAGGAGTTTTGGAATCCAATTTCCGAAACACCTTTTCGAAGCGCACGGATTACTCCTGCAAAATATATCATTTACATATATAAAATAAACCTATCTCAAATCTATAACAAGAATTGTCTAAGCCAAGCATTTCTGTAACTTTTTCCGATGACGCGTATCTATTTCGGAAACAAACAAACAAGAGTGTAGTTTTCCCCTTTAAGTTGGGTTGAATGAATTGAAGTTAGATGAAAAAGGCATGTTTTTTTGGGTTTTTTTATTTAAACGCGTACGTTGTTAGTGTATTCACCAGAAATATTACAATATGGTCTTTTAGTATAGGCTCATATATTATTCCGGATTTAAATTATATGCCTTTAAATTTCATCACTAGGATAACCAACCATCTTAGTAGTCATGTTCTAGTGTAAAAAAGCAAATAAACATAAAATAAATATTGTTAATTTCTTTTTATACTAGCAACAGCTAGTGCATTAGAACTTCCTTTATTACGAATAAATTACTAACAATGTTAAGATGAAGACGTCTGGTTCTTGTTAGGCTAAATTTAGTAACAGTAGTTAACTAATCTGTGACATTAAGTTGGGATACGGAAAGATTTATAAGCCAATAATGACCGAAATGACGAAATAATTAAGCAGTCAAACGGAAAGAACAAATAATGAATAAACGAACGCGTTTCATTTTTACTCATGAACAACCGTAATAAGGTTTCTTTTAATGTTCCATTTCGTGTGACAAAATATAGTAACGCATTTTGTGCGTCTGTTCTACAAATTGAATATTTTTGGAACGAGAAATAAAACAAAAAAAAACATACTTGGGAGTCGGTTTTGGTGTTGGTTTTGGTGTTGGCTTTGGTGTTGGTTTTGGTGTTGGTTTTGGTGTTGTTGTTGTTGTTGTTGTTGTCTTCGTCGTTGTCGTTGAAGGCGATCGTGTTGTCTTATTCTCGTCACTATCATCATGTTCTTCCTTACCTGCAGCTAAAAGATGACCAGTTTCATTAAGCTTTAAACTTCAACAACAATATCAGGGTTAACATTTCCAAACATCCGCTATAAGTTAGTGCATATGTATTATTTCTTAATAAGTAACAACGAATTCGTGTTCGTAAAGCTTATATATTCACAGACACTCGGGGGTCACACCGTAACACTCGAGGATGCCACTCGGGGCTTAGACGTGACACTCGAGGATGACACTCGGGGCTTAGACGTGACACCCGAGGATGACACTGGAGGTTAGACCGTGATACTCGGGGATGACACTAGGGGGTCAGACCATGATACTTGGGGATACCACTCGGGGTTTAACCGTGACACTAGAGGATGACACTCGAGGGTTAGACTGTGACACTCGGGGATGACACTCGGTGGTCAGACCGTAATACTCGAGGATGACACTAGGAATATGACCGTGACACTCGGGGTTGACACTCGGGGGGTCAGACTCTGACACATCCTCGCTCAGCCATTGTTAATTCTCGATAACCTTGAACATTTAAACACGAGCGGCATCCCCTACTCATTCATAAACTTGGCTTGGTTTAATTTCCACGTGCTTTGTAAAAAGCACATTTACCATCAGGTCTCAGACTCAAATACGTAACAGACTTTGTACTCAACATGAATAAGGTGATAAGTTTCATTATATTTTAAAGGCTAACCAGGAACGAGTCACGTTCTGCCAAAATAAATCTAAAAATTTAAATGACGTTGATTCTACAGCACTCTGAAAATATATTAATTAAATTTTACCATCTGCATCATCGTCTTTTTCTTGTGTAACAGGTTTTTCTTTTTCTTCTGTAATAGGTTTTTCTTCTGTAATAGGTTTTTCTCCTGTAATAGGTTTTTCCTCTGTAATAGGTTTTTCTTCTGTAATAGGTTTTTCTTGTGTAATAGGTATACCATTTACATTGGTATCAATGCCCTCGTAGATCTGATTATTTGGCGTGTTCAAGAGAATATCTGGGTGGAGTTCAAACAGTTTGTCGAGGTCAATCTCTCCAGAGACGCCCATTTTCAATGTAATTCTGAAAATTGATTGGGTATTAAATAAACATTCATTTTGTACTAAACATGATTTATGTGCATTTTTTTTAAAATTTCTACAGATTCTTGTTATTCGTTGTTTTCTCATACCGTGTGATTTTGCGACCCGTTAAAAGGTAATGACGGCCGTGCATATATTTTGACGTGACAGTCATTTGCATTAAACAAATAGTTATGGAAGAACTGTTACACAAAGGATAGAGTTCTTACGATATCTTGTCACGAGTTCTTGTGATAACTGTCACGGAGTTCGTCGGAAAACTTTTAAGCACACTGGGCAGTAACAAAAGTTATCACACTCTAACTCTAGGACATCTTCAGAGTTATCACTCCAGAACTCCAGGACATTTGAAAAATTGGGCATAAATTTGTTAGCCGGGGCTTTGCATTATAATTAAGTAATTCTGTATGGCAAGGATGAAGATAAAAAATGAACGGGTCAATATGTGCGAATTTGCAAATAATTTGGAAATTTTACTCAAAACTACCATATTTTAAATAAGAGGCGATGAAAATTGGACTATAAATTAGCATTTGACACATACTGGCAAGCTTAATCATTTAAGTTTAATTTAGCACCTAAAACTCACTTTTTAAAGATGAAAATGATCATTTTTTACGAGTGTTTCTGTAGAATATACAAAAGTTTTCCGACGAACTCAGTGACAGTTATCACAAAAACTCCTGATAAGTTTTTGGTATGTGCTAGATATAGATAATAGTAGAATATTATATTCGTGTAGGTTCATTACTGTATTTTATCATTTATTGTCCAACAATTGTCCTGACACCGTAAAATACATTAAACATGTGGTACTTACTTGCAAGTAACAGAATTAAAATAGGACGGGTCCGGGCATTTTAGTGTATTTCTATTTGGACAGATACAGTCGCATTCATTCTCGTCCCATATTTGATCAGCTGAACAAGTCTTCATCAACTTAAGTCTCTCAGAGCGGCAAAGACACCGGCATCGTCTCGAGTCATACCTGTTCAAAGAAAAAAAAGTCTCAATTTACAAAAGGAGGTTAGTTTTATACGATTCCACCAAATGATTGATTTGAATTACTAATTTGGATAAGGAGTGGTCTTCTAAAAGCAATGGAAAAAATGGAAGGTAAATATTGCAGACTCGATTTGATTGAGTCTGTTTACGATCATGACATAACGACATATCTACCTCCCTTACACCGTCTTAAACACATATCAGTACAAAGTATTGAAAGGTAAGAAATACAATGACGCTTAGACAAAAACCAAGGAAACTGAAAAATACATCTGTACATCGCACAAACATGACCATTGTTGGTCACTTCGAGTCTTTTTCTTTGAAAAAAAAACTACAAGTGTCATATTCATAGAAGACCCGACATATGAGCCGCGTCACGACAAAACCAACATAGTGCATTTGCGACCAGCATGGATCCAGACCAGTCTGCGCATCCGCGCAGTCTGATCAGGATTCATGCTGTTCGCTATCAGCTTCTCTACTTGTTATAGCGTTTGTAGGCGACCAGCATGGATCCATGCTGGTCGCAAACCCATTATGTTGGTTTTGTCGTGACACGGCTCATATTCAGTTGAGTGGTTAGAAAATTAACTACTTGGCCACATTTTCAGGCAGAGAGCACCAAAATTTGTTACTAGTATTTGCTCGTAAATAAGCCTCCGAAATGAATAAAAAAATCTTTCTGTACAACATATTGCGCTTATTATAATTATTACCTATAATAATATGTTTACCATACTTCTTACTTATGATAATAATGTTTACCATACTAAGAGTTGCTAATATGGGTGATTAAATTCAAGATACTTGACTTCTATTCTATATCTTAAAAATTTTGAAACCAAAATATTTTAAGTTGATTTTGCCTTTTATATATCTTAAGTTTTGCTTCTAATTTATGTGATAAAATAAAGGTTAATATGTTTTCTTAGAAAATGCGTCACGTGATTCACATGAAACACTTACTTCTGAAATCTATGACACTCGTGCTCCTTCGTTTTACACTGTGCGTCACAATGCATGTGTTCAATGATTTTTACAATTCGTACACCCAGAAATTTAAACCTGTGTGCCCCAGGATACGGTAACCGTGTGTCGAAAACCTGTAATATATAAATTATGTACCAATCAAATAAAGAGGGTTTTTTCTCAAAAATATATATATAAAAAACCATTAAGAATTAATCTTAAAATGAGCGTAAGATATGACAGGAAATAAAAAAAATGTTAATCAAGTTTTAAAAAATTGTATCCAAACCGCATGTGGGCTTACCTTTTCACAATGTTGATAAATTGCATTCATTATAAGATATTTTTAGATTTAATATGCATTAAAGGATTTCAAAGGAACACATATGGTTCCTTACAACATAAAACTCACACAAATAAGTAAATACTGAATGTGGATAGCGTCTGCTTTTGGTAGTATTAGAAGCGAAATAACGTGTTATACAATGTTTAAATTATGTTCATTTTTTTAACGGATATGGAGCTAACGTTAGTAATATTATACTGCCCTCACACATACCTCGCGACCTTACTGCGTCCTTACTGCGACCTTGCTACGACCCAGGACGCAGCACAGTCGCCATGGACGCAGCAGGGACGCAGCGAGGTCGTAGCGAGGAACCCAAGGACGCACAAGGTCGCAGACCGTCGGCGACTATTTTGAACATGCACAAAACAGTCGCAGAAACTCTGCGTTCTTGCTGAGTCCTGGTTAGGTCGCCGTGGGATCGCAGTGGAGTCGCCATAGTCGCAGCAGCATCGTAGTAAGGACGCAATAAGAACGCAAAATAGACGTAGTACACTCGTACTAAGGAAGCCGTAGGTAACTGGTAAAAAGTATTGTTTTTATAGACGTAGCAAGAACGTAGTAGGGTCGTCGGTACAGTCGCAGGACAGTCGCCGGACAAACGCAATAGTCGTCGTAGAGTCGCCGTAAGGACGCAGAGAACATAGCACAAGTCGCAGCTGGGTCGCGATGATCGCCGTGGGGTCGCCTTGGGGACGCAATAACATTCGCAGTGGAAACGCATGGACGTAGAAGGTCGTATTGAGGACATAGAGAAAACGTACTGAACACAAGACTGCAGAGCCCCGGGCCGTCTGCGAGAGAAATTTGAAAGAAAACCAACGATTTTCGAAAGAAAAATGCTATTTTACTAGTTTTCAGGTCGCAGTAAGGTCGTGGTTTATGTGTGAGGGCACCTTTAAGGAGGTAGTTAGCAAATTTGTATAGAGCCGCGTGAGCTTGCACGTCAGTGAAGTCTGACAAACCTTCATACATGTACCCTAATTATTCAATTTTATTTTAATGGTAATGCAATCCCTGTAAATGCAGCTCAAACTTGAAAGTTCCGAATTCAAAGCAAAGCAAGTATTGCAAGCACAATTTCAACCTTGTAACATATACTTGTACGCTTTGAGTCCAAGTTTGTTCACATATTCAAACAACAGTTACCTTGTGATGTGAACGATTTTGGGAAACCGAATTTTTAATGTGGAGGATCAGAAATAATACGGAAACAACGTATAGTCCCGAAGGAAAAACTACAAAAATACAACAATACGTAGAAATGTATATTATTAGAACGGTTGAAATATGCACTTTAAACTTCAGTTTATTAAACAAGCTATGTACCTTCACAAATCTTTCCGATATAGCCGTTGGTTCACACGAGAACACGTCACTCGTGCAACATCCCCCGCATCTTAAAGCACGTGTACACGGAGGCCAAACTGTGATGTCAGGATCTGGATGTTTTGGTAAGGCTATAGTTTGTTCCCGGGGATTACAGGCATCGAATAATGCGACTTGAGGTGATTCTACAATTTTAGAAGAAAAAATATCAGTCTCATAAAGTTATTATTGTTGACAAAGAGTATATAGTTTATAGTTTAATATCCGCTCGTACAAACGTTTTATATAATTTAAAGAAAAACATTGTAAAGCATGGACCAGTTGGCTGTAAGTTTTTTTTTATGTCATACATTTTATCTCATGATTATAAAACAACAATAGCAACAAATGTTGAAGTCAAAAATCACCCGTTACATAGCATTTAAGCTTTAAAAGACATGTCTATCTTCGCCACGGAGAAAATCCTAGGAACAAAGAAAGACAACTCAGTACGTACTTACCGTATCCCGATACTAACTCCTTCTCTTCGTCAGTCGGTACAGCGTCTTCAATAACTGAAACAAAAATAGTCATAAATTATAGCCAAATGATAAAATGAAAAGAGCTTCGTACCATGATATGTGAAGAACTTTGCATTATTCATATTACAAAATATCTTTCCGTTTTTTTGTTTTTATTTGATTTTCTCTCAGTTGTACTGTCTAATTTCTAACAAAATCGGCATTAATTTTGTACAATACATGTACCTTAAAAGTATACTTTCTTAATGCTCCTTAGTTTTTTTTCTAAAAGCCAATTTCTTTGAACCACAGGGGATTGTATAAATCTAGTTTTTAATTACTATGATAAATAACATATCGATCTAACATACCATAATTGTACGAAAAATGTAATTACAACAAGGATGGCATTAAAAATAATGATGTCGATTAATACGTTGTTGACGTCGAACAAGATTATTCAGATGATAAGAACCACAACGAAAATGATAATGATGATGATGATAATGATAATAATGATTATGACAATGATGATTATCATGGCAATGATGATGATGATGACGATGATGGTGGTGATGATGACAATGATGATTAAAAAGATGATGATGATGTTGATAATGAGGATGATGATGATTATAATTATAATAATGATAATAATGATTATGGCAATGATGATTATCATGGCAATGATGATGATGATGATGATGATGACGATGAAAATGATGATGATGATGATGATGATAATGATGATGATGATGATGATGATGATGATAACGGCTACGAGGATTTGTAATATGATATTTACCTTGTTCACAGTCCGGCATGCCCATGAGTTCGCACCATTGCGAGATATTCTTCACCTCGGACATCAATTCAATCATGACATCATCTGGCTGTATAAATGATACAAAATACTGGTATAGAAATGTTCCCTTTATTCCAGGAGGGCTTTGTATTCACATACATTTATAATAGGAAAAGCAGTTTTCATTTATGTTAATAACAACAAATATATAAAGTATGAACCGAAAATTATGTAGTCACATGTCGGTTTTATATATAAACGATTGAAATTTTGTAAACATGTAAATAAATTTATATGCATATACATACATGTATATGTACCTTTTTACGTGTCTATGAAAGTTTTTATATACTCGTACATATACATGTACGTTGTTAAAGAGATATATACTTTACATGTATTTGTATTCTTCAACTCAAGTATTTCTAAATAAATGAACATGTTGGAGTATTATGGAAAAGAACATGTTTATAAGTTTTTGATTATCGCTATATATAATTTGATATAGTCTTGCAAATTTAAAAAATGGTGCGTCCTTTTTTCTAAATAAAGCGAAAATTTGAGTTATTTTTTATTTATTTTTTGTTCAGCATGGATATTATGATATCAAATCAATCAATTTTATCGTGTCAATGTACGGAAAATATATCGTTTTATTTGACTATATTTAATACTATTTCTTTGTTTTTATTCTTATTATTTAATTGAGAAAAAAAATCGTACAAGCGGATGTCCCACACATGTCTGTTTTCTGGATCACTTATCATGTAATTTCTGTTTAGAAATTATGATTGATGGGGAAGTCAGCAGAGAATTAGTCTCATGTAATTTTTTTATACTACTTATTAAATTTGTCCCAATCACCACAGTTTCCTGCATCTAATCCATTTCAATTTGTTAAATTTGCAAGTCGTGACGAAAACAAAATAAGTGTCTGGCTTGTTATTGTTCAATTTTGGTTTGTTTTCAAAGTTTAAATCGGGCTTCTATAGAAAAAAATAGTATTATCTGCATCATTATTACTATTTCATCATCATTATATCATTATTATTATTATTATTATTATTATTATTTAGTGATAATTCTATAATTCCTTAGGCACAATTTAGGCCGAAACCATTTATGTATTTAATGAATATTTTTGTGCTTTTTTTAACCCACCTTGCGAAACATATCTTAATTTAACGCCTTTTTACATTAAATGGACCCCACTGAGGGTTTTTGACAAGCATGAACTGGAAATATTTTTCCTAGGGTGTACGCAAACTACTTGTCTACTCATTGTACGTCGCAGAGAAGATACAGGGCATCGGCAGACATTTTAAGAACTTGAAACGGTGAAAAAGAAAACCGAAACTTGAATCCTGCGGACCAACTGCCGATGTCCCGACTAATGCCGAGGGGAGTGGTCCTACAAAGTAGGCAGGAACGACGAGGAAAATGCGCTAGGGTGCATGAGCCCCTAGTACAGAGTGACGGCTTAAAAGACATGCCCTTTGCTGGCATAACAGCCATTTTCATACTTCTTAACTTTTTAAGTTCGTTCTGATCCCCTTTCAAAATTCCATTTTATTTAGTTCTGCTAATTGTTTTCCCGTTAAGGGCAGAAACAATTTTTTTACTTGGGGACCATACGCCACTTTTCATGGAATGTCACGGACGCGTCACATTGAAGGTTCCATGATCACCCCAGACGTATGAACTCATTCATCTTCGGATGTTCATAAATTCATAATTTCACAATTACAAATGTTGAATACTGCTTCAGCCGAATCTAAGGGGCGTGGACGGTAGCTTGTATTTTCCAGTGCCGTTCAAGAACATACTCAATCAAACCGAACCTGCAACATTTTCATTTTTTCTCGTTTTTGAGCGTTCTTTAGCTATCCTTTTTTTTCATTATTCCTTTCGATATACATACATTTATAAATGATGATGCTACATGCTAAATATCTGAGTTTTGGACAGAAGAAGATTGGTTTTTAATGCTATGTTACTACTCAAAATGTAGTGACCCATGAAATGCCTAAAGAATAATTTATATATGCCTATAGAGGTCCACAAGGCATTGTTACATGTATTTACCAAATTTCTAACCTCTAGGTGCTCTAGCTTCAGTCAAGAAGAATGTGTTTACCCCCTTTAAGTCTATAAGTTATTCATTTGGTTTTCCCAGGATAAGGGAAAGGAAGATTTTGTTACGTGTACTCCAATCTGTAAATACGATCAAGATTGAATCGGATTTTGTTTCATTTAAATATCTAATTATTTGAAAGTTGATTAAAAAAGAGTTTTAAAGTCGTCGGTATTACGTATTGACAGAGGCACTATATCAATAAGTTATATTAGAAAGATATAAAGCATTTTAATAATGAGCATTTCAGATTATAATCTTCCAATTTTCACAATTTTGACGTCTGTTTGCCAATACGACACAAATAATTTTTATGGATTTTTTCCAGAGAAATACAATGGTATCTCATATTAAAAAGGAAGCGATTCAAAAATATTATTTCAAAATGTGTAGTTTATACAAGGATACAAGGATTTCATGGTCAACCAAATCAAATACCTTTATCAGATCAATGAATACGGCTCCCACAAATTTTTCAAAGTCGACACCATTTAAACCAGGCATCGGTTTGTCCAGTATGATGTTGTATAAAAGGAGTTACTGTATTAATTTTTATGTATACTGTCGGTAACATCAAAATAAAATTACTTTGCGATTGGGAAGCAATGTGTCGTTCATTTATTTTAGAAATCGTAGGTAAAATGGGAAAGTGTGATAACTTTCCGCATCTTTCTTAGCCCCAGATTTAAAAAATATGCAAACATGAGCTTCTTTCAGGTTATCAGCAAATGCTGTTGTTTATAAATAGTGTTTTTATATCACTATAATATTTAAATGTTTTTTATTCTTGAGGCATGCTGCTTTAAAATTATTTCTGAACAGAATTTATTCTATAATCGAGCAATCTGCAACATCCAGCTGTGTATAATACAAATATATCCACCCTTGAAATGAGTTGGGAGGCATCTTAATGAAACTGACTAGGTCCCATTAAATAAATGGATCTATATAGATTCAATGGCATGTAAAGTTCAATTTCTAGGCCGTATATATAATCTTAACGATTATCAATGTATCTTGATCCTTAATTAAGGGGAATATCATTCTAAATTGTGTTGCGCAATTTTTGCTTTGATCATACTCCTACGATCTTTTTTGAAATATATATATTCATTGTCATTTCATGATAATTATTCGTTATCATTTAACTGATATCTGCTGGTGATAACCTTTGGTGGTGAAATATATCTGGTGGTTTAGGAGGAAATGTTGTTGATAACCACGGACGACGGAAAGACCACAAAAAGCTCATCTCTGTGTACTTTGTTCTCAAGTTAACAAATACCGGAAATCATTCATCAAGAGGCCAAAGACTGCTTATGATAATGTTTATGATTCCGATAAAAAAATAAGGCACGTGACATAGACTTAAACTTTGTGATCATCATTGCTTTTTAGTATGTTTTTCCGTCTTCTTTTCTCCCTTTAAAACCCATAAATTACAGTATGATAAATCTTATCAGCCAGAATATTGTCAATCAAACAAGCATTCCGTATTTACAAAGAATGATCACAATAGGTAGGCAATTTCAATCAGAGACATCAGATTTTCCTCAAGATCTTTTTACATTTTTTCATTTATTTTGATTGATAACATTTCAGGTGTTGATTTTCCAAAATGTCTGAGGCTTGATTACATACTAGTAAATATTTCTCTTTTTTATAATAATCCTCTTTTATCTTGTACTTCAAATCATTGCTATCTTTTTCTGCAACAGTTGTTTTTCCAAGGAAATGATTAATTAACCATCCTTTTTGAAAATGTATTGTAGCTCTAGTCTACAATATGCGCTACAGTGGCACCAAATAATACCTCTTAATAATACTTCAGTTCTTAATATTATAACTTTGATAATACATTAATCATGGTGAGATCAGTTGAATGCCAAGTTCTTATCCTTTTCATGTGTTTAAAAGTTGAGATCTACAAAGTCGGTGCTGGGGTGGGCATTGGCGGTAGCTTTCATATACAACAAACGTGTATCAAACCGAGTTTGCTGAACGATTTCAACAATGCCATATTTAGCTATAGTCTACAGTTGTTTTTGTCAGATTTCCATTCTATCTAGCGCTTTTTCATAATTCTTTAAGAATACAAAACAGATTAAGAACATATGGCATGACGTCATATTCCCCGAGGGGTTGGTTGGCTTTATGGGTTGAGGCCTCAGAAGGGCAAAAACAGTTTCACCCTGTGCAATCGTAAGAGGCGACTTAATTCGAATTAGCTCCAGCAGGTGAGGTAGTTTTGCTTGAAGATTGGTTAGCAAAAATCATATTTCGCTTTTCGGCGTCATATGACCTAAACTGTAAAGCCAATTAAAAAAGGAAGAAAAATCATATCAACCAACTTAATTGTGTACGATTTAATTACGCCATGACTCCCCATCGCAAAATCATCAAGGTTTATGGTTATTATTTGAGTCTTCGTACAATAATATTGCTTATTGTTATGATATAATGCTAGTTGTAGAAAGCTGTACTTTGTTGTAAAGTTTAAAATTTCGAAATTATTTTCATATTTTTAATTTCATTTTTTTACTTGGCTTTTCATGGAATATCAAGGACGTGCCACATTGAAGGTTCCATGATCACCCCACAGACGTATGAACTCATCTTCGGATGTTCCTAAATTCATAATTTCACCATTACAAATGTTGAATGCTGCTTCAGTCGGGGCTAAGGGGCGTAGACAGTAGCTTGTACTTTCAAGTGCCGTTCAAGAACAGGCTCAATCAAACCGAGCCTGCAACATTTTAGTTCTGTTCTCCGTTTTTAGGCGTTCTTTATGGATTCTGTTTTTCATTTTTCTTTAAAATGATACCTTTTCGAAATACATAATTAATAAATGGTGATGCTACATGCTAAATATCTGAGCTCTGGACAGAAGAAGATTGATTTTAATGCTAGTTCACTATTCAAAATGTAGTGACCCATGAAATGCCTAAAGGATTATTGATATATGCCTATAGAGATCCACAAGGCATTGTTAAATGTATTTACCAAATATCTAACCTCTAGGACTAAGGTGTTCCAGCTTCAATCAAGAAGAATGTGAGTTCCCCCAAGTCTAAGCTATTCATTTAGTTTTCCTATGATAAAGGAGGATTTGTTTTGTGTACTCCAATATGATCAAAATTCAATTCAATTCAATTGAATTTATTTTACATTTAAATATCTAATTGTTTGAAATTTGATTGAAAAAGTGTTTTTTTTAGTCCGCATATAAAGTTATATTTACGTATTGACAGGAAGACGCTATATTGATAAAATATATTAGAAATAATATAGGTTCTGATATGGAGCCTTGAGGCACTCCTGAGTCCTGATTCTTTTTAACAATGAGCATTTCAGATTATAATCTTCCAATTTTTATACTTTTGCCAATAGGACACAAATAATTTGATAGATTTTTTTCTCAGAAAAATACATTGGTATCACATATAAAAAAGGAAGCGATTAAAAAAAATATTTCAAAATTTGTAGTTTATAGTATACAAAAGGATTCCGTGGTGCCTTTATAAGATCAATGAATACGGCTCCCACAAATTTTCCAAAGTCGACACCATTTAACCAGGTATGATGCTGTCTGTGTTCTGTGTATACTGTCGGTACCTCCAAAATAACTTTGCAATTGGGAAGCAATGTGTCGTTCATTTATCATAGAAATTTTAGGTAAAATGGGAAAGTGCGATAACTTTCCACATCTTTCTTAGCCACAGATTTAAAAAATATGCAAACACGAGCTTCTTTCAGGTTATCGAGAAAATACCTCAGCAAATGCTGTTGTTTATAAATCACTATAATATTTTAATATTTTTAATCTGGAGGCATGCTGCTTTAAAATTATCTCTGAACAAAAAGTATTCTATAATCGAGCAATCTTCAACATCCAGCTGTGCATAATACAAATTATCCATCCTTGACATGAGTTGGGAGGTATCTTAATGAAATTGACTAGGAAAGGAAACCATTCCCATTAGATAAATGGATCAATATAGATTCAATGGCATCTAGTTCTATTTCTACGCCGCATATATAATCTTCATAATTATCAACGTATCTTTATCCTTGACGGGAATATCATCCTGAATTGTGTTGCGCAATTTTGTTTTGAACATACTCCTACGATCTATTTTAAAAGATATTTTCATTGTCATTTCATGATAACTATCCGTTATCATTTAACTGATGTCTGTTTGTGATAACCATATATCAGTAGTTTAGGAGGAAATGTTGATAATAATGGACGACGGAACGACCACAAAAGCTCACCTCTGAGTACTTTGTTCACACATGAAGTACCGGAAGTCATACTTCAAGAGGCCTCAGACCGCCAATGATAATGTTTATGATATCGATAAAAAAATAAGGCACGAGACATAGACTTAAGCTTTGTGATCATTATTGCGTTTTAGTACGTTTCCGTCTTTTTCTTCTCCCCTTAAAACCCATAAATTACAGTATGATTAATCTTATCAGCCAAAACATTGTCAATCAAACAAGCATTCCGTATTTACAAGGAATGAACACAATATTGAGATCAAATAGGTAGGCAATATCAATCTATCAATCAGAGACATCAGAATTTCTTCAAGATCTTTTTTACATATTTTCCTTTATTTTGATTGATAACATTTCAGGTGTTGATTTTTCAAAATGTCTGAGGATAGATTAAATAAATATTTCTCTTTTTTTTATAACAATCCTCTTTTATCTTGTACTTTAAATCAATCCTATCTTTTTCTGTAACAGTTGTTTTCCAAGTAAATGATTTATCAACCATCCTTTTTGAAAATGTATTGTATCTCTAGTCTACAATATACGCTACGGTGGCACCAAATAATACCTCTTAATAATATTACAGTTCTTAATATTATATCTTTGGTAATACATTAATCATGGTGAACAAAAAATATCGATCAGTTGAATGCCAAGTTCTTATTATTTTCATGTGTGTAAAAGTTGAGATCTACAAATTCGGTGCTGGGCTGGGCATTGGCGGTAGCATTCATTTACAACAACCGTGTATCAAACCAAGTTTTTGCTGAACGATTTCAACAATTCTATGTTGGACTTTCTGTCAGATTTTCATTCTATCTAGCTCTATTTCATAATTCTTTAAGAATACAAAACAGATTAAGAACATATGGCATGACGTCATATTCCCCTACCCCTTGTCGCTGAGGGGTTGGTTGGCTTTATGGGTTGAGGCATCAGAATTGCAGCAACAGTTTAACCCTGCGTAATCGTAAGAGGCGACTAAATTCAGATTAGCTCCAGCAGGTGAGGTAGTTTTGCTTTAATTTTGTAACACCCAAGGTTAGTAAAACTCATATTTCGCTTTTCGGCGTCATATGACTTAAACCGTAAAACCAAACAAAAACGAAAAGAAAATCATATCACCCAACGTTATATTACGCCATGACTCTACATCGCAAAATCATCAAGGTTTATGGTTATTATTTTACGTCTTCGCACAATATTATTGCTTATTGTCATGATATAATGCTAAATGTAGAAAGCTGTTTTTTATTGTAAAGTTAAGGATTTCGATATTATTTTTTATATCTTTTAACTGTACAATCATAGTTGCAAGACTTGAGACAATACCAGTTTGTTCTTGCATTATGGAGTTGTGATATTTGCATCTGATGAAAGTTTTTTGGCTCACATAATTTAGATTCTCATAGGATAGCCTTACAAAGGAATGTGTTCACCTTCTTCATAGTCTCATATTGGAGTTTTAGTTTTTCTTCTTTGACAATCTTTTTCTTGATTTCCAGGTTTTTTGTCGATTTCGTGCTTTTGACGACGTAGAGCTGATTGTATTCAATATCTCAAGCTTAGCGATCGTAGGCATAGTTGACCATAGTTAAGGCACTGCTATGTGACTTGTATAAAACCTACGTCGTCACTTTGAAGGGATGTAAGTATTTGTCAAATTCAGTAAAAACCCTCAATTAAGACCACCATCGGGACTAGACCAAAGTGGTCTTAATTGCGGGGTGGTCTTAATTGTGAGTATTCTTATTGCTACACACTTTAAATTTATGACCATGGTCTATTTTAGTCATTTTTTACAAATAAACAATATGTATCTTAACCTGCAAATATTAAAGTATGTTATAATGTTACATCTGATGGGAAGAAAATATATTTCTGAAGAAATTTGATATCAAATTCTATTTGATATGATTTCAATATTAATTATTATATGATGTACATAATACACCCAACAAATAAGAAATAAATTCATAGCAAAATCAATGCACTTAAAGCAACATTAAACCACTCTAAACTTTACTTTCTCACCTTATTTCTTACAATATCCCAATAATATATGTGTTTTTGACACCTTGTGAAATGAAGTGTCATGCCTTAGAGCATTTAAGCAGAAAATAACAACATAACCTAGGTAGGTGTTAACTTTAAATCAGTGGTCTCAATAGTGGGGTCAAATGAAGAACAAAATAAAGGATTGGGACTGAATCTGGTGCTCTTAATTCTGGATAACGTAACCATTGACATAAAGAACAGAAAATTCCGTTCTTATAAAAAATGGTCTTAATAGTGGGGTGGTCTTAATTCCGGGGTGATCTTAAGGAGGGATTCTACTGTATCTAGATTTTTAGTTGAACCATGCTTTTGTTGATTGTTTGCATGTGAAAATATTTTCTTTATAGAAAATGATACAGAATTATTTCACGTTGTATGTATTTACATTGTATTTATTAAATCGTAACAATTTATGCCTTAACATTTACCTTAATTGATACAATAAAAAATATGTTCTGTTATAAGTGTACGCAACATTTGGCTCCCAACATAATGAATAAAACTAGCTTAAACTTGTTTAATATCTTTAGCAATATGTAGCTCTTCGTCAATAAAAAATTAAATTCATTTATGTGTGAATCTGACTTTCTTAGTAACTGTTATTTTAGATATCGTTCAAGTACAATATATGTAATATATTGTAATAAAATTATAACGCCAAAACAATTATAAGGAGATCTTTCAATTGTAGTATATATATATTTTTTTTATATATCATTATAAAATTACTAACCCAAAATAACTACCCCAAAATAATTATTAGAAACAACAGACAGTTAAAGAAAGGTGATTTTATAGACGAATCATCTTATCATGCTATATTAAACTAACAATATCAAAATTAACATTAACAATTATAAATTTTGGTACAATAAAGCTCACAACATTTCAAAACTAATACAAAAACCAACCTCGATATACGTCCAAGATGTCTGCGTCAGAAAAACTATTGTAATTCCTAGGCACAATAACAGTTCTTTTTTCATTATTTAAATTATTTAAATGTACCCGAAAATATCACACACAAAGTGCACTAACTGTTTTATTATGTGACAAGTGTTTCTCCTTTGAGCTTCATACAAAAATATGTTTATAATGTATTGTTCAACTCTATTTGAGTATCACTGCGGCAAACTATGTCCGGAACGCTTTGGCGTTCTTCCTACCTAGTTGAGGAGAAAAACAGGGGTGTTTTATACTGTTGTTGGCTTGGCTAATGAATATTGCGCGCATTCTAATCGTGTTTTTTACTATTGTTTCTGCCAAAGTATCTAGAGATGATGATGGATGGATAAGCTTGTTACAAACGATCTGGCAAAGGTCAGACTACTAACATTTTATCATTACATGGTGGGATATTGCATATGTTGGTTCCAAATCATTTTAAGTTAAATATTTAAAAAAATCTTTTTTTTTTCTTTTTTGTTACTTTCAGTCGAGGTATAACGTTTTGTTCGAAGTTATTATAAGTAATTTCGTTAAAATTTAAAAACCGATGAAGAAATATTATTTTAAAATTGCACGTGTTTGTAATTTTCACTATTTATAAGAAATATAATTTAGATACAATACCATAGAACAGTTGAAATAATAATTTCCATCAGTTCTAAGTATATGTTATAGTTTATTACTAAGTATTTACAAAATCAAATTGGTCAGGCGCGGCGCAGTGTTTTGAATTAATTTTATGAACAGTCGGTTTGCCGATTTGCCAAAGAAAAAAGTGTTTCGATTCAGTTGAATCACTGTAATCCTATGAACAAAAAATGATTTCAAACACTAAAGTGGTAATAAGTAACGTAGTATCGTTAAAATTACCAAGTTAGCTTATATTTTTTAAGAATCCATCGGAAGAATTTAAAAATAATTGAATTATAATACAAATTGATTGCTCGGATTATAAGGGGTACTTACTAAACTTGTGAACATTTACAACTGGAATATCTGTAATACCATAAATCATTAATTTAATAGTATTTAATATCATACACAAAATAATTACATATTGATGTTGTTGGTAGTGTGAGAAATATGATCCGATATTTCTATATGTAGCAGATAATTAATTTTACTAGAACAAAAAAAAATATTTTTCATCATACAATGTTCTAACTAAATCTCTTCCAATATTGTTTTTGTTGTTGTTGTTGTTTTTTTTTTGTTGGTTATTTTTTTGTTATTTTTGTTGTTGTTGTTTTTTTTTCGTTTTTTTTTCAAGAAATATTTTACTGGTTTTATAAATTATTAGCTCGACTTTTTTTTTTTGAAAAAAAAAGTAGAGGTATTGTTATAGTCAGGTCGGCGTTTCCGTTGCCGTTGCCGTTGCCATTGCCGTTGCCGTCCGAAAACTTGTACCTGGATCATAACTTTTTTATTTCTTGGTGTATTGTCTTCATACTTGGCCACAACAACCCTTGGGACAAGACCTTTCAGTAGACCACACTAACCTTGACCTTCATCCATAAATGACCTTGACGTTCAAGGTTAAAATCCAATTTTTGCTTGTTCATGCTGTTATTGGCTGTAACTTTGTTATTTTTGAATGGATCGTCTTCAAACTTGAACATAATAATCTTTAAGGATATCCCTTAAAAATAACCAGCCAGACCTTGACCTTCACTCATAAATGACCTTGACTTTGAAGGTCAAATTATTGAAATTTTCATTTTTTTGGCTTTTATTGGCTGTAACTTTGTTATTTTTGAATGGATTGTCTTGAAACTTGAACATAATAATCTTCAAAGATTACTGTTAAAAATATACCGAAAGACCTTGACCTTCACTCATTAATGACATTGTCTTTGAAGGTCAAATTATTGAAATTTTCATTGTTTTGGCGGTAACTGACTGTAACTTTGCTATTATCGAAGGGATCAACTTTATATTATAAGAGAACATTCTTAAGGACCAGACCTTGTTGTTTATCAAACCCAAATTTGCTTGGGCTCTTTAATGACCTTGACCTTGAAGGTTAAATTACTGAATTTTCTCAGATTTGTGCATTAAATGACCATAATTATATATTTATTGGTGTGTGTGTGTGTGTGTGTGTGTGTGTGTGTGTGTGTGTGTGTGTGTGTGTGTGTGTGTGTGTGTGTGTGTGTGTGTGTGTGTGTGTGTGTGTGTGTGTGTGTGTGTGTGTCTATATATATATATTTACAACAACAACAACAACTAGAATTGCGTCATTGTTTCTATTTATAGAATTGCTTCATTGTCTTTATTTATAGAATTGGGTCATTGTTTCTATTTATAGAATGGCGTCATTCTTTCTATTTATAGAAATTGCATCATTCTTTCTATTAATAGAAATTGCGTCATTGTTTCTATTTTTAGAAATTGCGTCATTGTTGCTATTTTTAGAAATTGCGTCATTGTTTCTATTTTTAGAATTTGCGTCATTGTTTCTATTTTTAGAAATTGCGTCATTGTTTCTATTTTTAGAAATTGTGTCATTTTTTCTTATTTTTAGAAATTGCGTCATTTTTTCTTATTTTTAGAAATTGCGTCATTGTTGCTATTTTTAGAAATTGCATCATTGTTGCTATTTTTAGAAATTGCGTCATTGTTGCTATTTTTAGAAATTGCGTCATTGTTTCTATTTTTAGAAATTGCGTCATTGTTTCTATTTTTAGAAATTGCATCATTGTTGCTCTTTTTAGAAATTGCATCATTGTTGCTCTTTTTAGAAATTGCGTCATTTTTTCTATTTTTAGAATTTACGTCATTTGTTCTATTTTTAGAAATTGCGTCATTTTTTTCTATTTTTAGAAATTGCGTCATTTTTTTTCTATTTTTAGAAATTGCATCATTGTTGCTATTTTTAGAAATTGTGTCATTTTTTCTATTTTTAGAAATTGCGTCATTTTTTCTATTTTTAGAAATTGCGTCATGTTGCTATTTTAAGAAATTGCATCATGTTGCTATTTTAAGAAATTGCGTAATGTTGCTATTTTTAGAAATTTTCTTAATGTTTCTATTCATATATATATACAAAATATATAAACAAAACTTATGTGACAGACCAACTAAATTTATAAAAAGGAAACATTAAGATATGTTCAAACCTTTCTATGTTTGCGTTTAGAAAAAGTAAAAAGTCGAGCGTTGCCCCCGCCCGGCGGTGGCTCTTGTTAAAATACTTATGATAAATGTGGCCATTGTTAAATATACTATAGTTGTAGTTCAAATTAACCGAAAGAAATATTACTTACAATTATTTTTCGAAAGTATTCGGGTGTAATCTAGTTATAATTCACTGGCGCCTAGATGCATGCATGATATTATGTAATTACCCATTAAAATATCATACAATTTTATATTGTTAAAATACAAATCAATTAATCGAAATAGTGCTTTAAAACAAATTACCGGGAGTTATCCAGTAATAATTGATTACATTTCCAAAATATATAATTTTATGGTTATCTAGTTTAAAAAATATATAATTATGTTGGTTCTACTCAGATGCTATTTTATTGCATGGAGTGGCTCCTGAGGTCTTCCTCGACCACTTAATTAAACTGGAAAGTTGCCATAGGACAATTACAAAGTACTGGTGTGACAAAATATATATAACAAATGTGTGTTATACAAACCACAAATGCAAATAAAATACGAATTAACCAATCAAAATATAACTTTATTAGTTTTCGCTATGCATAAAATTAATGATAATGTATGAAAGTAATTATTTTGGAATTCAAAGAATGAATTCTTGAACTAAATTAACAAAAATTATATATTAAAATAAATTTCTGACAGTTTTATTGTGATAATTTCATAAGAACTTTCGTAATTTTCTTATTTACGTTATATTTTCCAAAGTTGTTTTTTGTTGTTGTTTTTTTTCCACCACCATGGCACCAACAACAATAACAACAGCAACATGATTTTTTTCATGTCATGCTAATATACAGAACAACATGACATGTTTTTCAGGTTTATGAAAATGACGTTTCTTTCTTCAAAAATAATTGAAAATGTTTTGCTTCTTGAACAGAAGAACACCCCTGTGAGTATAATTTTACCTGGTTGTTACTCGCATTTTCAAAAATCTTTTTTTTTAATCGCACGTGATCATATATATCAGACGTGACGTGCCTACGATAAATATCAAATTTATGCTTCAAGAAGATTCAGGAAAAACTTCAGAATTATCTTATCCCTAGAATCAAATTTTGGCAAACCCGACTGTTTCGTGCGAATAATAACGGGATTTTCACGATTGTAATAAATAATAGAAAACAACAACCTGTTAACCTAGGGAAAAAGATGTTGTAAACATTTAGATAAGACTATGTTAAATTTCATAGTGTATTTCAAAACAGAGTATAGAGAAAAGATATATTAACAAATAGATGTTCGGTGCTTTTTAGTTTGTTTCAACTTATAGACAAGTCTGGTCAGTGGTATGTAACTTATTTGGGTTGTTAAATGTGTACACCTTCCTAATGCAACATTTAGGAAGTGGGTGTAAAAAACCTACACTTTCCTTGTCCAACATTTAAGAAATGGGTGGTAAAAAACGTACACTTTCCTTGTCCAACATTTAATTAATGGGTGGTTAGAAGCGTACACTTTCCTTATCCAACATTTAGTAATGGATGGTAAAAAGCGTACACTTACCTTATCCAACATTAAGTAAAGGGTGGTAAAAAGCGTACACTTTCCTTGTCCAACATTTAGGAACTGGGTGGTAAAAAGCGTACGTTTTCCTTGTCCAACATTTAGGAAATGGACGGTAAAAAGCGTACGTTTTCCTTGTCCAACATTTAGGAAATGGACGGTAAAAAGCGTACGCTTTCCTTATCGAACATTTAGGAAATGAGATGTAAAAAGCGTACGCTTTCCTTATCGAACAGTTAGGAAATGAGAGGTAAAAAGCGTACGCTTTCCTTATCGAACATTTAGGAAATGAGAGATAAAAAGCGTACGCTTTCCTTATCGAACATTTAGGAAATGAGAGATAAAAAGCGTACACTTTCCTTATCGAACACTTTGGAAATAATTTCAAATAACCGATATACCATACAACAATTTAAATGATTGTATAACCTTACACTTGGTACTACATTGTAGATGATGTTTGGTCTATAGAATAGTTTTCATCTATTACTGGATTCGAAAAATTACCGAGACAGTAGGTCACAATCAAAGGAATTTGGGACTTGCAAAAATGCACTAAAACCTACCCAATCATATATGCAATGCTCATCATTTCTGTCCTAGCAACCCTATAATTCAAAGCCTTCAGGAAATATTGAAAAACAACATTTGTTTTACTTTTAAACACAATGGAGTAACATTTGACGGTATTATATTTAGAATTAATCCCAATTTGCGACACAAAGATATTTTCATTGAAAATACATGTACTTCATGTAGTCCAAAAGCTATTCTAGTTACCTCCCCAGAAAGTCTGTCCGGTAAATACTTGTAAAACACATTCTGACATGTATAAAGAAATACGCACAACACCATGTAAAGTGTATATTTTCACATACATCTAAACGTATTTGTTCTCTTTTTTTGTATATGTGTAATAACATAACAATTATCCAAATCGTCTTGGCGGGAAACACTGACACCTGCCGTTGTCCAGTAACCTTGCTTCCCACATTCCAAAACATTTTTTGTCTTTGCATGGGTTTGACCTGAAAATGATATAGATATAAGTATACTAATCATCATATTACAAAAAGTGCATAGTTTAGGTCAAATCTACTCTCTCTTACAAACCGATGTTTGAGCCTTTTTGAAAAGAAAACCACCAAAAGATAAAATTTCACAAAAGGTTTAAACATTTACATTGAGCTACTTGATTGATAAACTTCTTGTGTCAAAAAATACCCGTTACAGGTTTTGGCATTTTTATCCTGGTAATTTCTAAGTTGTTAAAATGATTTTTTTATTGTAAACATTGGTGTTAAATGAAATAACTAAATGATAAATCTAGGTTTTCAGAAGTACTTTTTTCTTTTCTGTAAAATTGAAAGAAATGCTTACATAAACTATCAGATGTTATGAAGAAATGTTTCAGTTTAGGAACGACATGTACCAAGACGTTCTTTGTTTAATTCTTAACACTATGGTTAAAATTTAATCCATAGTTTCAAGGGTAAAGCTTATTTGAATTGAAATTCAAATGGTTTATCACTGAAAGGAAGTATATACCTATTGATACATCAACAATTAAAACCATAACATTGTATATTATTAACCAACAATCTTACACAGTCTTTACTGGTGGTTTCTTTTCTTGGTTTTCGTTCTTTACAACAACCTTTTCTTCTTTTTCCTTCTGAAAGTTCTCCACCACTCCGAATGACATAGTTTTCGGTTTAACATCATTAACCTTTTCCTCTTCATCTGCCTCGCCCTTTTCTCCAATGTCTTCTAAGCTCTCTCCAAACTCTTTGACTTGGACCTTTGTACCTTTCATACCAGCAATCGCATCGATATCTCTCTCTTCGTCTTTACTAGATTTCTGATTGTCGAGGAGCATATCTGAACCAATCAGACCTTTGTCAAGTTGTTCAAACAATTTATCCAGATCTATTTCTCCTGTTACACTTGTTTTAAGCGTGCATCTGAAATGAAAACAGCGAAGAACGAAATAACTAAAGTTGTGAAAGGTTTGTCTTTCCACATTTTTGAAAAAATATAGTAATAGATAAAAGGTGATTTCCAATTACCACTCATCAGTTGTATTTGAAAGTCGATCTCATAAATCACCATGGGACAATTCCATTACTTTTGCTGTCTTATTCAACAGCTTACATAGCTGAAAGCGATTGCAAATTTTCAAACCGTCAAATTGACGGTAAATGAGAAAATGAGTGTCATCGACTTCTAACATAATGATCCACAAGCAAATTATAACGAGATTCAACTAAAAGACTGATAAAAGAGTGTTCTTGTTTTATTCGATCCTTCCCTTAAAACAAAATTCTCCTCTCCTCTTTTTGTCTTAACAGTGTTTCCGATTTTTGTAAAATCCATGACGAAGTGTTCTATTTATGTAATGCCAAAGGTGGTATCAATAATAATTTGTTACAAAGAAAATATATTTAATTCATTATTTCTTTGCATAATCAATACTCTATATAAAAACCAAAAAAAAGAAGGAAAAATTGTCGTCGTTGAAGCTGTTGACATACTTGCATGTATCTTTATTGAAATAGGACGGTTCCGGGCATTTAATAGTGTTTCTGTTGGGACAAATACAGCCGCACTCTTGGTCGTCCCAGATCTGATTGTTCTCGCACGAATTCTTGTGTATGAGCATCTCTGGTCTGCACACACAACGACACCTCCTGGCTTCGTACCTTCAAAGACAGCACAAACATGCATATTAGCAATAACTGTAATCTTTAGTTTAAACATATTTTATTGCATATATTATATAGTCAAACATAATACATACATTTTAACAACCATACAAACATAATACACACAATGGATTTCCTTAGGAGTATTGAAATCATAACTGAAACGACACTGCGCGCTGCTTCACTGGCTTTGCCAAGGAATTTCTTGAACTATTTTATTTATATACATATACTGAAAACAACAGAATGCACTACAAAAAGTTCTTACATTTGATATTTATGACATTCGTGCTTCTTAATTTTACACTGGGCGTCACATTGCACATGCTCAATTATCTTGACAGCCCGAACGCCAAGAAACCGGAAACGATGTGCTCCTGGATATGGCAGACGTGTGTCAAACACCTGAAGTATAAATGTATTTTTGAGTTCATATTTAGATTTTGAAAGACACCGACTGTTCGTGTTTAAATTTGGACACGGAATAAGTATTACCATTGGTAATTGGTAACTCTTTTGTATTGGTGAATGATAACAATAAAACGCAAATATAAGATAGTAAAAATTTTAAGTGCTTCCGTTAAATAAAAAAGAGTTACGAAAATAGTGTCTTAACTTATTCATTGTTTAAAGTTTCAATTGATAAATTTAAGTTGTTTTGACGTACACTCTGGTTAAATATTCTTTAAAGATTTTGGAAACTATTGCTATGCAGTAATTATCTGAGCCGTCAATGGAGAACAATAGACAGTCAGTGTTTATATAGCCAAGTAAGAGACATTTAGTTTGGCTTTTAGGTCGAACCATCTATGTAAGGTCATATAAAACCTTGGAGGGCTATCTCAGGATCTTCTTGGCACGAGCAGACACCCGGGTTGAACCATGGACCTTCCGTAAACAATCCAAAAGAGACTTTCTACCTTCACGAACTTTTCTCTGATTTCCGTAGGTTCACACGAGAACATATCACTCGTGCAGCACCCACCGCATCTCATAGCACGAGTACATGATGGCCATATTGTAATATCTGGGTCAGGATGACGTGGTAACGCTACTGTTTGTTCACGAGGATTACATGCATCAAACTGGGCAAGCTGGCTTGTTCCTATAGTGAACGTAAATCAAAATTAAAAACATAGCGGCTACAGATTGTAGTCTTGACCTTTCCCAAATATGTTTAAATGTCTTATTTAAAGGCAGCAAGTGAATTTATATAATTAAATCAAATTTACCCTTGTTTGAACAAATATGCAAAGCAACACATTAGTGAGATATCAATGAGATAATGCTATCAGAATAGAACTACCAAATAAACATGTATGCTTTTCATAACCAATCATGTGATCATCAAAACAGTCATTAATTCAATACAAAAATGTTTGAATATATAGTACGAACATATTCAAAATCTAAGATATATTAGTGAATTGGTATATAATGAAAGGTCTGTTATACAATAAATAATTTTGTTGATAGAATTTTGTATCAGACATAACAAACCATGAAAGAATTATATATGGCTGTTGCTGGCAACTGTGAGATCCGATTTGGATATATATATTTATAAAGCATATGATAAAATGCTCTAGTGCAAAATATTATTATTAATCATATAATTGTTCATACTAAATCACTTATTTATCAACGTTTTTCTCAAGCTACATTTTATAAGAATAATCAAATGATACATTTCTATTGTTTTTATTGCTATCTTAAATACTTGATAATGTGCCCATTGTAGACCAATCCACTTTAAGCCCCGCTGTTAGTATCTCCAGATTTAATATGTAATACACGTAGCCTTTCTTTTTTCATCATTTACACTTTTTTCATTTTTTCAGTTGTTTTTTCTGATAACAAAGTACAATATTTCAGTACTACGCATTTGTAAATATTTCAAAATCTAAACGAGATCTCAGACTCTTAAAGATAAACTTCGCTGCGGTATATCAAGATATAAAATGTTATGAACTTAAGTAGTGTTTTCATTATTTACATGCTTTTTTCCCTCTCTGATAACAGACTACAATATCGTAAAAAGATTACGCATTTTCATTTATCTAGAAAATTTAGAAAAACAACATATTAACCTCCAACGAGCATTTTCTCACCAGTCTCGTCTACTCCGTTTACTGGTTCAGAATTTATCACAACTGCAACATAATGTAGGAGAAGATTGTAAGAAGATGTATTCTTTTAACATTTTCCTTTTTGTCATAAAAACTTAAAACTGTTAGAACTTGAATTAGAGGGGCTAAAAAGATATAGCAGTTTGATTGCAATGCACGAACTTGTTCTTATAGTACATGTAATATAGAAGATAATATTCTAAAATTCATTTTCAAACATGCAAAGGAATTATTAAATATATTTTTTATCGGAGATCACTATAAGTGCTATGGGGAAACATAGCAAAAAGTGATATTCAGATTCAACAATTTATGAGAACAAAGTTTACATTTTTTTCTATCAATACCAGAATAACTCAATTTTAAGAGAATGGGAGCATAGTTTAAGATGAGACGGATCTTGATTATGTATAATAATAACGACATATTTATTTAAGAAAGTAACGCGTGAAGATATACCATCATAAAGATCAAATGTCATACTCGTATTTTAACGACATTTAAGTATTTTTGTACATAAATACAGTTTTAGAATTGTCGATAGTATAAAAAATAAGAATGAGTTGCTACAATTATTGAACATATTGGTCAATAATCTTAATTTGAGGGAAATGTATATTTTACCGTTTTCCAAGTCGAACAAGAATCGCTTACTGTAATACAGTGGAACTATCATGGAAACAAATCAAATAAAAGTGATTTTGAAATTGTATTTTTATGACTTTTTCATGACTTTCTTTATTTCATATTGAATTCAAGGGACTTTTACGTCTGTGTTTTCTTGATATCGCATTTTAGAGATAAAAAATTATAAATGTTACAAAACAACAATGTTTCACCAAAATTAGGTGAAAGACCACATGTTAACATGGAAAAACTAGATTTTGGGTGATTCCAAAGTTTCCATCATTTTTTGTTAACCTTTTACCCCATCTATACGCGAAACAACGCACTTTCGACCACCCCCCCCCCCCTTTTTTTAGGCCTGAAATAGTGAAAAAATGTTGATGAAAACTTTGGAATCACCCAAAATCTAGTTTTTCCATGTTAACATGTGGTCTTTCACCTAATTTTGGTGAAAAATTGTTATTTTGTAACATTTATAATTTTTTTAGTTAACCCTTTCCCCCATGAGCATAATAATTGTGAAAAATGGCCGTTTTCACTGAAAAGCCTCATGTTACAAGTTCAAACTGCTATGAAACTATGAAAAATGCTTCAATACTAATCAAACATGGCACAAATGTTGACTGAACCATTGCCTTTGTAACGACATGCTCAGTCTTAAATTTCCTGTTACCATGGCAACGAGGGACATCTCAAAAAATGCCAAAAATCACTATTTTTGCCTCGACTTTTTCCATCAAAATTTATTTCAAAGTGCTGCAACTTCTCAAGGGATTGAGATAGAGTCAAAGGCTTTTTCAGCGTTTGTTACACGTTACCTTTTATGATCCACCTGTGGTCATTTTTAGCCTCTCACAAGTCCAAAATTATTTTCTTGGCGATGAGGGGGACTCCGCCCCCCTTCAAAAGTATAACACTTGCTTTCCTTCTTGGTTTATTTCAGTTGGCCTTTCAGTTTTAGTTGCTATTAGCGTCTCTTGTTTCGTAATCCTTCTTGTCGTCGTATCTACTCTCATGTGTATGACTGTCCGTATGTATAGAAACCAGAAACTCAAACATAGACTTGCTTCGCGGTCTACGCGAAACAACGCACTTTCGACCCCCCCCCCCTTTTTTAGGCCTTAAATAGTGAAAAATGTCCTATTTGGGCCCAAAACACATGTTTTCGTTTGAGAAATGTTGCTAAAAAAGTGAGCATTTTTTCGGCGCCGCCCCCATCCAAAAGATACATCAGGGGGTTGCCAGAAGGGGGATGTGCCCCCCTCTGTTTGGGGGTTTGAAGGGGGGGCGGAGTCCCCCTCATCGCCAAGAAAATAATTTTGGACTTGTGAGAGGCTAAAAATGACCCCAGGTGGATCATAAGGTAACGTGTAACCAACGCTGAAAAGCCTTTGACTCTATCTCAATCCCTTGAGAAGTTGCAGCACTTTGAAATAAATTTTGATGGAAAAAGTCGAGGCAAAATAGTGATTTTTGGCAATTTTGAGATGCCCCTCGTTACCATGGTAACAGGAAATTTAAGACTGAGCATGTCGTTACAAAGGCAATGGTCCAGTCAACATTTGTGCCAAGTTTGATTAGTATTGAAGCATTTTTCATAGTTTCATAGCAGTTTGAACTTGTAACAGGAGGCTTTTCAGTGAAAACGGCCATTTTTCACAATATGCTCATGGGGGGAAGGGTTAACTATCTTAAAGGAGCGTTTGTAAAAAAAAAACATCAAAATTTGTTTGTTATAGGTTAAAATCTTAATGGAATAGTTGTTATTGTTTTATGATGCTTTGTGTTTGTGTTTCGAAGGCCACATTTAAAAGTACGATATGTCAATTGTTTTCTACGATGGTATATCTTCATGCGTTACTTTTTTAAATTAAAAAGATATTATTATTAGTATTATTTTATTTAAATAATATATTAAAGGTTTTAAATGATATAAAAATCACCATTTTCACATTCGTATGGACTCATGCTCATCAAACCACAAAATTCTGTATAATTCTTGACATTCGACATGATCTTGTGCATGTATAAATCCGGCTGAAATGTTAAAAGTAAATGCATATACAAGCTCATTTCAATTTTTAGGAATATTGTTAGAAATGTCTAAAAAAATCATAGTTTAACAACTCATTTTGGTCGACATGAAAACAAATATTAAATTAAAGCAAGTTTTATGTTATGGACAGTAGATGATTAAATTACCCAGACCTAATGATTACATATATCTTTAAAAAAGGTTAGTGAGATAAAAAAAATTCAACATTATACATGTACGAATAATGTGCAATATTACTTGAATATAACCAGCAAGAAAAACTTCAATTCTGTAATATCAATAATAAATCAAATTAAATGGCTGCCTGCATGAGAAAGCGATCCTTATCGTGATTTTTAAAAATAACATCAAAAGAAATTTGCTATGTCTTTGACGTTTAATATAAAAGAAGTGAATCACCCTTTGGATGTTGAAGATAATTATGAATAGGTAAAGATAAGCTGAATTCTTTAGACGTTTTTAAAATTATTTCAAAGCCTGAAGAACTGAATATACCTGAAAAAGTAAAATATGCCAGTTTAAAAAATGACGTTAATGGAGTTTCCACGTGCGGGCGTTTTAACATAGTATTGTGTGATAGAACTGTGAAACTAAACCAACTGACTCTGATATTAGTTTTATGGGTGTCAATCTAAAAAACTTATTAACTAAGAACTATGACTTTCATGCCAAACGCTAGAGAAAACATTGGCCATTTTATTGCAATATATATGTTAAGAGGTGGTGTCAAAAGTTCATTGTTGTTAATTAAAAAAAGGAAGATTGAGAGGGTAAATCCTGGGGTCACGTATCGTCGTTATTTTTATGTACATGATAAACAATGTCTCAATTAGTTTTACTTCAAATTCTGACTCGTTCTGTGGGGAACCTTTCCTAAAAGGTGGATTGAAATAGAGAGAAATAGAATCCTAAAGAACGTCCTAAACAAATGAAAATATTGCATGCTCGGTTTGTTTCAGCCTGTTCATGGACGGTACTGGAAAGTGAGGGTACTGTCAACGCCCCCTAGCACCGGTTTAAGCAGAATTCAACATTAAACATGAAATGGCAAAAATTTAAAGTTGGAAACATCCGCAGATGTGTTCATGCGGCATATATCATGAACTTTCAATGTGATAAATTAGTGTCATTCCGTGAACAGCGGTATATGGTCCCACAAGTAAAAAAATGAATGTATGTGTCCAAAACGACAAAACAGTGGGCGAAAATAAACTAAATAAAATGGAATTTTGAAGGGGATCAGAGGTTATGAAGTCTGCAGTCTAAAGACAATTTAAAAAAAAAAACAACTTAAGAATCGTCGTCATTTTTTTCCTTTCTAAATTAGTAGCTTAGACATAAAAATGTCATTTATTAGTTTAACTGCTATCTATTGGCATTCCAGTGAGTTATCAAAATGGTAATAAAGTCGTATGCTATTTCATAAATAGTATATACAGACAGTACTACCTAAAGCAAGAGAGTACAATTCCAATACTTTTAAACAGAATGTCAAACGAAGCAAATAACTTTCAAAAGGTAAATTTATCCTGTGGGTCGGATATAACATAACAAAGATTCGGAAGGAAATTTATAAAAACAATCAAGACAATGTATGAGTTTTATATTATTACGAAAATGAAAGTACAGGAGGAATATTAATTTCCTTTACTTTCTTTTACCGACACGAATTGCTAAATTAGTACATCAAAGAAAACATCACACATATTTCATAATTAGACCCTTAGTGAGTTAATTGTTATGTTAATAATAGCATTAATATTTTTCTATAGTACAAAACTAACATTAATTGGCTGCGCGGTGCACTTTCAGTTGACCGGAATGAAAGGCTGAGGAGGCGTTCGTATTGTTACTTACAACATATTCCTGAAACCTTAGTATTGATACTTTTATCACCAGTGACTAATTGGATTGTTAATGTTGGTCAATAGTTCATTCTTTCTTCTGTTGACAATTAATCACTGATTCGGTTACAATTTTATCTATAAGCTTTCAGCCATCCTAATATTTCATACAAGTTTGTTAGCAATAAGAACAATAGAGACGACTAATTTTTGCCCTTGCAAAAGCACTAGAGCAATATTTTGCGACAATACAAGGATTCCGTGAGAACATCTTTCTTGCGTAAATGTCCGATTATTTTATCAAGAGCGAGATCGATTCCTATTTAACAAAACTTATTTTTGAAGAATATTCCCGTATGATTTTCATCTTGAAAAGAGTAGCAATAATTAAGAAATATGGCCAATACTAATATTTCGATCATTCATATTATTTGACTCAATATCATTTAACGAATTGCAAAACAAATGGATAACTGTTTCTTAAGCATGTGTTTTTGTAAAATAATGTTTTAAGTTGCGACCAAAATATTGTCTTTTCTATATGGTTATTCTGGTCGTAAAAAGTCGCAAATTTTATAGAGCCGCCATTCGAGATAAAAAATCAACTAAAATTAGGGCAAAAGTCATACCTTTTGCTTAACCATGCGAATTTTTAAAATGACATTCAAACCTTTCAGAATCAATTCTAGTCAAAAATATTCTTCTGTATTGTATTTGTAGACTAAAATGAAATTTTGATTATTTGAGAAAAAGTGCTAATTAACTTAAATAAGTTTAATGAAATGCTTGCCTATGGACATTTTAGAACAAAACTGGAAATAAGTCATTTCATTTTCTGACTGATTTCAGTTTCTGATTTACAATGAAGGTTACTTAGAATGACATTACACTGTGGCGATGACTTATTCATCAGTCTTTTTTCAACACATGGCACGCCACCGTTTTTAAAGCAGATTTTTTTCTGCATACTTATCAAGATTTCAAGTGTTAATTTAGGATAAACATACAAGATGTTCATTGTCACATGTAGGATGATATACTGTACATGTGATATGACATGATAAATACACAGATAAAATACTAATCTAAGAGAAGAAAGTGGAAAAACACAACAAACAAAAAATTAAAAACGTATTCCATAGTTAATCAGAAAAGACCGACAGATAACGAGTATCTTTGCGATAATGGATCTCTTTGTCCTTTAACTGTAAGCATTTCCATAAAAAATACATTGTGTTACTATATCTAATCACATTATGCCTCAGAAATCCATATTTTTTTTTAATTCTTTAGAAATGTCAAACACGTGTTTAATAATGTTTTAATAATAGATTAAGAGCATATCAGGTGTTTAACAGAACAGAACAGAACAACTGAAGAAAGTAGCGCTGAATGTGGTGAAATGTGTCGTTAAAGTACAAAATGTAAACAAAGTAGTATATTACTTTCATACAAAGCAAAAATTCATAATAATTATATCCATAGCTAAAGGAGCAAAAGACAATTCATGTGTTTGAAAAATTAGTATTCTCTTGGAACTTTAATAATATACCAAAAATTAAAAGTTTTTGAGAACTAAAAATGATAACATTTCTGAGGCATAATGGACCTTTATTGTTATAGTACCTTCTTTCAACCAAATAGTAACCAATAACCAATATGAATTGACTTGATAAATAAAACTATACATAGAATTAAAAATGAAATAAAAAAGTTTGACTTTTTTGGAGTTACATGAAGTCGCCCTTTTCTACTGCCACGCTGACAATTAGATAATTTGTACTTTGACAAATAGTTTAACCTTAAGTCTTATTTGTATTCAAAATATTTGCTCTTCAAATACGATAACAATGATTTAAGTCTACAAAATCAGAAAAAAAATGTGTTTGTGTCTTGGCATTAATTTAAAAATGTTGTGATTGCGTAATAATCTTTTCATGCAAATTTTAACAAGAAATAATTCGCATTAAATTACAGGTTATTGGTACCCATGTTGGTTTTTAAGTTTCTGATAATGTAAAAAGGGCCTCAACATGGCCAATGTATGGATACGCAGACATCTCTAACCTCAAACATTAGTATTAAGTCTTTCTCATTTTAACATTAATAAAAGATGTATCAGAGGATTACAACAAGCAACAAATAACCATTTACTCAGTAAAATTAAGCAAGACTTAATTACATTGAATTTAGTTTTTATTTCGTAAGTGGTGTTCAACATTTGTAATAACAGTGTTTTGATAATGACTATACGGTGACTAGCAACTTTTTTCTCCTTCAATTAGTATATCACATTTTGTAATATGTAAAGCATTTTGTAATATGAACTGGATTTTTTATATGATTTAGAATAGCACAAGTATATAAAGTTAATACTGTTTGTTAAAATGGCATCGTGAAATTTAAACAATACTAAAATAGTCGGCCAAAAATATTGTTGATATTAAGCCTTAACGAATCTTTTTTCATTCCGTACACAAACACACGTATAAACAAAAGAAGAAAAAAAAATCTTTTGAAAAATATAGTCTTAATTAAGAGATAAGATAAAGGAAACCATCTTAAATAAGAAGAGGAAGAAGAAAAAGGAGAAAACGAAGAAAAAAAGAAGAAGAAGAATTTATTTAACTTACACATTTACATATAACTCGTAATACATCAAAAACTACTAGTAATACATGTAAAAACATTTTGTCGCGGTCAGTATTAAAATGTACCAACATAAAAAATGTTTCAGTTTATACAATCTAGATTCATACATATACAGGCATGCCTACTATTACTAAAGCCATACCTGCTGAGCCGATACCATACTTGCCAAGAACACGACAAAGACTCCAAATTCAAATATCGTTATTCTCGTCATCATTATAGTTCAGAAAACAGTTTGTCCACTTGTAGAGTTCCTGACAATGTCCAGCGGTTCTATAAAAGGCAGATAGTATTTATACTACTGGACAAACTAATTGGATGTTACAGATATTGCGAGGGAAATCAGAAATGATATTGAATATTGGGGAGAGGCTTTTCATGCTGTTTATCTCCTTGGTCCATGTGTAATAGCGTTTTAATTTTTTGTTATTTTAAAAAGTAACAAACGATATATGTAAGAAGTTTTGCTTTTATATTTAATTTACCTTGAGAAAGGTAAAAATGACTCGTTTATCCTTCACTTTTTGTTACCCTCCGTTTTTAGCTTCGAAACATTTTTCATGTAGTTATGTTTTAATCTCAAGAATCGAGGGATAGCTTTTGAATATAAGAAGAGAATAAGTCTTTTAAAGGTGTTTATTTGAAAATGTGAAAATTCCCTGAAAAAAAATAGATTAAACAATAATTCTTTATAAAAATATTAAGTATTTCTTACATTTCATACTGGTACGACTAGAAAGATAAATAAAAGAAAAAATCAAATAGAATGGACAACACCCCTGTGCACCATAACTCAAGTGAATTGCATAACTTGAAGTATTTTAAAAACAACCATTTCCGGACACTATAAATATCTGAAATGAGTACAACTATGTTGTCCTTATTAATTGCCCTGCGTAGAAATTATAAATTAATAATTATAGTTGATATACATTTTTATATTATTTCGCTCCATCCCAGTTTTATTTGTTAGTGTACATGTCTGAAAATGTGAACAAAAACACATCCTCGTCATGTTGAGTCAAAATAAAAATTTGAATAGAACTTAATAATGAGTTAGTTTTTTCATTATTTCTGTATCCACAATATATATGTACTTTGTCTTGCGAGCCTATACAATTCAAGAAGTACTCTGTCTTGCGAGTACAATTCCGATCACTGTACCCTTCTTGAAAGCCTATATATTTTAACTTATATCTTTCTTGCAGGTAGAGGAAGTAGTATATCCCATGCATAACTTAGTACAAACATGTTAAAGACTTTATATAAAATGTAAAAACTACGACTGATGGCTATCAATTTTTGATAAATACAAACGGAAGGCGACTGTTTGAGAATACAGCTGGAGATTCTTTCTAAAGAAGAAGATATTTCATTTTACCCTCCTTAAATCAAAGGATTATGACTGATCACAATGATGTATAATTTTTAATCAAGGGTATGAGTCAAAATATCACTCATCGATCTGAATCAAAGTTCATTTTTATCGACCATTGGTCATATGTTTTATGACGTCATAAAACGGCGATCCTTTTTGTTTACAAATGATTATTTGACCCTTATTTTTTAAGTTTCACACTGAAAAGGTTTATTTGTCATCTTTTTTATCTTTGATGTGTTTAACATTATTGTTTCATAACTACATCTACTTAGAAATATGTAGTTCAAGATCTTGCTACTTACTGTACAGCTATCTATTATTACACATAAGTGAGTTTGTTTACTAAAGCATTTTTTATTGTTTTAAATACCGCACGTATACAGGTATCTGAAATAGAATATATAGAGGATAATGAATACTATGTAGGTTCGATACTGAATTTACTGAGAGAGTTGAACTTATATTATGCTAGTCTCTATTCAAAGAATTCAATATATTTAGTAATAAACCTACACTTATTCAATATCCTCTATATACACGAATCTATTTATCACATGTCCAAAATATGAATTGTTTATAGCAAAAAAGGAAACACCTTTTCACTGATATGAAGCGCCTATTGTGTAACGCTATCAAGGGTACGCACATGAAAGCAAATATCAACAAGAAAGGGTGGTATTCAATAAATACACCATCCAACAAAAACCAGCAACACAGGACCACCCTGCAAGGAACCCAACAGGGCACCTGTCAAAAACAGGACAGGACACAAGGGCGAATCCCTGACATTAAAGAGGGCAATTGATTGAAGGTCTGAAACAGGTATATAGTTAAGTGTAGAGAAAGGAAAAAATGGCTGGGGGATAGAGAGTTTTGTGTGGCAAAATTTGAAAAATAACAAGAAGGTGGATACTTTACTTTCGCGACAAAAACATTAAAGTGTCACCAAAACTATCAAGACTTAAAATATAAATTGAACAAGTAGCAATAAACAAGACAAATATTTTACCACTTGATATAGTTCATTGGCGTAATATGTAAGACTTAATACTACATGTATATAAAGAAATAAGAAAGAGTAGATACATAAGATACATAATTATGAAAGGGTTATTTTAAAAAACAACACCTTGATGCAATGTCATTTACAGCAATGTATTTTCATGTAAATTTATTTGATTCAGGGAAGATCGACTTCTTGCCGGTGGTCTTCCAGTGCGTTGATTGGATATGCCACCCTTAATTCTTTGTTGATTAAAAGTCTTCCTAGAGGACCAGGGCTTCCTTATTACATGTACTTTATTTCTTTACTTTATACCGTAGTACTTAATTCAAATGAGCCAAAATATGTGTATTTGTCTGCCCTAATTATATCGTGACTTTCCGATCCAAAAAAAATCCCTTACAGTATGTATCCGTGTTCTCGTAGTGTATCCATTGTCAAGAATATGTGAAAAAGAATTTCGTTTAAAATTAAAAAACAAAAAAAAACAAAAACAAAAACAGTAACAAAAACAAACAAAAAAACAGCAAGAGCAATTATCTCAGATTCATAAAAAGAAATGTCAAAACTTCAAACAAAAAGGTCAAAGACACTGCATTCGTGAATTTCTTTATCTTGTTTAATTGAATGCCATATATTGTAAATTAGATTTGTATTTCTTAATATGTTACCTTCATGAAACAAAGTGTTTATTATTATTATCAATTTAAGCTTATTTAAGTTATTATCAATTTAAGCTTATTTAAGGCCCTATAGTTAGAATAGTTTTCCGCAGTTTGGCATCCTTGGCAAAAATATATGGTTAACAAAATATAACAAGTTCAAATGTCAGCTGCCAGATATGTATAGGCCAAATATGTAAATACAGCTAGTGTATCTACAATGTTAAGTGTTCTTAACTGGCAAACTCTAGAGCAGAGGCGCAACATCAGCTCTGTTACTCTCCTTTATAAAATCCAACTCAATCTTGTGAGAGTTGACCATCACCATCCAGATAGGGCACCTGCCAGAAACCTTAACTTCCTGATACTCAAGGACTTAAACAAACTAATCCCAGCAGGATAGCTGCAGCATTCTTACCACTTGTGAAATCATTTTATCTCAGCCTTGTAGTTTCTTTTAACTTGCTTTTACCTAATATACAGTATTTGTAATAAGAGGAATTCCATGACAACGAGGTTGTTATGTAGATGTAGTACTTTGAACCTTCAGCTATCGTTCGAATTCGCCAATTTCCGCCTATTTCCGTGAAATCGAAAATATGGTATGGGTAAGGCGCAAAAACTTTAGACTGTACCCAATATGAAGGCAGTTCATAACAAATTCTGATTTACTCACCGACATGGAGCTTGTTTATAGCATCGATGTGTTTCAAAAGCCATATGAAAAAGATTGGGTTTCTGAAGAACGCAACTGTCTAAATCTCTCATGCAGAAACATTTTAGCTTTGTTGAAACAGTCTGAAATTCCTGACAGGTAAAAAATACCCCACCCACTCCTAATAGTGCAAAAAATATTTCTAGAAAGAAATACCCAATATATATTAAGACAAGGAGTTGAAAATGAAAAATAGCCAGAATTTCAAAATAATTCCAGATTTCAGTCGGTCTTCGGTAAAATATGTTAAGCAATCTCGGGCCTCGATAAAATCATTCACTAGCTCGCTCGCATTTGCGAGTGAAAGTTTGGGTCGGTCAAGTAAAAAGCTGATCAAACGTGCCAGGCCGGGTAAGATTCTCCCACACTTACAAACTTTTGCTATATGCAGTATTTCGATAGAGCGGAAATCAGTGCCCCAGCATGCGCTTTAGCATATCTCGTTCAGTTACCGTTCACGTTTTAAACTTGGTTGCTATGTAGCGACACTTAGTGTACATGGCTTTTACAACTAAAATATCAGCAAAATACATTAAAACAATACACATACACTACACATAGTTGATTTCCATATTATTATTTTGCATTTTCAACTGTATCAGTTCTTGTATCTCAATATTCTTAGCGATTTAATGTATTGTTTACATGTGATGACAGCAAGTTAGCAGGCGAACACTGTGTGTTAGATTACCTCAGGTCCAGAAAAATCCTTTGTTTACCATCAAAACTCATATGTTTACCATAGCAACCATATATAGATAGAAAGCAAATTATACAAGAGTAATGAAAAATTGTCCGTTTCTGGACAAAAACTCGAATAAATAATTTTAATAAATACAAAGTCTTTTAAAAAGGCCCTTTCTTTGAGTTCATTTAAAAGGGGAATAATTTAGTGGAATTTTATACATGGAAACAGGAGTTATCATTTGTGGTTAGGGAATATGGCCGACTGAAATCATGCAAGCAAGTTTGTAAGTGTCCCACTCCAAATGATGTTTCTTTAAACAGTTATAAATAAAGGTTTTTGGCAAACAATCAATCTGCAGATGCCTTTTCAATTTTAATACCTGTCCAACGAGAACTAGAAATCAACCTCCTGTCTAAGTATAAAACTTTACTGAACACATATGATGAATATATTAACCCCTCCCCCTTCTGAGACCACAACAGCATTTAACACTGTTTTATTTGCATTTGCTAAAGTTTTATACTTAGCCATAGGCCGATTCTGCAGCCAAGTCAAGTGCGTAAAAATTTTAGTGAAATAAGTGTATGGGCTACAGATTATGTCGAAGGTTATATATTAAAAATTTGACAATATAAATAATTTGTATTAAATAAAGCCAATTATACCCATAATGCATATAGACCGGTAAATATTAAATTTGACTATTTTTCTCCGTCGAAATGCAGGGCAAGTACATTTTGTGGTGTAAATTTGGGCCATGACATAGAAAAATTCTTCATGGCCTGACTCACCATTTCTGTTAAAACCAGGTTTTTATGTCTTATCGGGCATGCATTCAGCACTTGGGTGTCCAAAAATGTGTCTTTGTAACACTCCAGCTAATGACAAAATTGACATTGATTGGTTTTATTTCATGCAGCAGCCATTAATGTATATGTACATGTATGTAATATTTTCAGCTCTCATTTTGACCGCCAGTATGAGGTTGTTGTGTTGGATATTGATAAGCCGTGGGAACCACATTGTGTGACATCAGTTTCCAAGCAACTGTTACATATTGTATGGGATACGACAGGAAGTAAATTATTGCTTATAGATGTAGATGGAGAATGTCAAGTGTGGGCGATGAAGGTACATTTGTAATAAGAAATTTTGTGTTTTACTTCAAGTGACATTGTGATCAAGATTTACCGTTTATATGGTGATTTAACAATATTAAATTGATAATTACAAATGTGTAGGATTAGAATAAAGAAAACCTGCCTAAATTATAAACGGTCTGCCTCACTCTTTTTACATATTGAACATTATCGATATTGCCCGAAGGATATTTATAGATATTTATGTGGGTTACAAGGGTTATTGATTACTCAGGTGACGTTTATTAAGAAATACTTAACAAATATGACAAACTGTCAAATTATTTAACTTCTTTTAACTTTTAAGTTATTTTACTTTTACCTGAACACTTTCCATTTTCTTGTAGATGGGCATAATGTCACTTTTAGCTTAAGGATCCTGAAACTTTTTATTTTTTTAAAACTGATGTTCTATGATTTTAGTAAAGTTTCACAGATATGCAAGCTGCCCTGACTGTACAGATGGTATAGTTATTTGGTGTAAGGACTATTGAAACTTCATGTATCATATTTGTCCTTGCAGGTCCTTGAAATTTTTATTTGAATCTGATAAAATCTTGCAGAATTGGAAGTCAAAGTTGAGTTAACATTCAATACATAGTTTGAAAAATTTGCTTAGAAGTGATGAATAGTTTTTGTGGAGATTGAAAGATGGACAAGTCCATTTAAGAAGTTCAGCAAAAGAAACAAAATTATGCTGTGGTTATTTGATTTTAAAAACATGGCTGTTTGGTTTATCACTTGAACTTATAGGAACTACACTGGCACTGAGGTTTAACAGCCTAAACTTGTAAAATTTGAAATTATTTCATAAATCAACTTGTGCGCTTAAAAAAACAACTGTACAATAGGTAATATATAAATATAATCGTTTATAATTTGATAATCAATTATTTGTGCTGTAGTGCAGTTATTGTGTTCAATTTGCAATGCTTTTAATTTGAGCAATAAAATTTAATATCCCAGGGAAGCAGATCAGAGCAAATGATTTGAAACTGTGTGCACTAGTTATTGGTCCAGATCTTCATCAAGTAATACAAAAAAAATAAAATATTTTTGGTCTTTTCATGTTAAAAAACATCTGTGGACTGTGGAGTTCCTGAAGAATGTGGAACAACAATAATATAAATTGAAAAATGCATAAAGTGACAGCCATGTGATGTTTGGCTGTACCTCTATTGCCTGACTGTACATGTGACATTGATTAGTAAACTAATCATTTCTGCATGTAGTGTTTAAACTTGAAACGTTTATAATTTCAAACTATGTTTTGTTATCTGTTTCAGGATCATCTGTTGAATGAATGGCATTGTATAGGATCAGTGAACAATGCTGGTGAGGAAGTGCTCGCAGTGATGTGGTTCCATAATGGCTTACAGGTTTATACTTTATTTTACTTTTTCATCTGCAGATGTACATGTAGGTTAGTCCTGGTTTTTCCCAGTAGAATTATTTTTTAAATCATGCAGTTTTCCCAGAAATCAAAATTTACACCAGCTTTTTATTTTCCCAAATCAGCAATTTAAGTGATACTAACTCCCAAATTTAATAGGCGAAGAATTCTTCCCATGAAAAAGAGGAAAAACCCTGTTAGTAAGATAAGGACATGATAAACTAATTATTACCTAATATAGAAAAAAGTCTGGCATCAACATGAGACTAGTGTTTAGTGATTAGTCTCAGGTAAGATGTCTTCTGCAAACTACATGTACATTGCATTTGAATTTATATTTTTGTAAGACTTATATTTTTGACTTGACTTGTTAGAGGATTTTTATGGCTTTTTAGCTCACCTGTGATGGTCTTAAATCCATTTATGCATCATTTAAAAAACAACAATCATCATTACAAACTTCACAGGTATGATTATGTATTTGTTTTATTTTATTTCCAGATCATATTTGACCCAGATAAGCGAGATAAAACACAGTACATTGAGAAGTTTGTACGTAACATGAGATTTACACCATCACTGACACAGTTTGGAGGATGTTTTCTCGAGGGATGGGTAGTTGTCTCATCATCAGGTTTAGTATGTATTAACCTATAACAGGTTTTCCAACATTTCTCAATTAGTATAGTATATTGTTCACTTTAATCTTACACAAGTTCATAAAGAAATAAAGCTGGTATAGCAGACTCACGTGTGTATTATACACAAGTTTCAAGGTACATATCTAGTTTCCAGGTAGTTATTTGTGCACTGTACAAATTATAATGTAATTAATGTGCCTGTCATCATACCATGCTATTAGTTGACTACCAGCATTTTACTTGGTATTCAGCAACAACAAAATGAACTCCGTCAATTTTACTCGTATATATATGATCTTACTATTATGCATTTTAGTGTATACAAATTGTTTTCTAAGTTTGGATTGTGTTGGAAGCTATGAGGTTATTGAAGTTGTCTGGTAGCAGTGAATGTAAAGATTCTTGCTCACAGAAGAAATGGCTTGCCCCTGACAGGGTTTGAACTCGGGCACACAGCAATTCTAAAATAACTAGTCTGCCATGTTAACCAATCAGCCACGCCACGCCACCTTTATTTTATACATTTGAAAACTTATGCATACTTAACAGTAAACATGTGAATCAGTAAGATAACCAATTTTCAATTTGAGATAGCATGAAATTGATTTAAATTAAACTGAAGACACATTGATTAAAAAAAACAGAAAAAAACCCCAAGGTTTTTAGAATAAGATGTATATTATACCTGCTGTTATTTGTTACATCACTTAATAAGAATTTTTTTAATGTTTTAGGTGACTGTTGGTGTACATCAGTCTGACGGAAGTATCGTAACGTCATCTGAAAGTTTGTCTCGCAACCACATGCGTCTTACAGCTGCCGATATAGCTAACACAGGAAATGGTGATATCATGGTTGCTACAAGCGACGGTCAACTTTCCTCGGCTATCCAGTGTTTCCTGGTGTCGGTGAAACTGTCCGGAAGAAATATAGCTATATCTTGTGTGAACAGTGCTAGCTTGTATACTAAAACACAAACAGAGTATGGTAGCAGTGAAAATAATACAAGGTATGATCAGTAGTCTAAATAAAAAATAATTAACTTGTTCATAGCCATATAGTAGTAATGTAGGTTTGATTCATTTATTGTTTACTTTTTCAACTCTGTTAAAATAACAAAGAGGAAAGTGATAATGTTTATGTGTAAAATGATTGTGCTGTTAGTCAGCAGGCTTCTTTCAAACTGTCTTAAAGAAATCCTTTACATTTTAGTTAATGTAATTTGTTTGTGTGCAGTTTTCTTGTCTCATCCTCTTACTTTTAAAGGGACTACACTGAGGTTTAAAAGCCTAAAAACATAACATTTGAATTTCTTACATAAATGAGCACTAAACAGAAATATATGCAAAGATAGTTAAGAAATATACTTTGAAATGAATTGAAAATCATATTTTAATGCTTTTCTTAGCCCGAATTGAATGAAGTGTTTAAACACTTTTCAATTAAGGTCATTTTTTTTACAATATGAATAATTATTCTGGAAAAACGAAGTGAGCGAATGATCTGAAATTTTGCACAAAGATCAGTGGCAAATGGTAAATTTATCTGGAAAAAATATTTTCAGTCCCATCATGTCAAAAAACCTCAGTGCTTTAAGAATGAGTAACAAATTTGTTGTTGTTTTTGACTCAACTATACAAAGAAAAGGGAGACCCAGGCGTCTGCATCACACTTTGGTTAAGTTTTTGTGTGCAAGTTGGTATCTAAACTACTGAAGGGAATGGGTTGAAACTTCACACGCTTACTTGAAAGCATAATAGGAGGTCACTATCCAAGGCCTATAACATTAACATTGATTGTGACAGAAATTTGACTCTTTTTGATCTTAAATTATTCTACATTATCCAGTCTCTTGTTTATCTATGAAGCACTAAGAACAGCCGAACAGATTGTCCTACCAACAGCTCTTGTTCATCTACTAATGGGCCACTGTTGATTTTCATTATAAGTTGATTAAGTAGGAGTTACCTTTTCGAGATATTCTCATCATATCATAATGTTGTTTTATTTTGGTTTCAGGATCACTAAGGTGATGTTTATGAACAATGAGAGTAGTGATACTTTGTTAATTTGCTGTGGTAGCTCGTCTTACAGCAGTCTGGAGGTGTGGCAACTGCTGGAACAGATGCTTCCTCAACATAAAATGTTCTCCTTAAATACTGCACCATACAGTTCCATCAAAACTCACAAGTGGATGCATAAAGCTACAATACCCCACCCATCTCAAATAACCAGTATTGCCGGGCCGAAGTTACCGATGAGCCGCAACGTTGTGGAAACGTCCGGATTTCTTCCATACATTGCTATGACGTATAAAGATGGTACGCTACAACTGATTCACAGATACACGTTCCAGCCAATCTCGACGTCAAATTTAGACAGTATTTGTCAACCGGCTCAGTCATTTTCCCCGCAACATAGTAACAAAAAGATACACATGACACACCAGTTATCAGCGTTGACACAAACTGGAAGTGGGTGTGGTATATTTGGACTGCATGATGGACGCGTTTATTTGTTCAGCACGTATAATGGAAGTAGGGACAGTACAATGCAGTTGTCACCATCAAGTATTGTGCTCTTATTGGAGTATGCCATGGTTACTGGACAGGATTGGTGGGATGTCTTCCTAGCTGTCAGACAAGGTATACAATCAGTTATTTACTATTTTTGTCACACAGTTGCCGCTAGATAAATTCAACACAAATTTCCAGGGTGGATAATGGTACTTGGAACTGTAAATAGTGATTTCATTGATTAAATTAAAATATAACTTAAAAGAAATAGTTGACTTTTAAAAGCATTAATACATTTTGTAGTTTTACATATTGTGAATTTGTCTAGATTGTTACCTAGAATCCTATAGGATGTATTGCTATTTGTTTTAACCACTTGACTAAATTAGTATTCCATATTGTTAATTTTAGGAAATAATAGCAAATCCATGATAACAATTATGTGCCTGGCTGACCTGCACATTTGTACACTGACAAGATCTATTTTTGCTGTTTGATATAGTTAAATTATCTTCAATTCCAAACATTAACTTAGAAACACTGTTCTATAATATACCATTACCCTGCTAGTGGCAACAGATTCTGTCTATACCACAAGTGCAGACCAAGATGAGGTGCCTTATTTGTGTGCTGTCTTAACATGGCTAGCACTGGTCTCTGTTCAGTCAGTACAAAATTTGAAAATTTCCCCTAAAAATGAAAAATGGATTTGTCCAAATTGAAAGATTGGCAAGTAAAAATCAGTCCATTGGACAAAATAAACAAGGAAAGGGTAAAAATGTTATTTAATTTATTTACAGGTATGATAATGAGTATATGTCAGACATTGACAGATAATTTTGGGAAGCAGGTACATACAATGCAGGACTACGTGTTTATCAGATTACTCAGTATGAAGATGGGACTATACAGCTGTTACAGGTAAAACATCTTATTATACCCCTTAAAATTTTACCAATTCAATTGTAGTGTTTGAACCATGTGATGTTCCAATAGAAGTCATTGTTTCATTTTTATTTCCAGAGTAAAAAAGAATAGAACCTCAGTATCATTTTCGAAGTCCAAAATATCTTTATTAAATGCATATCATACTCCATCTAGCATTTATTTATTTTCTGGGCTAAAAAAAAAGGTCAAACAAATTTCTTAATGTACTTTAACAAAGTTCTGTTAAATGTAAAAAAAAAATTGGTGGAGTGAAATAAAGAGAACAATCATGGCCTTGTCCAATAAAGGTTTGGCAGCTGTGTACTTGTACTAGAATTCAGTATTGTACAAAACCTCAATTTATTATACCTGTACCTTTATCAGAAACTTGTCATGTTTTAATTATTACTTGCTGACACTTGCTGACCTTTTTGCTGAAGATCAGTGGTTCTAACAAAAAACTGTCGATACTTGTAATCATACAAAGATTGCATAAGAGGTCTTCCTCCATTAAAATTTGTTTTAAATGTTACTACATAAATTGACCAATTTAGATTTGACTTCAAACACAACTGTATAACGTCACAATGATGATTAGTGCAGTAATGGGTTAACACCTTATATAATTTAATAGGAGTTAACCCGCTACTGCACTTAGGTGGTGATAATTGTTATTAAGGTCAAATATGAATTTCAAGTTTCACAATACCTACATGCTATTCCTCTTACTGCATAACTTATTTTAAACTTTTTATGTCGAAATGGTTTTAATATTGAAATTTTATTTGGTGATAAATAAATGTACTCTAGAAGTATTGTTATATATTTTTACATTGTAGACACTTGATATATGTTGCTTTATACACCATCAGTTTATATTTGAATATGTTATGCACTTATTTACTATATTTGTGTAATTATTCAGCGCTGGGCATCAAAAAGCTGTAGATTACCATACACAGTTGGTGTTGTATTCCATTGGAAATTATATTAAATCCATATTGAAACCACGCAACATTACATCACAAGATAAAGTATGATTTCTCTTTTGTTTAAACATACAGTGTTTTTAAAGTTTTCTGTAAATATATTTCTACTGTTGTCCAATAAATACATACTTTTAAAGTTTTCTATTCACATATTTTCTACCATTTTCCTTTCCCAATATTTCTACCATTTAAAGTGAATTGGCCTATAATGGAAGGTATGTAAAACAATAAATAACTATGTTGATAGTATTAAGTATCAGATATAACATCAAACTACATGTACAAAAGATTATATATGGATGTTGCTGGCAAGTGTAATATACATGATCCGATGTTACATAATTATGTATATTTTATATAGCAGGTAGTGAAATGTTCTTGAACTATCAACATTTCTTTTCTAGCAATATTTATAAGAAAAAATATCCACATGATACATTTCTATCGTTTTTATCAATATTTGAAATACTTATTGAAAATCTGGTCATTGCAACCCAATCCACTTAAAAATCAGATATGTCTACCATTTTATACCAACATTCAAGTTTGTAATATTTTTAGCTCACCTGAACTTGCTCAGGGTGAGCTTTTAGGATCGGTGAATGTCCGTCGTACGTCGTCCGTCCACAATTGCTTGTGAACACTCTAGTGGTCGCATTTTTGCCTCAATCATCATCAAACTTGGTCAGGATGCTTATCTAGTTGAAAGCTCGGATGAGTTCGAATATGGGTCATCTCGGATGAAAAACTAGGTCACAAGAGCTAAAAATAGAAAAACCTTGTGAACACTCTAGAGGTCACATTTTTGACCCAATCATCATCAAACTTGGTCAGAATGTTTGTCTAGGTGATAGCTCGGATGAGTTCGAACATGGGTCATCTCGGATGAAAAAGTAGGTCACAGGAGCTATAAATAGAAAAACCTTGTGAACACTCTAGTGGTCACATTTTTAAACCGATCATCATCAAACTTGGTCAGAATGCTTGTCTAGTCAATTGCTTGGATGAGTTCGAATATGGGTCATCTCTGATGAAAAACTAGGTCACAGGAGCTAAAAATAGAAAAACCTTGTTAACACTCTAGTGGTCACATTTTTGACCCAATCATCATCAAACTTTGTCAGGATGCTTGTTTAGATAATAGCTCGGATGAGTTTGAATATGGGTCATCTCGGATGAAAAACTAGGTCACCGGAGCTATAAATAGAAAAACCTTGTTAACACTCTAGCTGTCACATTTTTGCATCAATCATCATCAAACTTGGTCAGGATGCTTATCTAGTTGATAGCTTGAATGAGTTTGAACATGGGTCATCTCGGATGAAAAAGTAGGTCACAGGAGCTATAAATAGAAAAACCTTGTGAACACTCTAGTGGTCACATTTTTGAACCAATCATCATCAAACTTGGTCAGAATGCTTGTCCAGTCAATTGCTTGGATGAGTTCCAACATGGGTCATCTCTGATGAAAAACTAGGTCACAGGAGCTAAAAATAGAAAAACCTTGTTAACACTCTAGTGGTCACAATTTTGACTCAATTGTCATCAAACTTGGTCAGGAAACTTGTCTAGGTCATTGCTGGGAATAAATCGAACATGGGACATCTCGGATGAAAAATTAGGTCACAGGAGCTAAAAATAGAAAAATCTTGTTAACACTCTTGTGGCTACTGTTGTGATCCAAATATTCTGTTAATTGGTCTGAAAGTTTGTTTTGATGATTTCTAAGTCAAGATCGAACATGGGTCATCTTGGATGAAAAACTAGGTCACACCGCCCAAATATGGAAAAACCTTGTTAACATTCTAGTGGTCACATTTTCAACTCAATTATCATCAAACTTGGTCAGGATGCTTGTCTAGGTAATTGCTTGGATGAGTTCGAAATCGCATGTGAAACTAGGTCACCGGAGCTAAAAATAGAAAAATTTTGTTAACACTCTAGTTGCTACTGTTTTGATCCAAGTATCCTGGAAATTGGTCTGAAAGTTTGTTTTGATGATTTCTAGGTCAAGTTTGAATATGTGTCACCTGGGTAAAAAACTAGGTCGCACTGCTCAAATATGGATAATCCTTGTTAACACTGTAGTGGTCACATTTTTGACTCACCTGTCTTGAGACTTGGTCAGAATGCTTGTCTAGGTAATTGTTTGGATGAGTTTGATAAGTCAGGTGAGCGATCTAGGGCCATCATGGCCCTCTTGTTCTTATACATATTGCTATGTTTTGCTTAACAATGTCCTTATACATATTTCTAATGTGTTGCCTTGTAGGTAAGGTATTTCTGTCTGAAGAAAATATTTTAAAATCTTGTTTCTTTATTATACTTGGCCACCCTAATTATTTTTTTAAATACACAGTTGTTATATATTTGTTTACTGTAGGGACCAGCAGAGAAAGTTGGGATATTGTGTAGTAAACATAATGATGGTGATATAGACATGGTATTGAGAAGTCTGGACAGTGAAGAATTTCATGTTGATGTCAAGAAGAAAGACAAGGCTGATGGTTGGTTATTTTCTTTAAAGGCACACATTTCTTCAGAAATGAATCATTTTTCTTCTTAAAAAAAAGGGGGTGGGGGGCAAACATGAGTTTTATAATGATTAAATTATGGTTTTAATGCATGTTAGATGCTTATCACCTGAAGAAAGTAGCACAGAATATTAAATTATTTGTTACAGTACAAAAGTAGCAAAATGTAAACAAAGTAATATTTTGACTTCCATACCAAGTGTACTATTTGCTAAAAACAAGAAATTTAAAAGAGGGTTTAGGTAATTGGCCAATGAACTATAACGGGACACCAAAAATGAAAAGCTTTCAGGAAATAAAAATATAAGCATTTTCATGGCATAATGGACCTTTAATTAAATCTTATGGACATTAGTCAAAGGATATTTGCTAAGTTATTCCTGCTATGAAACTGAGCAATAGTCATTGTTGTAACTAAGACAGGAATGCTTTTAACTGCCAACTTTTAACTGCTGAGTAACCTTATAAATATATACAGGTACTTTTGTTCTCATTAAGATTATTCTTGCTTTTTTGTAAAATATATGACTATCTACATGTATAATTTTAGGAAAAATAGATTTTCCTTTTCTAGAAAGATATTTATTAGGTCAAAGGAGCTGATATTGTTATTTTTAGTTTAACTATTTGAAAAAAGGGAGAGTTATTGTATTTACCTTTGCTATGGCATCACACTTTGGTAAAGTTTTTTGCATGTAAGTTGATGACTCTAAAAGTACTGAAAGGAATAAGTTGAAACTTCACACACTTATTTGAGAGCATAAGAGGAGTTCTTTGACCAATGCCCATAAATCTAACATGGATTTTGACAGAATTATTGCTCTTTTTGAATTTAAGAAATTCTACATTATTCAGACACTTGTTTTACTATGGAGTACTGAGAATTGTCAAGCACAGCTCTGGTTTATGAATTTTATATTAAACTTCAAAATGCAGTACAATGGTGATTGAATTTTTTTTCAGTGACCCTGCTAAGTATGCAGCCATTAATCCAATGGGTCTCAGACTTCAGTCTACAGTTGCTTAGTGCAGCACCGATGTTCCAGTCTTTCTCAAGCTTCACTGGATCATCTCTCCTCACAGACTCCACGGTTCTCCATCAGCTCCGAGAGCTTCTTGTCATCTTCAAAATGTGGGGCCAGATTTACCCGACTTGTCTCCCATCCTTTACAACAACATCAATAAATCTAGATATATTAAAACATTTGTATAAACTGTTAACTCGGGCGTGGAATTGTTGTAAAGAAGGTAGGAGTATAGAGTTTGATGATACGTTATTAGATGAATGCAGTGTGCTACCTAGCAAGGTCTTTATTCCCGGTCTGTCTCAGAGTTTTCGCATGGACAATATGGGCTTTACGGTTTTCACACAGACGTTACCGTTGGAGTTTCAATTTAATGAGGAACCGGATTATTTGTATCAGAAAAAGATAACAAAAACGCACAAAAGTATTGTAGATCAAACTTCGCACACTGATCAGCATCATGATATCGTCCGACAAATTCATCTGGGTACGAAAGTTTCCGGGGAGACGAGGAAATGTACGAGATGTGGCTGTTTGTCTCTGTTAAAAACTGTCGGTAAATCACAGACAATGATATCATGGGAACAGAGATGGACCAGAAATTGTCTGTGTATGGGACATTGGAAATTGGTTGCCCAGTGAATCATCAATGTGACTTGTTTAGGATTGATGATATACATAAAAGTACCGGAATGTGTTCTGTATTTCTATCGTAAATATATTGTGAAACAAACTTTTCGCTGATTCTTTGTGTTTCTTGTTTCATATTGGTACATATTGTTAATATACATGACAAAATTCTTGTATTTTAGCAAGTTTTACAAGTTATTAGATCTTAAAATTATTTATAATTTTCATAATTTTAGACTCAGTTGATTAACAACAGTTGATTATTGATAATATAGATGACTGATACATATATCTTCAGTTAATTAAAATACTTAGCATTAGAATTATATGATAATGTGATATTTTATTTACTGATCACTCACTTAAGAACAAATTAACTTTATCTCCATTTTTCCATTCTGTTAAAAATCAATTTTTTTTTTTAATTCTTTAGATAGGTCAAACATGTGTTTAATAATGTTTTCGTAATGGATCTATTAGGGCATGTTAGATATTAAACAAGTATCATAGTAATATGTTTAACATCATTCTAATTGTGAAAAATGACCCAAAATTGAATTGTTACAAAGCTTTTCACTCGAATCAGGCTAAGAATAGTGCAAAATACATTTTTTGATTTATTTCCTTTTGCAGTATCTTTTTACTTATTATCTTTAGCATATCTTTCTGTTTTAAAGGCCCAAGCTGATCTATGTAAGAAATTCAAAGTTAATGTTTTTAGACTTTTGAACCTGTGTGGAGTTCCTTTAAAATATTTGCTCTTTGTAGTTAATTGTAAAAAACAACACAAGACTAATTTATTAAATAACTGCTGTCATTTCTTTGATCTGGTCGGTATTAAATTTGCTGAGGAATATATTAAACTGTTTAGTGTTTGTAGCAGTAGGTTTCTATATACAAAATTTGAAGTCAATTTTCTACAATGAGAAGGTTCTTTGCGTGTTTGATACAGTGTAACTGTGTTAAGAATATCATTTAGTTTTGTGACAGCTTTAGTAATCATTTAAAACCATTTTATTTTACATTAATCAAGTAATTGTCATTTTACTTTTGGATTGATATATTCAAAATATAATTCTTACAAACAATAGCAGTTTGATAGTTTCATGCAATTCATGAGCACAACAGTCCGACTTGTTTTAACATAAATCACCCTGGAAGTCACATGTGTGATTGGATTTTCCTCAAACTTGGACATAATTTGACGACGATTTGTCTAATGATGTATTGAGCAAGCTCTAATATGGCTTATCTGTTATCAATACTAGGTCATTGGGTAAAATAAGCAGTAAGATTTTTGAAAATTAAAGTTAGCAGTTCATACCTAGGTGTAATAGGCATGTATTAGAGATTTTTACACAACAGAGAAGGACCTGATGGTGATTTTGGGCCTGCTAAATGAATAATGGCCCCCCGAGGGATATTGTATATTTTCAGCCAATTATTACTTTCAGGCGTGTCTCCACTGTGTATAAATATATTTTAGTACAATTGTTGTTAGATGCATTAGCAGCTCTAATTTTTAATAACTTGTATAAAATCCTATTTCTCAAACTAAGGCACAGAGTTACTTCCCTTTGTAGAAATAATCACTAAATAACTTCCGTTGTAATCATACAATCAAACCCTCTGTACTAAAAAATCCCATGTTCTCTAGCTTTTTGTCGATGTCTTCATGTGACCATTTTTGCACATGCTCGTGTTCAGCAGGTCAATTATATCAACCCTTGGCCACGAGCATGACACTCGTATCAGTTGAGATCATGGAAAACTTTGTTACCATCTATAGTAACAATTTTATCTTACTGAAATTAAAAATTTTGATTCCTAAAAAAATAACAAACACATATGACTAATTTATAAATTTACTTTAACATGAAATGACATCTATCTATGTATATGATTACATACAAAAATGAAGTGTTATACAAATAACTGTACATAATTTCTTAAAAATATGTTCTGAACACATAAAACACGTGAAACATTCAAACATTTACATCCAGAATTCAGTCACATGATTTTTGATACAGGATGATTAATACAATTTCATTTATTGTACATACTTAACCTTCACCTGCTGGAACTGGAAGAGATTAGCTTTTGCCACCAGTATAAAGCTAGGCCAGCCTTTACTTCTGAGCACTCTATGCTGGTGGTAGCTTTGATATTGAAAATGCCCTGAACATTTGAATGGACTGTTCCAAATTTGAAGCAGGGCAAATCCGGTACACAAATTCAGCAGGTTAAGGGCAAATCCACTTGAGCACCAGCAATTATTATGATGTATCATATACACAGGTGCACAGCCTAACCAGTCTATACTTAAGGGCAGTTCTGTATACAGGTGGCTGCTCCATTTCATTAATAGGTTAAATTATCCCATAAAGTATTATTATTATTGGGCAGTTTTAAGTTCATGAATACATAATTTTAAAGGGTTAATAGTTAAAGTTACCGAACCATTTTAGAGGGGTAATAATTAAAAGTACTGAACCATTTTAGAGGGGTAATGGTTAAAGGTACTGAAATATTTTAGAGGGATATTGGTTAAAGGTACTGAACCATTTTAGAGGGCTAATGGATATGTTTTTGAACATTTAGAGGGGTAAAATGGATATGTTTTGAACAGTTAGTGGATCAGTGATCAATCTATTGTATCAAATATTTTTCTAAGTAATAAACAACAAAATTCTAGCCATGACTAAATCTTTAAACACTGAACAGAGGCATTTAAAGCAAAAGAAACATTAAAAAACACAGAACATAATAAAGCCTAAAATAGACATAAAACAAACTAAGTCTTCATTTAAAGGCTAAAAACAAGTTGGTTTTTATACACTATACAGAATACTGAAGAACAACAAATAATGGTTTTATAGGTCACTACCAACCTGCAATAATTTCTCCCTTAACATACACAATAATATTTCCTTACACTGCAGGAACTGTTACCAATTTCTTGGTACAGGAAAATAGGAATACATGGTCCCATGTAAATGGTTTTTAAGTTTTAAGTTCAAAAATAAGCATTTGCAGAAAGTATCACATTTTGATTTGGAAAACTTCCTATTAATATAAGTAGGTGGCCGGGGCAACTTCCCCAGTAGAGGCAAGTACAAAGAAATGCCAAATTGTTTCACAAATTTTCATAGAGTTGTAGTAAAATTCTGCTTTTTCTATCACATAATATATATACTATGTTAATGATTTCTGAAATAACCTAATTCAAGTCATAAACAGGTCTGCAAGTTAAATGTTTTTTTTTTTCCAAGAAGAACAAAGTCATTAACTGCTTATATACAATTATGTATACTCATAGAATCTATTGCCATTTTACTTACTCGGAGGCTTTGACTTGATACATATATTTTCAAATCAACAATGTACAGCTGTTTATTCAAAATCTGCAAGTTGACTGCAGAAATTTAGAGAGGCAACAGTTCAGAAAATACAGTAATATTCTCTGATTATCATTTATTTGTAATTTTCTCTCTTACTGATAGGACTAAGAAGTGCAAAAAATTAATTCACAGCTCATTTTTCCTTGCCTGCAAGGGGTCACTAAACTTACCTATTAATACAGAATTAAAATGCAAGGTAAAACTTCTATAAAATGTTATAAAAAAATGTTGAAGAAAGTGTTGGGTTATGTAAAAATCAATTTTGATTTTTATACAAGTCTCTTTTTTTGCAAGTTCATTTCTGGACATTTATTTATTAATTCTGAGTAATTTCATACCTATTTACAAAACTTTAATTCTAGAAATTGATAACAGTCTTCTTTCTTTTTGTTCAAATGATTCTTACCTAAAACACATTTACAAAACATTATTTCTAGAAATTCATAACAGTTTTTTCTCTCCTTTTTTTTTTACAAATGATTTTTAAAGTCAGCTGCCCTAAATTTATCAAAACATTTTATGAACATATAAAATGAAATCACTGTAGCATAAACATAGATCTGTAGAGAGTTTAAATGCCAAATAAAAAACTAAAAACCTAACAGAAATTAATCAAATCTTTTTCTACTTTACTATTAAAAAAATGACATAACAGATCAATCACAATTAATCAATTGGTTGCTTCTATCTATAAAGTTAATTAGATTATAAATTTGTCAAAACCAAAACTGCTTGCTTATCAATATAAACATCACAATTAACCATGAAAATCATCATTACAAAATGCAGTATTAGAAAAAATTATTTCTAAAAAAATTGAATTCTAAAAAAATTATTTGATTAATTATATTTTTGTACATCATTCAATACTGGGATTGGCAGTTAGTTTCCTTGTTATTATTTCACTCATTCATTCATGTAGTGGTAGTTAAAAAATCCAGAAATCTTTCAAGATAAATAATGAGTCTAAGAGGAACACAAATGGCTGATATAGAGTAGAAAAAATAATCTTAAACCTGATCTTAAGTACTAACAACAATTACAACTATGCCTTTGCCACATGAATACAGCCATGCTAGTGATTGACGTCGACGAAGTATATTGGCATAAGAATAGCACAAGGCCAGCCTACACATTACTGCAGTGCTATATGGTCACAATAATGGAGCCAAACTAGAGATTGCACGTCCATGCAATGTATTGGCATAACAATAGCACAAGGCCAGCAATTACTGCAACCTGACAAAGTTCAAAAACTCATTTTTTCTTCTTCATATTTTAATACTGAAATCTATTTAACTAGTAATGGAAACTTCCAAGTTCCAAGCAGAACAAAGATGGCGACATCAATTCATTTAAGGTTAAGATGTAAAAGTAAACATAAATTTCACAATCATAACAATGGCTGACACAACGACAAAATGTGTTATGTTGATATATACAAACAATTTATCATGAGAGTTCTTATTTCTGTGGTCACAGGGATGATCCTTCTATAACAAAGGTTCTACATGAAACAAAATAGCCTGGGGTTTTACCACAGCCTTGAGGTATTCTTAACAAGCAGTTTCTAAAACAACAACTGTTTTATGGCTTGACATCTAACAGGGATTACACCTGCTCTAAAATTTCTCGAGGAAAGAAAATACTGGATATAATCGAAATATCGAATTTGGTGTAGAAAAGAAAACAAACTTCAATCGCATCTATATGAGATTGCTCAAGTGGTCAATCTAATAATGCCAAAATGTCATAAAGATTTTTTGTTACATTAGCAAATCTATAACCTTCAAAAGGTTCTTTGTTTGTTTTGTTGGATTTTAAGTCAAACTGACATGGAAAATGGTTTTTTTTGTGTGTGTGGTTTTTTTTTGGTTGGGGGGTTTATGTTGCACCATCAACTTTACCTTTGTAAGTAATAGATTTTAGTGCACATTGAAACATTAAAAATGAGGGAACATACATATGTGTCAATGGTTTTTCAAGGTTTGTATACACACCAGTCGTATGCTTTACAGAGACTCATATCATATCTCATTAAATATCACTAGGGGTCTTTCACATACATTACAAATGGTAACTTTAAATACAAAAAACGTCTTTAAGTACAAAAGTTTTTTTATAGAGCGTTTTTTTTGACATTAAGATTTATCACTAAAATAAAGGACTTGTATCCTACTAAAAATAGTCTAAACAATTCTGTATTTTAATGCTTAACAAATATAAACTTAAAATTTCTTAATCTAAAATAAAATTTCACTGAATTTCATTCCTTAATATTCTTCATAAAAGGCAAACATGCTTCAAATTTTTTTATATAATTGTGGCCATAATTTTCTTTTTGTTCTATATTCTTAAACAATAAGCAAGTATTCCTCAGAACAAAAAATGTTGGCAACATTATTCATACAATTGTTCATTAAACCATTGTGTTTTCCATACAATAATAATGACCACAGAGATTAATTAACAAGAGATGTATTGCATTCAAAATCCCACATCACTCATAATGTGTGATTAAATGTATAAATGCTAGACTTCAAAAAGTTCCAGTCACAAGAATTTGTTCAACATGCAAGGTACTCCTAAATTACTGCAAATACTTCATCTGTACATCTCTATGAGCTTTCAAGATGACTTCCTACATTAGAAGATCGTTTGAGACCAAAATCATACATGCCACAGTTGAATACAAGTTTTTATTCCACTATTCAACAGTGAAACAAATCTGTCAAGTACAGAAAAACCACAACTGGCCAGCCGTAGATGTCACCCATTGGCCTTCTTCGTACTAGCAGTTTTATTTCGTTTTTTGTTTTTATATGAACCCTGATTTAAACCTTTTCTTTATCCGATCTCATACTGGAGTCTGTACGTTCGTTCTGCAACTCATTTTAAAACCATCTACAGACACTTTCCAACTATTTTAAAACTTGTAAAGTTATTTTCACCATAAACAGTATATTGTCACTACTCAGTTACTAGCTGCCCTGAACACGGCTGAAATGTCACTCTCTCCATATCCTAACCGTCTTGCCTTCTTATATAACTGAAAAAAAACGTTACAAGCAAAGTTACTAATACCATATTCACGTCTCAAGCCAATTCATTTCATCTTTTCATTATACAAGCCCATTATTGAGAAGATTTTATGAGTTACTTGTATTTATAATTTAATGTACATTTATTGGTAGTCATGACAAAAAGTCTGCATTTTGACATAAAAGTGAAGGTCAAATTGGCTGGCTCAAGACAAGATTTAAACAAACTTTGTGGAGATCCAAAAAATAATGCTTATGCACAATATTTAAGAAAGATCCAAGCCTTGCAGTTCTGAAGGAGATTTTTTAGTTTCCCCAATATATAACTATATAAGACTATGTACCATGGATGGGGCCAATTTTACTACAGAGGCCATGATTCAAAGAAACTTGGTAGAGGCACACTAGGTAATACCTAATGCCTCTTTACTGTTGGTAACTCAATTGTTTTTGTGTTTGGTTTTATGTCACACCAACACAGTGTAAATCATATGAAAGCTTTCTGGCTTTACCAGTGAATAAAACCTCAGGTGTCTCCCAGTGCAATATTTCTAGCATGAGCTAACACCAGAGTAGAACCACCGACGTTTCACTTATTTTTTGGGGGGTAAAATTTCTATTTTTAAATCCGTTTAACTGTTAATGCACTGTTCCAAAACTCAAATCTCCGTAAATCCATTGCACATATTCAGAAATTTATGGGATTATTAAGTGTAACATGCGATAGAGACATCAATAAATGGGTTACCTCGTTGGCTGCTGCAGCAATATATAGTGGTTGCTCGACTTTGTCTCCTAACTGTAACGCTAATCTGAGATCTTTCTGCTGATGTTGTAATGGAAAATGTGGGTCATATTTCTGGTTTAATATTGCTGTAGGAAAAAACACAAATGCAAAACAATAATACATGCAAAATCAATATTTAAAAGAATATTCGACACTTTATTAATAGTTTATTCCATATCAGTTTATCATTTTTGTATCACTTTTCCATGTTGGAAATTTTACGCTAACAATATTGAAAATCACAAACTTTAATCAGATTCTTCATGAAGAGAATAAAAACAGTTCATTTACTTAAACTCAAATGTTACATCTCTGACAAAAACTCTTGGAAAGAAAGGTGCAAAATAACTTCCGAATTTGTTTCACTTAAAATGTTTCTTTTATCATATTCTAACAACACGCCAAGTTGTAAGAAATTCTATTGAACAGTTTTAATTTTGCCTATAATGTCTATATGAAAACTTCGGAAAATATCCTTAGTAGGAGTTAACCTGTAACTGTATTAAGAAGACAATATATCTAAAATAAAAAGATGTAATCTCACATTTTCATTTTTTTATAGGAAAAAAATGTATTTTCGTCGAGACTCATTAACTTACCTTGACTTTTATGTACTATGGTTGGACAACATAATGAGCCGAGACTTAGGACCTCTGCCACATCTTCAAGGTCAAGGCCAACCTTTTCAGCCATGGCCATACCTTCAGATAAACTGGCTACAACAGAACCCATCACCATGTTTATAATCAGCTTCATTCTGGTAGCTGCCCCAGGATCAGATCCTACAATGACATCCATAATATTGTAAGTGTACAATTTATATAAAAAATCAAAATTTCCCACATGTATTGATAACAGTAGGTTACTTAACTCATGAAACAGAACATCTATCTTAAATTGTTGGATCCAACAAGTTGCCCTAATTCTACCATCAATGATGACTTGCCTATTAGTAAGGCAATTCTATTATTCTACAATTCAGTCATAGTAAACTTAAAACTGTTGACTGCTTAATTGCAACACTTTTTTATATCTAAGTTTAAATCAAGGCAATGTCACTACCGGTACACTAATTTAGTATGGTAAAGGTTAACCCTTAACTTCTTGGAAACAAAAATGATTAACCTTTGCCACCAGTAAAGAACCAGGCAAACCTGTAGATCCATGCATTCTGACCAGGCTCTATACTGTTAGTAACTCAATTTTTGTTATCAAAATATCTTAAACTCTGCATACACAGTTCCTTCCATAGAAATAGAAAAAAAAACCTCTATTGGCACTCGCAAAAGGCCAGCATCACTTTTAGTTGAACATCTCAAGAAGTGGTATTTTACAGAATTTCTAATTTCTTAGAAAACTTCTAGTGACAGTTGAACTGCTATATCTACCTAAAGGTCATAAAACATCTGACTGATTGTGTAAGTATGATAAAATCTAGCTAATTAGATAGCTCTACATTTCTCTATTAATGTCTCTTCAAAAACCATTGACAGGAACCATTGAAAAACATTTCGCTGTGTATAAACAGCCTTTTCAATGTATAAATGTCATGCATACATTATGCAACACCTTACAAATCAATAACATACCCAAGTATAATGATTTTTTGCCTATGGCCTCAAAACATGAGAAACAGTCATCAAATAGTTTCCTATCGCCGGATGCCAGTATAGTGAGCTGCCCTTCTAGAGCTGGTACCCTGCTGCCAACAACTGGTGCTTCCAAATACACACCCCCTCGTGCCTGTATTGCCTAGATAATGAAAGTTATAAAATTAGCATTCTTTATTGCAGTGACAAAATATGTTAACATCTTCTATTCTATCATCATATGTTACATCATATGTGTTAAGGTCTCCGACTTCAAACCACTTGACTCTCACTATTTTCTATCTAAATCCTGCAAGGGCTTTGGATTCTTTCATGCAGTTATCCAGCTAGCTAAAGGTGGTCCTACTCAGGTGACACTTCAACCTGAAATAATACAGAGGGGACCTGAGGTTGTCCTCCCCTAGTAAAGCTAGAAAGTTGCCATATGACTGTTAAAATGTTGGCACAACCAGAACAAACAAACAATTCTTCATCTAAATTGTAGAACTTTCATTTCAGTGCCAAAACTATCATAACTAAATCTTATATTTTACATAATAGTTCTGGGTCTATATTATTGGCAGGCACTGGTCTAAATCTAAATCAATGGCAGGCATAACTCTTGATCTAAGTACATGACAGGTATAGCTCTGGATCTATACTAATGGCATTTATAAATGTGGATCTAAACATGCCATGTAGTGTATTACTCTGCATCTATAGTAATGGGCACTTTTCATTCTGGAATTATAGTAATGGCACTTTTTTTCTGGATCTATCTAATAATTGCTCCAAATTCAAACAGGACATTTTCATTACACAAATTCATCAGTGTATGTAGTAAGAAAAATACGGAATACAAACCTCTGCCACATCCTGTACAGTTTCCTCGTCTATCGTTGACATTTCTACAAAACATTTACCTGAGGCTATACCCCGCAATACTCCCTGACTACCAAACACTATCTGTAAACAGAGAAAATATACAAGACTTTATATCATGAAATGTTGGGAAAAAAAAGCTGCTGCTTCTCAACAAACAAGTAATGACTCCTGCATATTTCAAAGTATGAAATAAAGATGAAGCTGAACTCTGCTACAAGATTTCAGCTCAAATACATGAAAATATAGCACACCATTACAGTCATATACTAATAAAAGAATTATTTTTAAATAAGTATTAAATCAATCATTAATGAAATCTTTTTCCTCCTACATGTATTTACAAAACAGGAGACTGTCAATTTACATTTAAAGCAAACAGCAATGAAAAAGTTTAAAATTGTCTTAAAAACATGAAATTATATACTACAACCAGAAAACACTTCATTATGCTCATGTATAGCATAAAATCACCATCACATGCCAAAATACACTGATTAAACTTCATGCACTTCTCACCATAGAGATAATAAGAGGAATATTTCTTTGAAACATGTAATTATCTGGTAGCCACTATAGCAGAATTAAGCCAATTTCTTGGCAATGATTCTGTGCTCAGAACTGCAATGATGTCATTAAGCTTGCCATATAATTGAGTTCGTGTTTCACCCTTAAGTTACTGGTATAATTGTCATTTCTTGTTCTTAAAGGTGACTGCTCCAATCTTGGTAAATAACATATTTTTGTAGGCTTTAAAAAAAATCACAGTAACTTAAGAGTCATATTACAATTTTGCAAAGCTTAATGGTGGAGAAAGACCTGATTATCTATTTGTGCATAATGTCAAGCACAAGCAAGCAAGAGCAACTGTAAACTTGCTGGATAGCCTCCTAGTTTTAAAAGGGGACTTAAAAGGTCAGTATTTATAATGTATTGCATAAAAAAGGGAAGAAAATGTGTAAGTGGGTCTGGTTGCTCAGTAAATAAAGTTGTAACATCTTATCCTAGGATCAAGACTTTAAACACTGGTCAGGATGCACATTGTTTTCACCCTGTGTCATAAATACCACACTATATAGACCCTGTCAAACTTAAAACTGTCACAATCTTGTCACATTCTTACATTGAAATACGCCACTATATGTCTATAGTTCTTCAGCTTTTGTTTGTTTAGTTCTGATTTTTTTTACACATTTCTACACATTTTTGGTCATTCCTCAATATTTGTTCCATCTTAACTGGATTCTGAATCGGTGGTGAAAAAAAACCCCAAATGACCATGAGACAGGGCATAGTGTGACTGGGTGTCCAAGATCACTTCTCACTGTGAAATGTCACCTCACCCAAGGATTGAACCAGTGACCCCCTAGTTAACAGATCTAACGCTCTCCCTATTGCCCTAAGCAAGCTTCAGGAAAACTGCACTTTAGACCATAAACCTATTTAACTCAAAACAGCATTGGCATTTTTAAAATTGGTATTTCTACAATACTAAAGAAGACAAACAATCAAATATGAAAACACAAAAAGAATTTCCCCCAATATCAATGCAACATCCTTTTTGTATCAATTTATTGCATTACTTCCATGATTCTTATTCTTCTCACAAAAATGTGATGATTTTTTATGATGAAGATCAATTAAATGAAGCTATCTGTTTCCAATAGTTACTATCACTCACAGATCACATTTTCCTATAGAAGCAATCACTATAGTAACATTTACCATGTTATTTATATAATTCCATCTGGGGCTTGATTAATTTTTATTGAATATAAAATAGATCACTCAGGGCATTTTTTAATCCACCTACAGACATAAGCAACTTAAGACTTATTCTACTGTTTTTTATGGTAATGTTTTACAGTAAGAATAAAACATGTATGACATATTCAGTGATTCTCAAAGATACAGTATATCTTTTTTTTGAATTTCTTAAAACTATCAGTACCCTTTTTTGAATTTCTTAAACTATCAGTACCCTTTCAAGCACTTTGATAAGAACCAGTTACATTGTATTTTCAAATTCGACCCCCAGTTTTCAACACAACCAAAATATGCACCGTCTTAACTGATATCCATGAAAGGCCAGGGGCATCTAGCTTTCAAGTTAACAATCAGAACTTGTTGATCATGAATATTTTAGAAACAGTATTAATCTTCATAAAAACACTCAGAAGATCTTTCCTCCTTAAAGTTGACTACAAAACATATTTAACTGACTCACTTTAGGTGGCTGAAAACCCTAGATGCCAGTCCTAGTATTATTTCAGCAAAATGCAGGTACAAAGGTAGCTTTAAGATCTATAACCCTATTAGAGAAGCTAGATGACTTTTCCACATAAAAGATTTCAATGACAGGAAGCTTTTATAAACTAGGAGCTTTTCACAACTTGAAACAGATGTGTCACCAATACTGTGATGTTATATTGATAGTTATGAAACAAAATACTTACATCTTTTACAGCAGTAGTGTCTGCAACACAACAAAATGTGATATCACACTGTTGAACAACCTCACACGGGGAACTACCCTTTAAAGCACCTGCTTTTACAAAGTCTCGGCACTGAAAACAGAAAAAGACAGATCATTATTATGACGTCATTTTTCAGGTCAATTTTTAAATCATATTAAGTCATATAAATAGCAGGTGCCCCTTAAATAAGTATTTCTGGCTTAAGGTTTAATCCAATCCCTCAAACTAATTCAATCCTGTATAAGTTAGCTTGATCAGGAATCCCGTACTTGTTAAAGGCAACAAGTCTACATGGTTGTGTGAACTAGCAACAGTGTCAGGGCCAAATAATATAAAAGTCTGTGACTATAACCATTCCACCATGGATGTTCCGCGAAACCATTCCACCATGGATGTTTCCCTACCATTTAACCATGGATGTTCCAAAAAAATCATTCCACCATGAACGTTCCAAAAAATCATTCTGCCATGGATGTTCCAGGTGAAAAAAAATTATGACATGGATTTTCTGCAAACTATTCTATTCAGCCATGGATGTTTCATAATACTAGTTCACCTTGGATGTTCCAAAAACAAACAGAAGGCTTCTGTTTCATTTCTAACATTTGCTGTTGCCTAAGCCATTGATTCAATCTATAAACAGTAACCATTTATAGACCTTAACAACTATTTTTAACACCTTTATTTCAGAATGCTATATTAGTCCAAGAATATGGAAATGTGTTGCTTCTTTTAGACTGCCAGGAGCCAGAAGAACAGAATCTGTCTGTAAAGGTCAATGTTTCCTTTTACTCTTTGACAAATTTGTACTTAATAACATTTTTTTCGCATGTAAAAAATCTTTTTGATCATTTTGATAAAACACTGTGAAACAATCATACATGCAATTTTAAGCTTTGTTCAGAAACTAAAAAGTCACAAATTTTGAGGACATTTTCAAGGGGAATGAAAAAGCACACATTTTTTAGTATCAAATAAAGAAAAGAAATAATGAAAGTTATGTTATTTTACAAAATATCAAATCTCACATCAGTCATGAAATGGATAATAGCATACACTGATACAGGTTACAGAGCAATAGCTGGGATGCACTTTAAGTGCACATGTACACATATAACTTAAAATCCATATCATTGCCTCATTGCACAGAACATTCAGTTTGACAAGTTAAAGATAAGATAGCAAATGCTAATGAAGGGTAAATCCTGGATGCTTTGTTATAAGGTCTATAATACCACTATATCACATTTTTGAAATCAATATAAAATGTTTTTTGTCAGGTAGTAACCCGTAGCAACTGAATATTTGAAAGGGAGAAAATTTACTTTATCACTAAAATGACTAGAGAGTTAATATCATATAAACATCACCAGGTCTTGCTAAATCAAAGTACTTAATTATCAAGTCAGTCCACGGCACCTCAACATGATAAAATGCAGGTCTCTCAGGGTCTTCATTATAAATAGATTGGTGATCCATATCATTGATCGAAATGCTGTTAAAATCAGTTGTATTTTCAGCCTGAAGATTAAAATACCCCCATGACCCTTGGCCAAATGGCAAATAAAAATGAAAACCCTGTCTCTAAGGGCTGATGAAGGTGGGGAAAAAAATCAATGAACAGTTATGTCACAATTAAAACGTAATTTTCACCAATCAAGATTATTCTTTAACCAACCATATATTGGGGCTAGAATTTAAAGTTTGTCACTAATCCAGTATGCATACGTGAGTTTATGCAAGTAAATACTTTAAACAACAGTGTTAATGTAATATTATCTGATTCATTTTCACAATATTGCCCATTTAAATCTGTTACAGCATACTTTTATCATCTCTTCACTGGAAAATGTAAACACTTTAAATATTAATAGAAATGTCCTATTTTGAAATTGTCTATTAATGTTTTCAAGGATTTCTAAATAGGCATCTGTAGCATGAACCCATTATCAGACTAAATATTGATATAACATAGCTAGAGTCTGTCCTGGTGACCTAGGTTTGTGATCATCTCAGCAGCTAGCAATTGATGAATTCCTGCACTTGGTTAAGTATCATTTATTTGCTAAATTAACGCACTTGACAAAGTAAACTTTACTTTTAACATTCATATGAGAGTGAGCAAACAAAATGAGACATTTTTTATTATAACTTTTGAAAAATGACCGAAAAGGCATGTAAACACTGTGAATATATTGACTTCAAAATTTTAATGTTTACAACTTTACACTATCACTAACACACGCTTTGTTTTTAAGCAATGCAGGACACAAATGATAACAAGACTGTCCTCATGACTTTGCATAAAAAATTTTAAGGATTATCTGCCCTTTTGAAATGTCATCCTCTAATGACAAAAAACAAGTACACCAAGTTTGAAGTGAATAGTTTTAATAGTTTCTGAGAAATGGTTAAGCAATCAGAGGGTCAACTTTTTTTTTCGGAAAGTGGAGCTAAAAATACAATCTTCCATAATCAAGCTGGATGGTTTTGCATACATAATTTCAACATCCCTAGCTACCAAAAATTCAAATCCTATACTGGAAGCATCATATAATCATACATGCACCAGAGTAGATGATAGACCAAACTTCATAACTAAAATCATTGTTTTAAAATGATCTAAAATAATTGGGTGTGGAATATTCAATATGTCTATACATTATATATGATATAGAGACATATGAGCCGCGTCATGACAAAACCAACATAGTGCGTCTGCGACCAGCATGGATCCAGACCAGCCTGCGCATCCGCGCAGTCTGATCAGGATCCATGCTGTTTGCGGATGCGCAGGCTGGTCTGGATCCATGCTGGTCGCAAACGCATTACGTTGGTTTTGTCATGACGCGGCTCATATGGTCATATGATATTCATGATACACAATACTCTTTTTTACCTGATAATGCTTAAATACAACAATAACTAATTACCTAGGCAACCGTTTCTAGGCTCTTCAAATATCACTAGCGAACATCAATAATTCACATAAATGAAAAGATAATCACATGTAAAATAATAGCTATTTTTACTACCTGACACAGCAACTTTTGAAAAGAGGAAAAATTTGTTTGTCTGTTTGTTTGTTTCATTTTACGCTTTTTCCCAACAGTGTTTCAGTCATATAGGCGGTTGGTTTCCCAACCATCATTCCTGGAGAGTAATACACCAGTACTAGACTACCTTCCTCTGAGATAAACTACCAAAGCATCTCCCGAGGATCGAAACCCTCAGCAAGATATCAATGAAATTAAAAATATACATTATGTGGAAATCACCGGACAAAGTTATAGAGAACCCATGCAAGAAAAATAACATATTATAAGGAAAGGTATAGCATTTAAAACGGCCCCCTACTTGCAGCAACAATGAGATAAATTCAATCTTGATACTGCAAGGACTTGAATCAATGAAGAATTACAAGGAAACTTTTTACAACTGAACCTCATGCCTCCTTTTTAAATATTTTGAAACAGAAATCTCTAAAACTCAGGAAAGATGTCTAAAAATCAAAAGCAAGGCATGTCCATTATATACAAACTCTGCATATTAAATACAAACTCTGCATATTAACTGGGTTAATGACTCCCCTATTGGTTGGCATAATGGATGTACACAGTAAATAAAATTAACTCAAGATTAATAAATAATGAAAATGGGCTCTAGGCATAGTGTTATTATTCCCTTAAGACTTTTTCTATCACCTATTCAGTCAATGTAGACATTAATTCTATTAATTCATACATAAGATGAACCCAAAATGAACAAGCTGCCAACTTGCTTCTTTCACAAGAGTCTGCAGTCAGTGACACACATATTTCATGTTTCTAAGGCATTGAAAGATGCAATGTTATCACTTATTTCTCCAAACTTTACTAACTACAACACATGGCCGGTTACATTTTATCAGCAAACTATCCAATAATCTATACATTCCCCCCCCTCTTGCCATGCCGGATATCACTCCTATACAAACTTATTGGAAACCAATATAACCTCTGTCAGCCTCACGTCTGTAGAGAGAGGTACAAGTCACATGACCTGAATCAGCCAATCGGCAAACAGAACCTGATTAAAAGCAGCCACTGTGTTCATAAAGAGAAAGCTGATATATACAAGTTAAATACATACGGCAAGATTTAGGTTAATGCAGTATATCAAGAGTATAACTACGGATATTGTACATCATTAACAAAGGAACATGTGTTTATAACATGTAGAACAGTGTTAAATATACAAAGATGTCCGTGTAAATTGACATTTTTCATGTAAAGTTTTGGTGTATGCTTTATTACATGTAATGGAAAGAAATGGAAAGGTTGACTCGAAGTAAGTGACTTTTTTTTCTTATTATTATCACATCATGTGCCACATGTAAATCGTTCTACAATAACGTGCCAGGATATGCCAGGTATGAAATCTATATTGTAATGAATGGAAACCTGTGCAAGATTAATGTCACTGCCACTGGTAAAAAAGTAAACAGGTGTCAGAAAATATATGCTGTACAGGAATAAGCCACTGGAATTTATCACCTGGGGTGCTTTTTATGAAGATCTGTCTTTACTTTATACTTTACAGTAACTTACAATAACAAATACATAAACAGTGAGCAATAAACATATAAGCATTACCTAACCGCTAAGCCGTGTCTATTTCCATCATCAGGAATTAATAAAGAACGTGACTCAAGGTCAAGTAACTTTACTATAAATGTATTATCCCGAAACCTAATAAAAATTTTTTAACAGACTTAAATTGATAAGCCACTGTAACTTTATGCAGGTAATTAAATTATCAATTTTATTTGTGATCAAGATAAAAATATGAAGATTGGAGTCTGGTGTGACAGCTAACCTGGCATTATACAGGTGTTAACAGTTCAAAAGTGCTATGGTTTATGTACAGATTCTCACTCAAGACCTCAGATGTTCAAAGCAAGACTCAAACTAGTAACCAATGAGAGTAAAACTATCATTAATATATGCAGGCAATTTGACTGAAATCATATCAATTTAAAAACACATACCATTACAAAACAACCTGTAATTTCAACAGTTCAAAACTTTTCAAAGTACAATATATGCCAGTCAAAGTCATTTACTAATTTTACAAATTCTATATTATCTCTAAATCATAATGATAAATACAAAATCAAGAAGCTTCCAGACCAGAAAATTGTTCAGACTGTTGAGCAAAATGATGGGAAACATACATTTTCAATGTTTTTTTGCACTGTGTCCTTTATGTCACATTATACTTACAATTTAAAACAATTTACATAACACAATGGTTTTGATTGATCCAAACCTGCTTCTGTTACCACACATTTGTCATTTTATATGTACGTGCTGGTAATTAAACCTCTATTTTCTCCTTCCAGTGAGCTATATATGAATAAATTATTTATAATTAAGTGTCTATATTCATCATATCACATGTATGTGTATATAAATACACTATATATTAATGAAACTTTACATTCTTACTTGAATATGTACATGTATATAAGCATAACATTTATGTAGAATACCATATTTCAACTTGGATTAAAATTTAACATATTTGGCAGATTCTAAGTTTTTGATTTTATTCCAAACTTTATTGCATTGCTAACACATTGTAGCAAATATCTGGCTATAAGACAAATTTCAAATGTCACTGTACTATTAATTCACGCCACTTGGAACACAACTAGTTTCAGAAGAACAAGAGCTGTTCATAAGCCAGCGTGCTTGACTATTCTCAACACTCCACAGTAAGAAATGGGGTATAACTCTGTAGAAAGGTAACTCAGGGTTATGAGACATGTACCCAAAATGTTTTAATCAGATTGACCAAGCGTAACAAGTTTCTACTATTTTCTTCAATAATTTTGGAGAAGCAAAAGCTTAACTAAAATGTGACTGTGATGCTCAAATGTGGTCAGTTTGAGTATAAATATAGCTCTCCCTTAATCTTCAAATAATCGAGCTAAACAAGGTATCTGAAATCAAACTCTTCAGACTTCCTCTAAACTTGACCAGCAGTACATCAAATGTAAACAGGAGATTAACACATTCTCACTTCATCCTATTATTTTCTCCATCTCAATTGAATACAGGAAACATCTTGGTAATTTATTAACTTAGTAATGAATCTATTTCTCTTATGAAGTACTTGACTTTCATATTACACAAGTGACACCAGTATTTAAGCTGTGAAGTATGTCAAGAGTTAAACATTCAATGGCTTACATTCAAACATATAGACAGACAAAGAACAATCAGTCCCCGAAAACTCTGAATGCACTTAAGTTAACTCTGTGTGCTTGAACTGGTCAATGGGATTATGAATTCAGCTTCTAAATTTCTTTTAACCAATCAATTTACAAATAAATTATGTAAACATTACAAACCATCCTCTCCTATTGAACAGGATAGAAATTATTTATACAAAATATTGGAAATCAAGGTTACAGATCCCTGTGGAATTCAATCTAAATAATATACCACATAAAACTAATTTATAGCCTTATGTATAATATATGAGATTATTTATCTAATAACAGAACTTATTCTGAGTTATATGCTTCTAAAATGTGAGTAGTTAAGAATGATTATAAATCATAAGGAAATGGACCTATGATTTAATAAGATTTATTGTTCTGTAACTGTAAACTGCAATTTCTAAGATTATTAATCCCTATGGATCATGATTTCTAAGGTTAAATGTCATTTTATGGGTTATAATTTCAGACTTTTAAGACCCCTATGACCTATTATTTGTTAGGTTATAGAACCCTATAGATTGTTATTTCTAAAATTAACCCTAAGAATTGATTACAATTTCAAGGTTATGGAACCCTATAGACTATTTATTAGGTTACAAAACCCTATAGATTTAAACTTTCAAGACACCAGTTTCCAAGGTTTATTTAAAACCCTATGAGTCTGAAGCTCTCAGACTACAAGATCACAATCAAATATTGCATTTCTCATAATTACTGGTATATACCTCTTGAAAGTAACACAGTCTAAGGTATACTAGCCAAGCTTCCTTTCCATTATTTAAGACAACACTGACTGACATATTTTTTTCATAAAAGTTGGCAAAATAAAAACTGACAAAGAAAAATGAAATAACCACTGGGAAGTTAATAAATCATTTCATGGTCACTTTTGGGTCTTAAACCATTAAACTATATATTCAACAGAGACCTTTCTTGTGACAACTGTCTAAAGAAGTTACACATCTCGTCACATCAGATTAATTCTGTTTAATTAGGCTAATGTGCTTGTCATAATGAAAATTTTATTCCCCCATTTAACACTAACATTGGGAGTCAGCTGATGTTTATGGGGTCCTATTTTCACATTTACCTATGTATTCAACTATAATAACTGCATATCAAAACAGTGGCACAGGAGCATCTTATAGGCTGATAACCTAGTTTTGAACTGTGATAAACACTTGTTTATAACCACTACACTCATTTACAATTTCAATTAAGGAGTGAAATTATTAAGTTTATATGGTATTTAGGACTTGGCTATATTCGACTATTCAGCTACAACTTGACAACATATTAAGGTAAGAGATTAAGGGTTTCTTCTCTATTCTTGATAGCAAAAGAAGCAAGGCTTCTTCTGGCAGTTCTGAGTAATAATTTGAAGTCTAATTAACGAGATGTTTTAATTAATTGTAATCAGTTAACAGCAATGTTGTCTGAACATATTTTGAATTACTTCAAAATTTTACTTCAAATGCGTGCCTGTGCAATGTTTTTTTTAACTCTTAGCTTGATGATGGCAATTAATGCTACCCATGTAACCAGTGCAGACCAAGATCAACAAAAACCAAACTTCAAATATACATTTATTGCCAAACAGGCTGTAATTCTGACTTTTTGAAAAATCAAAATCATCTTTTACTAACTGTAATTTTCTCCTTGATTGTGTCAAACTAAAATCCTAACAACTGGCATCAAATATTCCATCACTAACATATAAAATGTCAAAATAATGCTGCTAAAAGTTTTGATTAGAAAATGTGTCCTCCAAAGTGATTCTTCTACTTAAATCAAGCAAACCTTTTCTACAAAATGTTGTCCTTTGGGTTCAATATAATGAGAGGAAATGACTGCTGCTCAATTCTGCGGGTGTAGGAAGCAATGTGTGTATCTCTAACTTTAGCAGCTATTGATTTACAACTTTCTCCCTATATTTTTTCTCCTACTATTTTCACAGTTCTTTTTCTCTTCCATTTTCTCTTCCATTTAGTGAGACAGTATGATAAAAGGTCAAATAAAAATATTCTGCCAATATTCATAAGAATGTTTCAATAAAAAAAATGGCATTCTTGTTATGGAAACATCGTGTGGAAAATAAACAGTTGTTTGGGTTAAATTTCAATCTTTTACTAAAAATTTTCACATTTTATGTTTTTAGACTTTTTATTTGGACCTCCGTGGAGCTTCTTTAAGTTTAATGTGTGGCTGAACAAAATAATTCATCTCATGTTCCTTTGAAAGTTAATCGCTAAATACAGCAAATAATTCACACACAAATTTTAAATTGCAAATTTTCAACTGCACTTAATTAAATACCAATCACAATGCAGCAGGGGAATCGAGCAAAAGATTAGGAATGTACCCAAATCAAATTAAATCAAATTACCGCCAAGATTAAATGCACAACAATGTTGCTGATTACACTACAACACAACAAACAGTCTTACATCAAGTGCTATGTTTGGAAAATTGTGCTGATGCAGCAAATTTCTCTTTAAAACTGCTGGCATCCATTCCAACATGAAAATATTGCATTAAGTGAAAACAAAACCCATTAGCAGATTTTTTTTTAAATACTCCTGATAATTATAAAGAAAAACACATGTAATTATATGCAGCTTATTAAGATTAATGTTGCTATAAAATTCTAAATATAGCTTAATCAGCATTAGATACAACAGAGAAAGAGCTGTGTCAGGGGTACAATTAAGAGAACATTAACAAAGCAGTCAATAGAGACAGCCCTCTGGAGTTTAATGTTTCATGAACATTTCTAGCCTTAAATTTTAATGCCTGAAGCTTGTAAATCAAACATTATATAAAAGATTCCCCTTCCCTGTTTAATGTGACAATGTCCATGATTATAATCTATATCAAGACTTTTACAAGATCGCGCGCGACAGATTTAACATAGTCCTTAATATAAAGACATACTTACTTTTAACCCTATGTTAGAGCAAGGTGAACTTAAAAATATGTGAATAAGATATAAAGATATATGTATGTGAGAACACAGTTATCTATGTGTACATCTGTCTGTAGAGATATGCCTTAATAGGTAGGTCAGACTTGTGTACTGAGACTATTGTACTGATGATAATGATAACAGGCACCTGATAATAGGATAACAAGAGGGTTGTCATCCTACAGCAACTTCATCTTACTGACATAATGCCTCAAGGAATACAACATCATTGTTATAAACTTCACATGGCCTATATTTCGCCGTATATTTCTTTATTTTTTTTGTCTGTTGATGGCTAAGTCACGGCTAGCACTCCATACTTAACTTGCATGCCTTACATGCATTTTTGCCTGCTCTTGTTTTTTATAGATTAAATGCACATTTTTGTTTTTCTCTCCATGAAATTCTGCTTCACAATACAGTGTCACACAGCTTTCCACTAGATCAAATCTGGTTACTTAAACTTACATGTAAATTCTGTTAAAAACAGTTTAAAAACCAGAAAAGCAAAATCAATAAACATAGAGAATGACCAAGCTTCTTTCCACCCTTACTAATGACAATATACTGGAGCAAACAAAGGGACAAGGTATCACTTGATTTTGTTTAAATTATATTCCATGCTTAGAAAGACTGAAAAGCAGCCGAAAAAAATTAATGCTTTATCATATAATCTCTTAGACTTTTTGTCTTTCTTAAGTATAATTTATGATGAATTGTTTTTCAAAGTAAAAGCAACACTGTTTAACATAAACAACACTCACTTAAATACAATTCACACCAGGGCGTAAATTATACTACATATGGTAAAAGGCACACTTATTACACTAATTATTTACAGATAATGCAATAAATGGCTGATAAATACATAGGTAGAACAAAGGTTAATTATCTATAGCCAATACCTGCCTGGTACACTCTCAAACCATGTTAACAAGTACAATTAACATTTTCCTTTTACCTGCTTGCATCAGTAAGTACTGCATTTTTTTTTATAAACCCCCACCCACCACTCTCTTATTCACCTTTTGGCTTCTCAAACTTGCTGTAAACTAAGCATGAAATTAGATGTTCAGAAAACCTGCCTGTGGCTTAAAGATTCTGATTGGGAAAAGTATTTTGTACTCAACATTACATGTATATCTGGATATAATTTCTGTGTTATAAAGGAATAACCATTTTTTGTTGTTGCCAGTGGCTTATGTGATAAACTGTACATAAAACAATCTAAATGAATTTATTTATGCATATCAATTTTTAATAAGACAGTGGGAAAAGGTGGTCTAGTGGTTAAGGTGTTGACCATTACACTTCAGCCCCTACTTGGAGTCACGACAAAGCTTGGGTTTGTTCACCGGGCGCGGACTCGGAAATATAGCTTAATAAAGGCAAGAACTTTGTTCCACAATAAACATAAAATAAATGTGTTCAAACTAAATAAGAAAGTAAAATGTATACAGAGAAATATTGAACTGTTTACAAGGTATCCTGATGACAAAACATCACATTTTATTGTAAGGAAACAAATATATCTTCAGAAGAAGAAAAAACTGGGTAGTGAATCAATATAAGTAACACATGTTACAAGGCAGTGCATGGAGGTAATTAAAGTTGAGAAAAGCAATTATGAAGAAAGTGAATCTGTTGGCAGAATACCCTTTACCAAAATTGCTATACCATACCTTGATTCCCTCCCTGTGTTTGCCATACCTTGATTTTCATTGTGGTTCTTGAAAGTATATATTCTTGTTAAACAAGCAGTGGGGGATTCCTTATCTACTTATGCAGACTGCAGTATGACTAAATTCATAACATAAAATTATACACATTATTTGCATAATATTTTCTAGCATTTCTAACTAAAGCTGTTTATCTCTTCTTGAGCTACTGCAAGGCTCTCTTTTGATTGCCTTTCCTTTTATTATTTTCCCCCAAAGACAACTAAATATTAATGCATGTAAACACAAGTGTTTTAGGCAACATTTCCCACCGACTAGCTTTATTTTTACCTCCCTTGGAAAATGATTATAATATAAATATTTCTAAGTATTTATCACTTATTGTCACTGAAATTATCAGAGTAACGGCAATCAAGTTTAATTATCACTAATTGACTAAAAGTAGCTATTTTGCCAGTTCCGGAATGATGGACCGACGCAAATATGACACGGCTTTGGCACTCATTTATCGTAAATTGCAGCAATTTTGTCAATATTTGATAGCAGGACAATTTTGTAAACAGATCTGTCAAAGGCAAATATATAACAAATCTATATCTGTCTGTTTGTTATATCATATTTTATGGTGCAGAAGCTACATGAATCAATATCTCCTCAATGCCAACTGTCAAGGGAGCACTGAGATGTAGTGTGTTGACAAAAATCCTTACAATCTTTTAGGAAATAACGTGTTTCATACAGGAAAGGCTCTATTTTTTTATTCACAGTAAATTCAAGCGTGAATCTCATTGTTTAATTCTATAGAAATAAACTGATTTCTAAAAGGAAAATTTCCTTCAAAGAAGTTATACATATTTCTTTATGACAAGGGTTTTTATGAGAAAAATTAATTGTTAAGAGATATCATGTATCATCAAAGACAAAAAGTATAAAATAATTGCCTACTCATATATGAAAAGTAAGAGGAAATATAATTGTGTGTTTATTTCTTTCTTCAGCATCTGAACTTGTTTTTTTAATTCTCATTTCAGAAACCAGATGACAATAAGAGAGATGATGTTCACCTCTCCATAGGCTGCGGCTGAACATAAACATCAAGGTCAGGGGTCAAAACCATGGTTACACTGAAATTGCTATGGCTGACCATATTCACCATAGCAACAAGTGTGGAATACACTTTAATGTGCCCAGCACAATGTCTGTGTCGGATAAACGATCAAACGAGTCATGTGACCTGTGCCAACCAATCACTGAAACTGATTCCGGGGAATATACCAATCACAGTTACAGACCTTGATCTCCAAGGCAACAACTTATCTAGTCTTACCGATGTCTTTCAAAATTTCACACAAGTGCAAACAATTAATTTAAGCTTTAATAAAATAAAAGCATTCCAGTCTAAAGATTTCAAATACAACATACACTTGGAGCAACTAAATCTGGCAGGAAACCTATTACCTTCTATTGAGGAAAATTCTTTCCAATATTTACCACGGTTAAGAGGAATTAACCTTGCAAATAATTCAATTACATCCTTAAACGGTGCAATCTTCTACGGTTTATTCAATTTGGAGGACTTACAACTTGAGGCAAATCAGATTTCCAATGTTTCCAGTGATGCTCTACAGTTTGCTGACACATTGATACATCTCGATCTCAGTGCTAACTTCATCAGGGAATTACCAAACAACGTCTTTGTTAATCTTCCAGCTTTACAAGAAATCAATCTTGGGAATAACTTACTTACTACCTTCAATGGGCAAAACATGTTCGGTGAAAATAATGTGTTGCGTTCTATTAACATTTCACATAACGCTATTCGAGACCTGTCGAATCTGACTTTTCTGCAGTTAACGACTTTGGACCTGAGCTGGAATAACCTTTCTCACCTTACAGAGGATTATTTTGAAAACCTTGAAAATTTGACGTCATTGGTTTTAGATGGCAATCCAATAGATATGATAAACACAGCAGTATTTGAAAAGCTGAAAAATTTACAAAGCCTCTCATTGTCATATATGCCCAATCTTTTCTATTTGTCAAAGTCAACTTTTGTTGGGCTTGGTATGCTGGAAGTTTTAAAACTCTCAAACAATCCCCTCCTGTCTTTCATTCATAAACAATTATTGCTACCCTTGAATTCAGTCAGCATTATTGATATGAGTTATAACAGTATATCTTCACTTCATAATGAAACAGTATTTGAGAATTCACGCTTGATCAGTCTGGATATTACAGGAAATAATTTCACGTGTGACTGTGCAATAGAGTGGCTAATTTTAAATTGTCAGTCAAACCAAAGTTTAATTGTTCATTCGGAAGAAATAAAATGCGTTTCTCCGCATTCTAATGCAGAAATGTCAATAATGGATATAAATGTGGATGAACTTCATTGTAGCGAAGTGAAAATTCTCAACCATTCAACGGATAGTGCTTTCGAACTTGGAAAACCTGCCCTATTAAAATGTGTCGCTTCAAGTAACCCGGCACCTGAAATAGTTTGGATCACCCCACGGAAAAATATTCTTACATTTCACAACTTTCATCACCTAGCAGCAACGGAATACCTCCATCCTGAAGATCAGGTATTACTGATGGCCTCTAGTAATGCAGACGGATCTTATCATTCAGAATACGAATCTAAGAATGATCGGATTAAAATTCTGGCTGATGGATCTTTATTTATTGAATACTTTTTGAGGAGTGATGGCGGACCTTACAAATGTGTCGCCAGAAATCCTCAAAACTCTACGGAAATTGTGATAAACGTAACTGTTGATTACGCAGTGTTAAATATGGTAAAAATATGGAGTTTCATCGTAGGATTTTCAAGTGCCGGTGGATTTTTTTTGCTAAATTTAACCTATTCTTTAACGCTGGCAGCTGTAAGACGCTGTGTAAGTCAGCGGAGGCGAGAACGTATTCGACATATCTTTGAGAACATGGACCAGTATAAGACGGCTCATTTGGCGAGAATTAAAGAAAATTATAATCATCAGGTTGGGAGAATTCGTGATCAATATAACTTTCAATTAGGAAGACTGAGAGAGCATCACCAAAATCAAGTGGGGAGAATGGGGCGTATGCGAGAGGGCGCTTCTCAAAGAGTTGAAAAATTGAAAGATAATTACAACAATCAATTAGGCAAATTAAAAGATTATAGTTCTAGTCAATTGCTTCAATTGAGAGAAAAATATAACAGTCAAGTAGACAAAATCAAGGACTACGGCAATGACAAATTGGACAGGATTCACGAAAAATATAAGCTAAAACAACAGCATGTGATAAAACTAATTGAAATGATGAACCTTGACAGCTGTCGAACAGTTTTTGAAAGCGAGTGCGTACGAACTGAGTCAATGATATTACATTCAGATTTATTCCCTGCTGATGTCCCACTTCACAGCAGATCTGGTTCACTCAGTACGAGTGATTCCGAGTATGTTACAGCCACAAGCTCAGAATCATCATCCATATATTCAAGTAAGCAAAATATCGATCAAGATAGTGAGAATGTAAAAAGTGAGATTGACAGCGATCAATCATGTCCAATCAATCCTTATTTACCTGAAAGTGAGGATAACTACGATGCAAACCTACTGCAACTGATGAGTTCTAACAATGAAAGCTTACCAAATGAAAATGATCCTGGTACATCAACTGGTATAAAGCCAGTCAACACTAAGCAAAAGCATAGTCAAAGACGGCATAAATCACACAGAAAGCACAAAACTAGAGGCGAAGCCTCAGCAGAAACTCAAATACTTCATGATTATTGCAGTGATAATGAAAGAAACGAAGCTTTGGACAGTGTAGACAGTCGCGTGAAAAAAAGCAAACAAAAAGTCGTCAAAGACAATGATGCAAGGGAAGTAGAAGGGAATGTAAGTGAAACAGAAGATACAGTCTGGCATACAGGTAGCAATGCTATACTTGCTAAACATACAACTGATGACTCAAACACTATAGGTGCACATTCTATAAGTCAGCATGTGAACCCAAGTCAAAGTCAGACCAGAAGAAGTAGAAAACATAAGAAACGATATAAAAGTGAAAGACCTAGTTATAATGACAGTCAGGAATCTACAAAACATGAGGATATTACTATTGATATAGGTGATGAAAACGATGAGTTTAATAACTGGACTATAGGTGATGAAAACGATGAGTTTGATAACTGGACTGTCAAAGAATCTGTTGTGTAATTAAAAAAACGTTGTAGGTAATGGGCCTGATTAAACATTTGTCCATTCCCAGTCCATTTCCTATTGCAAATGTTGATTTATAATTATATGTTTTATTGGTGTAAATCTGGATTTTTTTGTGTAAATCTTATTGGTGTAAATCTGGAATTTTTTTTGTGTAAATCTGGATTCACATGATGTTATTGTTGTTAAATATGTGTGCTGAACTTTTTTTGAAGTGCCAAAAATGGTTACACTTTATAAACTAAAATTTTATAATTTGGCGGAAAATTGATGACGGCTATTCTGAAACTGTTTTCTTTATCATACATAGAACCAAAATGTTTGACTGGGACCATCATGTACAGAAACTTCTGGGATATGAACTTATACAAAATATAACCTACATATCTCATAATGATTTGATTTTTTTTGTTGGTGTTTGAGAGCTTGCAACAGTTATAGCCAAGGAATATATTCGTTTAGAATGATGGGTAAATGATTTACTTCTCAATTAAACATTTAGTTATTTGATTATTTGGATATGATAATTATATATATACAATTATTCAGAAATACTGAAAACTATGTGGAGCTCATATGATAATTGCTGTGTCATGCAGATATTAAATTTTCATTTATTCATTTTGTCAAGTATCTTTCATTCCAATATTCAAAGTAAATGTATTCATATTCCATAACTTTTATATAGGCCAGGAAATTAGCATTCTAGTTAAAGAGCAGTCTGTAACAATAAACAGAAAATATAAAATATGCAAAAATAAAACATACAGAGTACATGATTCTAACTGTTTCAGAATGCTGTGTGCATTCAATCTGCACCTTTTTGGTGCTACCTCTTTTTACATTTCTTTACAAATGTACAGAGAAAGCTTGGAGCTATAACTGCTCATTTTCTCTCATATTTTCCCATGCCTTATCTTTTTTTGAAAATGAAATGAACAGATTATTTTTTGGGAGGTAACATTTTACCAGAAGCAAGATACGGACTGAATCAATTCATCAATCTAACAGAGAACATTGCACATGGAATTTTGTTCTCAATAACATGAATCAAAACATAAAAACATTTGAGCATCTGACTGCCTAACCAGTTATTTATCAATTTTCTCGATATGCCTACAGCTTCACTATTTCTCAATTAAAATACAATTATAAACATATCTTTCATCTTGAAAAGCCCATTGTCTTAATGGCCTGAGCTCAATCTATCATAATCTGGAACCAATTTAACACAAATTTTAAGTGAATAAAAGGTTTTCAGGAAAACTGCAGAATCTTTCAAAATTTTCTGCCAAAACAAAAACACATCAAGCATCAAACTATAAACAAAACAAGGCCAGAGTACTTATCTACATCTGTAAATAACTATTGTTGTAAAAGTCGATGCCGTCAATTGGTAATTAACTTAGATTCTTACGCATCTGCCATCATTTTATTGTTCACTATGTACAGCTACAATATTAACCAGGTTTGAATTATGTATGAATCAGATATTTATCGTAATCACATTATCTTTTGATGCACATAAACAGAATCAAGACATCGTAAAGTTTTAGTTAAGGCTTAAAATCAATCCAGATTCTAGTAAATATAAAGCGCTCACACAGCCCTTCCCTAAAGTTGATCAGTTATATTTAAGGCTCATTCAGCAGAAAAATGCCCCCCCACCCCTAAATCTTTACAATGCATAGACTCACCTTGCTTTAACTATTGCTGTCTGATCAGGGTATTAAGTCAATACTTATTTTTAAATTTTCCCTTAAAATGATGAATGGTTCTGTCTAGATTAAAGATGGACAAGTCCATTTTAGATATTACACTCAGTAAGGGTGAACTTTGGAACTATCCGTTGTTGTTTTATACCATAGTTATATACCAAACTAAACAGTATACTTTACAAACTGTACATCTTAACATTATTCTTTAATCCCATTTTCCACTATTATAAAACATAACTTCTTCACATTCTATATCAAGCACACCCCCAACACAAAAAATAATATATTCTTCAACTTCTTTTATAAAATATTAATGTTTCACATTAATACCATCACAAAATTCTCAGAAATCAGCAGTTTCAAATGATAAATGTACATGTGGATCCATGTTCATATAAATTTCAAATTTTTAAAAACATTTTCGTATTCAGTTTAATATTTAATATTACACTTCCATGGTTCTCAATTCAATCAGTTTTATAAATATTTAAGTAAACCCATTTTTGTTGCTAGGAAATAATTAAAACCACACTAATTTTTTATCAGACTCTAGATTCTAGAAGCTTGTCAGCTGAGGAGCTGTTATTAAAAATTTATTGATGTAATATTTTAAGACAGACTTAACTTGATATCTCTAAACTTTGAACAATTACATTTCAGTTGTGACTTTTCTAATAATAAATGGCACTCTGAGAAAAAATTCATATGAATTATTAATGATTGGAAATAGGTACCTTTACTGTATCTGTCTTATGAAAACAACATAGAATTTTATATTTACAGGAGTTTCATTATATAACCTGGTGGCCGGGGTAAAATTGTCCCTGTAATATGTTATAAGTCATTTGGCTATAAGGTGATTTCACATAAATTTATTTCTGTATTTATGTACCAACCAATTTAAAGATGTGACCCAGCTTCTTTCAATTATAATGAAACCCTTAGAAAATATGAAGCAATTAAGGTCTCAGCATGAAAATTGTTTATTTTGTATATTACATGTTTTAATACTTGTATGTACTGGTGTTTAACTTTATTATGATTTTTACATAACACTGATTGTTAGGTAAGAAGCCACTGATTATTTCTGCCAAATAATTATTTGATTAGCTCATAATTTTTGTGCCAATATAAAATCAATTATTTTTTTTGACAATGAACTTCATATATGATTCTTTTATGATTTTCAATCATCAATGATTACTTTATCAAAATTTGTAGGACTTTAATTATTCTCCTTAATTTGTGTATATTTGAGGATTTTAAATATCAAAATAGAACAGCCAATAGAATAGATCAATCTTTTTGCTCATACACTAGTCACATAGGCCTAAATTATTGCTTCCGGGGTTGAAAAAGTCCAAAACTGTTTTTCCATTATAACAAGTTTGTAATTTGTGCTTAGGTAAATCGTACAATTTACTTGCTTTGATAGATAGATAATTTTCACATCTTACTTCAGTCACCTGTACATGGCCAAATTAATTAGTATCATCTAAATAATTATGCAAATTAGTCTCCACAATATTCATATGATATATGTGTATAAAGAGTTTCTAGTGACTGTGGCAATTGCTACCACTATACTATTTTCAGCTTTTTTGAAAATATATTTATTATCATATATTATGTGAATAATAATTGTCGAGTGTGCTCTTTTCTAAAGTTAGTACATTATGTTAGATACATTTCATGGGCGCAAGTTAAAAATATCAGAAAAAACCTGAAAAACCATGAATTTAGTATTATTTCAATTGGTTTTTATATTGAAAAAAAGAGAGCTTTAAGAGTAGAAGAGATAAAAACAGCTTGAACTTCAGGCAAATGCCTGAAAACTTGTACCCATGCAATTTATCACTACATTATTGTTGGGGTTTTATTTTAACCCAGGATTTCCTCATCAGATGCTAGGAAGCTATCCATTCTTTGTTATATAGTATGAAAGTCATATTTATTAATTAATTGCTTTTTATGCATGTCACATGATGTTTAATCTAGAAAAAAGGAGACATTTTTTCCATAGATTTATTTAAAAAAATATTGGTATATTATATATTGTTGTGAAAACTTGTTATAACTATTATCTGGAAATAAAAATTGTTTTCTGGTTAAACTGTTTTTTTTTTTACTTCTTCAAATACGACTGGAAGAAGAGATAGATATCTTACTAGAAAATGTGTAATACTAAATGCATTTTTGATGAAGCAAAAAATATGACACACTTTGAAAGTGCACAGACATTAAGCTGGTGTAAAAAGTACATATCCTGCAAGCCTCTACTGCAATTTCGTAGTATGACTAACGCATTTCTGTAGGTTCAACCTATGTGAAGCATAAGTTTTTTTCATGACGAAAAAGTAAAAAGCCCACACAAAAAACTACATCAAACAAACATTTATCCTGCAACTCGACTGGCTACATGAAATCAATGCACAATGAAAATTGCTACATTTTGCTGTATAAAACAATAGTGATTCGTACAGTAGGAAACTGTCTGCAATTTCCTCTTGTATCCCTGCACATGAATTTCCCTGACAGATTACTGTCTACAGAAGAGAAAACATCGACATTACTTTAAATTATTGTCTACGTGAAATACGTCACATAAAGACTAGAATAAGTAAGAGATTCCTCACTAAATGCCCCTGCCTTGTGAGTTGGACATATCCTTCGCTGTTACAGCACCACAACAAAACCACCACTGTCCACATTTACTTAGAAGTCTGGGGTTAGATGAAGTTGGGTTTTTATTTATTGGATTAAACATAGCACCATGTATAGGTCATATGGTGACTTTCCAGCTTTACTGGTGGAAGAAGACATCGAGTGCCCCTCTGTACATCATTTCAGGCCCAAGCGGGCACCCGAGTAGAACCATCGACGTTCTGTAAACTAGCTGAATAGCTTTCTCACATGAAGAGTTCAAAGAGGCTAGCACGGCTCAAACCTAAAGAGGTGAGAGGCAAGTGGTTTGAAGTCAATGACAGTACTCACTCGGCCTCAGTAAAAATGTGACTCATCTTCCCTACTATACCCTGTACCTCCCTTATTGTTAGGTTGGAAATGTGGTTTTTTATTGACTGGTGCTTTAATCAATATATACCTATGACAATAACCTTGATGATAAATGATAACCATCTGCATGTTTCCATATAAATATCTTCTCTGAACAAATACCTCATTTATAATATGTAACTTAAAACTTGTATTATATAATAATCTATTATTACCTCCTATTATATAACAGTTAAAGAGTAATGACAAAATTCATCAAACAATATAAATAGCCAATTAGTTCATTACTAACAATCTGTCTCTGAAACCCATTACTCAGCTAAATCTGTGCAAATTGTACTTGATTTTACTTTAAAGTTATGTGCAGTCCATTAAAAGATTTCAATATCATAATACTAAAATGATAAGTTACTTTTCAAGACACAAGTAATCAGACTGTTTCATATTGTAAAACAAGAGGGCCATGATGGCCCTGAAGTCGCTCACCTGTATATAGGCCTTGTGACAGGTGAGCTAAGTCGTCCGTCCAGACGAAAAGCGATCAAAAACAAAATTGTTTCTCTTCTTTATTTTCGCTAAAAGTAGAACCAATTTCATTAAACTTCTTTCCGCAAATAAACTTGTACAGAAGAAAATTATTTGCAGATCAAGAAATCAAACAATCAGCTATCAAAAACTTAATGACTGCAGCATGCAGCTACCTGGCTTCGAAGCCAACATAATATTGTTATGACATAAGTGCACTGAGGAACTATTAGCTGGAAATGTTGATTACAAAATTCCAATGCTATCCACTTCATAGCACAATGAACCGACTCTGAAAGTGTTCAAAGATCTAGGGCCTAGTCTGTCAGTGAGAGATGAATGTCCTGGGAGATTTTAAAGAAGCACGACTTTCTCTGATTAGTGAGCCAGACATGTAAATCAAAACTTCTATACCTTATAATGTATAAACCCTGAACATGCTGAATATTTTAAATGGACTTGTCCAACTGCCATTTTTGGGACTGTCCATTATCAATTTTAGGGATGTCAATTTGAATAGTTAAAGTTTGTAGAGCCTGATCAGACTGCACGGATGTACAGGCTGACCAGTAGCTCTATACTGGTGGCAAAGGCTTAACACTTTCAGTTCCAGCACTTTAAAGGTTAACAAGAAAGTAGTTTTTCCCAAGATTGTAATCTGAGACTCTGTTATATTATAAAAAAAATGTGTCATGTGAACAGAAAAGAAGATAATTGTCACCATCAATTATAATAATTAACTCCCTTTATGTACTGTTTACGACATATTTACGGAGTAAGGTAGTCTAGTACTGGTGTAACTCTCCAGAAACGATGGTTAGGAAACTACCCGCCTATATTACTGAAATACTGTTGGAAAAAGGCGTAAAATGAAACAAACAACATATTTATACTGCAAAAAAAAAAAAAAAATACTTCTTACACCTTAAAAAATACAATTTTCATCAACTTTCGGGAAAAAAATGCTTTTTCCATATCCAATTGGTTGCCAACAATATATATAAGCCATAAATTCGTTCTCTATATTATCAAAGAAGTTGAAGCTTCTGGTTGGAAGTCATTTGGAACTGGTACAATAAATTATCATAAATATTTGTCAAGAAATTGCCTTTATGGACGTTTTTGGGAGTTTTCGTATAGACATATAGGCATAATTAAAACAGTTCAATAGAAATTCTTTAAACTTGGCATGTTGTTAGAATAAGATAACAGAAACATTTCAAGCATCTTTATTTAAGTACATTAGGAATAATTTACTTTATACAGCTTGTGCTTTATTCTGCA